CGACCCCTGGGTGGATCGAGGATTTGTCTTTAGATGCTGTCATGGCATCTGATCTTTTTTTGTTTTTAGTTTTCGTTTTTTGAGGGGGGTTCTCGCATTGGAGTTGGATAGGTTAGTTGGGTGAAAAACAACTCGTTGATTTTTTCCAACACCAGACTTTTGAGATTGGGTACAGACTGGATGTTCTTATTACTTTTTAAAGGTTAAGAGCTTCATTCAGTACAGTCAGTGGTCACAACGTTTATCCATTATGATAGTTTCCTAGTTCCACTCAGCTGTAAAAGTCTCTAATCTTCATCTTCACTGTACTTTTCGACATTAATCCACCACCATATTACATCGTCCCTTTACGCTACTCTCATCCCCTTTCATCTTCAGGCTAGCCTCAAAGCAACAAAGCCATCAACCAACCTACAGCTACTAACCCAAGCATCCCACCACCACCACCGGTATTAATACCCATGTCAACCGCCCCATTAGCAGCAGGCGGCTGACTCGATTCCGCCGGCACTCCATTCTCACCACTGGTCACAGTAGAAGTTAACGTCCCAGTACTTGTACTAGTAACCACCGTCCCAGAAACCGAAGGTCCAGTAGCACTACCCGTCACACCTCCCACCGCTCCAGTTGTACTCTCACCACTTCCACTTCCACTTCCAGGTGCCGTAGCAGTCGTAGCAGCCGGAGGTGGCGGGGGCGGAGGAGGCGGCGGCGGGGGGGGATGCTGTCCATAACCATCTCCCCCAGCCCCAGCCCCAACCCCCGTTGCCTCTGCTCCCGCACCGGTAGCAGTAGAAGAAGTACCAGAATCACCACCATACCAAGCAGCATAATCAGGGTTCTTGACCAGTTCCCCGCCAAAAGGCTTGGAAGGATCAGGGGGGTTCATCTTCTCGAAAGCAAAGTCACCGCCGGGTTGGACGGCGGCTTCACGGGCTGCTTGGTCTTTGTATTGGGCGAGTTGGTCGGGAGAGCCGTTGACGATGCCGATCATGCCTTTGGAGCAGTGGGAGGGGGTGGAGCAGTAGAAGGGGAAGGGGGCGGTTGAGCCGACTGTTACGCGGAAGATTGAGGGCTGTTTTTGTGTTAGTAGATATAGACGAGGTGGAAGTGAGAAGATGTAGGACTCGTGAGGATTTGGGAAGTGGATATAGGGTGGGAGACGAGGAGGATAAAAAGGGGAGAGGTGAAGATAGACGTACATTCTCCTCATTACTCTTCGCCGGCAAAAACCCCGAGAAGAACCGTCCCTCCATATCCGACGTCGCGGGCTGGCACGGATGGCCAAAGTATCCCTTGACAACCGAGTGATTCCTAGGCAAAAAGTGGAACTCAAGGGTATCGCCCTTGTTGGCGGTGATGATCTCCGGACCGAAGACGAGACCTTCGGCTTTGATGACGATGGTTTCGGCTATTGCTACCCCAAAGAGGGTGCTAGCGAGCATGGAGAGGAGCCATGTCGTGAAGTGGTTGTTGGGGGATAACATTGGTAATTGGGTACGGATGTGATAAGCTGATATGGATTGGGTAGGTGGAATGTCTCGGTGAGTGAGGATGAACGAGTGTCTGGGGTTCAGCTAAAGACAGGACTGGACTCAGAGAGACTGGTGAAGCGAGAGACCTGGAGGGAAACGTCCGTCCGGTAGGTAGAGGGCAAGCCGGACCTTAAACCACCCGGCATCAGTCTTTATCCTCTTGATATACCCTCGTAAAAGCCAATTTGTCCTACTTCCCCTTCCGACAGCCTTGCTCATCCGTTCTTTCACATCCAGCTGGCTTAGTTGGCCCTGCAGCGGGCAACGGTAGCACTACTGACCGTTTGTATCGCATATGTGGTGAGATCAACTGCCAACCTCGACATCATAATGGTGTCTTGTTCTCTGTTTACAGGCTGGAGCCTGGGAACACCTAATCACATGGACTCGTTACGCAGGACCGTCGAGACGTCCCACTGTGGCCATTGGTGTGACTTTGTAAGCTCGTAAAGTCTTCGTACAAAGGAGGTGACCAGGTCGAGGAGTGCACAATGCTTCCCGTCTTTTGGTAGTGCCAAATTGGGATACAGTTGACGGGTAGGAGATTTAGTGTGATGTCAGGGGAGATGAGTAGAGATGCAGGGAGTGGGAAAGACCAACATACCTTACCGGGGCTGTGAGGGAATCTTTGTCCACGTTGTAAGTGTAGACATTTGGTTTCCATCATTGCTAGTGCCTTACCCTGGAAGTTTGTTGTTCCAACTAGAAGCCCAGAGTTGTAAGTGTTGATGATATTGCAAATCTTCAGTTCGCCTCTTTGTCTCGTACCTGCAGTCCTGCAGTGCCATTGTCTGAACAAAGGACCGTTACTCCATCTCTTTGTTCCTGAAACAGTTTCATCCAGGCAACACGGCATGAACCATATATTCCACAGGTGTTTGCTTGTGGACAGCATACCTGCCCCTGGCGAGACGAGGGAGTGATGTCACACCCAACATCGGACAAGGCAAATTCGAGTTTGTATGCTCGTGTCTCCCAACGGGCCGTTACCGAGGCCTAATTTGGCGTCACGGTGCCACCGTGAACGGCTGTTCACGCTGGCTAGATGTGTGCCTGTCCGCTTTCGGGTCCTCCATACCGAAACCAGCATCGCCACCTGCTCGGGAGTGATGATGGTGGTGCGGGTAATTTGCGAGGCAAAATCTGGGAGAAGGCGACGAAGTAAGGAGAGTTCCAATTGTGATGGCCACGCACTGGATTTCTGATTTTTTAAGAAAAGACAGCGGGAGTGCACGATGTCAGGGCTGCCAGATGGTACGGTCGATGATAAACTGATTACTTGATGATGGGAAAGACAATGGATAGGGGAAGCCTCAGTTTATAGCCCAAGAACTCGTCCTAAACCGGCATTTCTGGCATGAACGTCCTTCCTGTTCCTTTCTTGTAGAAAATTGCAGCCAGCGGACCAGCCCAGATGGATCGCTAACATATCCTCACCCAAAACGCAGCCTTCATGATATCGCACTAACCTTTGCATTCCTCTCCTTCCCTTTCTCACTCCACCCTGAGGTGTTCTTCCTTCATTCGGTAATACCCACTCGGTATCCATCATACACATCCCAACCCTATTCCCCTTCTACTCCCTCTACTCCCTCTCCTCACCCTCCTCCTCCAAAGCAACCTCACACTCAATAACCCCCTCCACCCCTCCTCCCGGCCCATACACATCCAAGATCTTCAACCCACCCATCCTCTAACAACCTCCTCCACTCCTTTTCCGTCCTTTCCCTGGCCCCAAATATAGCCATCATATATAAATCCAAATACGTCGCCTCCCAGCTTGCGTTCTTCTCCGGAATAACCTGGTCGTTAATCAACAGCCTTGAATACCCCGGCTTCATCGCCTTCTTGATCTGAGTCAAGATATCAATACACTTGTTGTCGGGCCAGTCGTGCATGATGTGATGCATGTAATACGCTCTTGCTCCGACGACGGGTTGGGGAGTAAAGAAGTCGTGTTCTTGGAGTTGGATATACTTCCCATTGGGAAGAGGAGAAGTGAGGGAGGGAGGAGCAACGGCAATGACGGAGGGCAGGTCTTGTAACACTAGCTGGCCGGGATGGGAGGGGTGTTGGGAGATAAAGGTCTGGAGGTCGTGGCCGACGTTGCCGCCTATGTCTACCAGCATTACTGGGTCCGAGCCATCCGGCTGAGGAGTGGAATCAAAACCCGAGATAAGACGGTCGGCGGCTGGGTAGACGTCTTCACAACACCATGCTGGCTGGCCTTGGCAGTAGGCGACCATGTTAGCGTTGAAGTGTTCGGTATTCTTTGCCGTCGAGCCAACCATCTCAAAGAGCGTCTGTGAAGTCTGGTGTCCAAAGGTAAAAGGGTTGTCGATGACGGTTGTCGGGGACTGATATGACTTGGTCTTGAGCCACTTGTGTAGGTTGCTCATGGCGGGGATGCAGAGATCTCGCCAGAAATGGTAAGAGCCGGCGAGGGCAGAGTTGGTGAGGGCTTTGGAGAAGTTGTTGGGTCGGTACTCGTCTTCGCCTGTTTGGATGATGTGGTTCATGGAAGCCAGGTGACGGAGGATGCGCCGGAGGAGGTCCGGGTCAAAAGAGATGGCCTCGGCGAGACGGGTGGCAGTTTTGGGAGAGCCGTTGTCCTTGGCCATTTCGTGGAAGAGGTTGGTTTCAATGCCAATAGCGATGGTGTAGAAGTTGGAGGTCTGTACGTTCGGTTAGTGTTAATTTTGGCTAGATTAGGACGTGTATAGGCCATACCTCGGCACCGATATGCCTTAGCATAGTCTCTCTTGGGGTTTCAAGGGCGGCGATCAGAGATCGAGCCTTGGACAGCAAGGATATACGGGCATTGCGGTCTGTGGAAAAGTCAATGTGACCCCAGTTGTATGAGGCAATGTCGTCGATGAGGCTGGAAACACGGCCAAGGTCGCATGGACGAGCATTGATGGAGATGTCGTTGGGGTCAAAGGAGGAGGATGATCTCTTGACGTTGGGTGTGGCGTTGTCCACGGTGTCGTGATAAAGCTCTTGGATGGAAGGGGCCATGTTCAGTTTCGGATGGAATCCTGCTAGAAGAGAATGATGATGGTGTCAAGAAGCACTTGATGACAGAGACAGATAGCCGGTCTTATAACCTGCCCTTTCTCACATCTCGTCGACATCCTGCCTTGTTGCTCGCTATTCGGCATCATCGGATTCGGTCTTCGAGTTGTAAGCCTTATCACGGTCACCAACACCCAATAGTGCCATGTGTGTTTGTGATAGTCCAAAGGCTGTGCCCTTTGATAATGTCCACAGTGTCGGATATCGGGAGGCATGTGATGGATCCAACCCCGCTAACATATCCAGTTTTGCGGCCTCGCAGATTTCAGCGGATGCGGACAATAGAATGAGACAACCAAGAGGTCGAAGGGTCCATCCTATCTCGTTGTCCTCGTGTATTGTTCTGTACACCATCTTACATCAGTCGATACCGAAATCGAAGCTGATGGTTGGACAGCATTACTGAGCTGAAGATTGCGGTTTTCCATGAAAGAGAGGAAGGGGGGGAATTGAGGTTAGAGGGCTTGATATGACCATGAAGGCCTACTCATCTGCAGATGTAATAACTCGAATCCCTCGTGGATGTTAGATGCTCACCATCCTCCCCACCGTACATCCCTTTTCGGCGGAGACATCCTTCAACCGTACAGCAAATGAAGCGGCTCTGTAGTACCCCACACGAGAACAGAACTGAGGGTATCCATGAGGGCTATCTTGAGCCACTACATCGACATTATTTGCAGCAGGCTCCGTGTGCGGATCGAACACAAGCCTGTAGTGTCGTCAGTTATCATGATGACACTGATAAAGGGAAGGAGGTTTCGACCTTGGCAGCTGAAGACCCTTGATCTAATGGAGCTCGGCGGAGGCAATGCCTGTCATAGTCGTCGATCACATACCCTGAGCGGGTGGGTTGGGAGCTCCGCTCGCTCCGTAGCTGTGGTGCACTTCGGGATCAAGCCATTCACATTCCCCGATGAAGCAATGTCCAAAATCGAACATGTCCTAATCTCGATGCATCTTCCAAGATCCACGCAAGCAATCCCATGCCACGCTGGAAACATGTTTTCCTCACTGGAGACATGTGATGAAGAAGTGATGAAAAGGTTCCTTGGCGAGCTTAATGAGGCTGAAGTTGGACCGAACCGGTCTAGTTCGAAAAACCCATGTTAATATCTTCGATCAGTCTACCGCTTCGGGAACAAGACACATGAAACACACGCTAGCAAGGGCTGGGCATCTTCAAGCGCGGGGTTGCGATCGAATGTAATTGGATCTTCAATCAGCTCTCGAGATGCCTCACAGCTGTGCCGTGGGCTAGTGGTTCTAGTGCACAAACGCCAACGAAACAATATCCACAGTCAGTGATAGGAACGAGAAAGGCAGGTAGGAGGCTCATTTATTGAGCGGGAAAGTCTCAAGGGATCGGGAAACCTTCGAATGGACTGAACTTACCCAACTGAGGCTCAGCTTGGAATCTGACCCCCTTGCTATTAACCTTGGAGGACCTTTATTCCCTGTAACATATCACCGCTAACGTCATTGCCACTGCCAACAGACAATACAGGTAGTTCGATATCCAACAGATGTCTTCCTCCCAACTGCGTAACGAAAAGGCTTTGCTCAAGGCCTGTCCCGTCTTGTCGTAACTCCTCTTTCATGAACGAGCACAGCCTCTGCACTGAGACCTTGCCATCTCCTCTGACATAGGAGCTGTCCAGGATTCTGCACAGGGCCTGGGTCATTTGTGTTGCTGTCCTGCTGTTGGGGGTTTCGCTTCCGGTCAATGGAACGCAGGCACCTAAAAGTTGCTTAATGGAGGGCGAAAATGCCAGGCCCGGCTCAACCAGCATTTGATCTTCTTCCTCTGTGCCCCCATTGTGATGACAGTCAAAGATGAGCAGGACGTCACCCTCACTGGACATGATGGATTCTCGAATGTCCTCCCAGAAGAAGTGACTCATACCGCACGCATTCGCAAACACCATCCTCCCTCCAACCATGCCCGCTCCCCCAGCATAATAAACAATTAGCAACTTCTTTTTCTCCTTGTTGATCTCGGAGTCCGCAAGAGACTTGGCCAGGATGGTCCCCACAGCTGCGGTAGGATAGTCCTCGGGAATGAGTCGGCACTGAACTCGGTATCCCATCCGCTTGAAGCAGTTACGGACGGGGTCTGTGGAGGTACTCATCCCTTGCCGACTTCTGACTGGCCCTTGTTGCTTGAATTTTGTGTTTGTTGGTGTTGTTGTGGCCCAGCTGAGAATCAAGACGTTGACTTCTTCGGCTAGCTGTGCGTATCGTCCGCGGGGAGAGGGAGAGAAGATGGAGCTGAATCTGGTTCTGGGCTCTGGCGGTTCGATCTCGGGATCAGGTCGAGCGGTGTTTAGACTTGATGATGCTGAATAAGCCGAGTAAGTTTCGTATAGCTGTTGAGAGTGTGACAGGAGCGTTGCGTGATCTCTGTACCAGTCATGTGAATATCTTCTTTCGGCCCGTTGTCTCGCATCTGTGTCAAGCCCCTTGACAGCCGGGGATGTGTAGAGGTGGACTGGACTTTTCGGGTGTGGTTGTAACTGCGGAGACATGCGATCTCTCTGTAATTTGGAAGGCCCAACGGTCCTTGACCAGCTCGAAGTCTGAGGTGATGACACTACGGTCTCGGTTTCCATATATCTATCACCGTCAACGTCGCGGCGAACATGAGTGTCCCTGAACCATGGTGAATCGGGGCTGAGAGCTTCGGTGGCGGTGATAGGACTTTGCCTGTTGTAGACGTTGTTAGCCCTTTTGTCATGGATCACTTGTTAAATATCAGGTTGGCTAGACTTACACCTCGAGCTCCTGCAAAGCATCAACCACCATGTCCATGTCTCCATCCCATTCGTGGCCGACGAGGTTTTCATGATGATCAACGCCTTTAGGCGTAGCTTCACTGTCTCCTCTTTCGTCGACAGAAGGTACAGCTCGTACACCGTTGTTGTCCAGAGCCCCAGTCGAGAAGTCATGGCGGAGGTTGGCCAAATGGCGATGCCATAGTTGAGTAAAATCCGTGTTGCTGTCCATTTTGATCGTTTAGCTGACGTATTCCGAAAATAGCGCGGCTCAGTTCCGAGGTTCCCTGACACATAGCTCTGTTTAGCCGAGTCAGCAATGATAGTTCCGTTGTCGATTCATCTCTGAAGTCAAGGACTGTACCAACCTGACGTTGCCGTCCTTTCTGAAGCGATAGTAGTAGAAGCTGAGATGCTAGAAAAAGCGGTTAAGTGCCAAAGATAGATCAAGTTTCGCTCCCACGCTGAGGTGCCCACATACCTACACGGTGTTTCTAGCTCCTTCCCAGAGATCTGATCGGGGGCAGACGGATAACAGATTGCAGAAGGCCGGCACGTCAAGAAATCCAGAACAAGGACATGCTCTTCTTGGCTGCTGACAGATCCGGGGGAGCTTCCTGGCTCCCAACAGTAAATGGCTGGCACTCTCTCGGCTAAAGCCTGTCAGCCCAGATGAAATAGTGGTAGCACTGCAGGTTGTATTCTCCGGGGATGTTGGAGCTTGGGACCAAGCATGATCGGGACCGGTTCTGACTGGTTCGACCACAATATCATCGCTTTCTTGTATTGATTAGTATTGTGCCTTGTCTGACATAGCACCAGTGATATAGGTGATGACCACGGATTGGGCCTGGCAGTTGACGGACTGGAAGACATGATACCATGGCAGTGCTGAGCCGATGAATTGAACAGCCAAAGGATTCAAGACTGGATGGTAATAAAAGAGAGATCGAGAGTTGGATGGTAGATTGATATCAATTGGATTGAATGTGACAGATGGAGCGAGGGAACGAGGACGGGCATGACGGGAGGGACTTGACACTGTAAACTGAAGTGAAAAGGTAGAGGAGTCATAAAACTGGCAAGAAAATTTCTTCATTGCTGCTGGCAAAATCAGCGGAGGTAGTTCGTGAGAGGGAAGGAGCATCTCCCGACTTGCAACGGCTGGTAAGGAAGAAGCAGCTTGCTGGAGGACTTCCTCCGAGCGAAAACAATAGGGGAAGTACCGCGCCTCATGAGCATCATGACAACGTGCTTGAGTTGTAAATATTGTTTGTAAAGAGGTTCAAGTTTCCTTCGTATGTCAAGTCGGGTTGTCTTTGAACACGACTGATGTGAGGTGCATTGAGGTGGTGACGAATGGTGATGCTTCATTACGGTATGAGTGCTGCTTTAAATGTTATGACATGTTAGGTGAAAGAATATGGTAATAGCAAATAACACGCAGCTAAGCAGACAATAATCTACTAACGAAGCCATTAAAGATGGCCCCACTGGTACGCGCCAGCTCCCTGGCCTTGGCGCGCTTCAGCTTTTCTGGCGCGTTTTATCGTAGGTGTTTTCTTGACAGGGAGGAGTTCCCCTCTGAACCGTTTCCCCTCCATCCACTAACGAATCCCTTGTTCTCTTGGGTTGTCCATACTTTCCAGTATACTTGACCTCAGCAACCTCCAAACTCCACCAACTTTTCCTTGATACCCAGGTGGCCCAATTTAACACCAGATTACGACCACAGACACATACACAAGATGGCAACACCAATGGCCCATTCCAGCGATGCTGGCTTCATCATGTCGGAAGGAGGAGCTACTCCCAGAGGGCGAAATGGTCAACCCAGTTCCTCTTCAGCTCGTCCACGAGGGCCCCCCTCGGAAAGTCTCGGAGCCGCCAGCGAAGATGAAGGAGAGGAAGGCTTCGCCGACGACCAGGTCCCCGTTCGCTCGAGACCTCAGAACATTGCCGACATTCCCAAGGTCCAAGACAGAATTGGTGTTATGGTCCAGAGAGCCTTTGAGGCCTTCATTGACGGGTATGACTACAGAGACCAGTTGGTTGTATGGGATCGCTAACCCAGACACAGCTACGTCGAAACACCCACATCGTCCGGCCAACCAACCTCGAGCGCAGTCACGACAGACAAGTACTACGTCGCCCAGATCCACGGCATGAAGACCTACTCGTTATCCACCTTCTATGTCGACTACAAGCACATCGCCTCGTGGCAAGACGGTACTCTCGCCGAGGCCATCACAAACTCGTACTACCGCTTCCTTCCCTTCCTCACAGCCGCCCTTCACAGCCGAATCGCCGCCTACGAACCCCAATACTTTAACGAACATCGTCAGCCCACCGCGTCCAGCGCCCACTCCACGACAGCTTCCAGCACGCGAGGCGCCAACGCCAGCCAGTCCGACTTTGGCATCAAGAACCCCAACCAACAAACCGACAAGCTCTTCGCCATTGCCTTTTACAACCTGCCCCTCGTCTCGCGTGTGCGCTCCATGCGCGCCCGAAACGTCGGCCAGCTTCTTGCGATTAGCGGCACCGTTACCCGTACCTCGGAAGTCCGTCCCGAGCTGGCTCTGGCCACTTTCGTCTGCCAGGCCTGCCGCACCGTCGTTCCCAATGTCGAGCAGACTTTCCGTTATACCGAACCGACGCAATGTCCCAACCTGACGTGCCAGAACCGCACGGCGTGGCAGCTGGATATCAGGCAGAGCACGTTTGTGGATTGGCAAAAGGTGCGCGTGCAAGAGAACAGTAGCGAGATTCCCACGGGAAGCATGCCCAGAACTATGGATGTGATTCTGCGTGGTGAACTGGTGGATCGCGCAAAGGCTGGCGAGAAGTGCATCTTTACCGGTGCGCTGATCGTGGTGCCCGATGTCAGTCAGTTGGGTCTGCCGGGTGTGAGGAACGTGTCGGTGCGTGATGATCGGGGCGCGGATGCTGGTGGTAGCGGTGTTTCTGGTCTCAAGGCCTTGGGTGTGCGCGATCTTACATACCGTTTGGCGTTCCTGGCTTGCATGGTTACGCCTGATGTGTCGGCGATTGGCGCTTCTGGCGATGCCCTGCTGATGGATATCGTTGGGACCCTCAACAGCAGCGCGGCCGCAGAGACAGCAGAGACCATCAAGGAAGCCCAGGAAGCATTGCTAAGCTCCTACACACCCGCTGAGATGGAAGACCTCCGTGCCATGGTGCACAGCGACCACATCTACTCGCGCTTGGTACAGTCTCTGGCACCCACAGTCTACGGCCACGAAGTCGTCAAGAAGGGTCTCCTTCTCCAGCTCTTGTCCGGTGTCAGCAAAACCACCGCCGAAGGCATGGCCCTCCGTGGCGACATCAACATCTGCATCGTCGGCGACCCCTCAACCTCCAAATCCCAGTTCCTCAAATACGTCGTCAACTTCGCTCCCCGAGCAGTCTACACCTCCGGCAAGGCCTCTTCGGCCGCTGGTCTCACAGCCGCCGTAGTCAAGGACGAAGAAACCGGTGAATTCACCATCGAAGCCGGTGCCCTCATGCTCGCCGACAACGGCATCTGCTGTATCGATGAGTTTGACAAGATGGACATCGCCGACCAAGTCGCCATCCACGAAGCCATGGAACAACAGACCATCTCCATCGCCAAGGCTGGTATTCAGGCCACGCTTAATGCCAGAACGTCGATTTTGGCCGCCGCCAACCCCGTCGGTGGCCGTTACAACCGCAAGACCACCCTGCGCGCCAACATCAACATGTCGGCGCCCATCATGTCCCGTTTCGATTTGTTCTTCGTCATCCTAGACGAATGCAACGAGCAAGTCGACCGTCATTTGGCAGAACACATCGTCGGCCTCCACCAGAACCGCGACCAAGCCATCGAGCCTGAATTCTCCACCGAGCAGCTCCAGCGGTACATCCGCTTCGCAAGGACCTTCCGTCCGGAATTTACCGACGAAGCGAAAGAAATCCTCGTGCAGCGCTACAAGGACCTCCGCGCCGATGATTCCCAGGGCGGCATCGGCAAGAATTCTTACAGAATCACCGTCCGTCAGCTGGAGAGTATGATTCGTTTGTCGGAAGCCATCGCCAAGGCCAACTGCGTGGAGGAAATCACGCCCGAGTTTGTCAATGAAGCCTTCCACTTGCTTCGCCAATCTATCATTTCGGTAGAGCACGACGACGTGGAAGTTGACGATGAGGAAGACATCCCTGAACCACCCGCCGATGACCCTGCCGCCCTTCAACAGGCCGCCGCTGCTGCGTCGCGTGTGCCGGAAGCTGATATGGACGGTGACGGTGACGTGGATATGGCTGGTGGTAATGATGCCCGTCAAGCTTCTGCTGCACCATCCGCTGCTGCCTCGCAAGCGCGTGAGAGGCAGACGATTTCGTATGACAAGTATATTTCCATCGTGAACATGATCGTCTCCAAGGTCGCTGAAGACGAGACGCAAGGATCAGGAGAGGGTATTGAGGGAGAGCAACTGGTTGAGTGGTATTTGGAGCAGAAGGAGGAGGAGATGGGTACGGAAGAGGAGTATTTGGAGGAGAGGAGGTTGGTGACGAAGGTTTTGAAGAGGATGGTCAAGGTATGTTTTTTTGTCCCTTCCTTCGTTCGACACTGGTTTTGATTTGCGTGGATGATGGCTGACATTGATTGTTACAGGACAACATCCTAATGGCCATCCGCGGCCAAGGAATCGTCGGCGACGAAGGCACCGCTGGAGAAGGTACCTCGGCGAGAGCAGAGGGCAACATTGTTTATGTGTTGCATCCTAACTGCGCTGTGGAGGAGTTCTAAGAAGCGAGTGGTTACAGAAAAGTGAAAAGCTTATGGGATTTGTTCAAGTGGGATTTGGAAAATTGTTGGGCTAGCTGGCTGGCGTTTGGGAGTTTTGTTGCTTGGGACGGGAAAGATATCATGGTGTTGTGAATACAATAGATCGTTGAGACAGACTCTTGTGGCTAGATAAATGTACAAAGGGGGAAGCACCATCCCTTGCATTATCTATGGCCCTTTCTTTCAACGCCACCTCCTACTGGAATTTGATGAGGCCATGAATGATGGCTCTTGAAAGAACCGCCAGTTGTGATCTAGAGGTACCATATTCCTAATGTTGTGTGGCCTCTTCATCTTGAGGTGTGGGTGCTAATATCCTGGAACGTTCCTAGGTTGGTTGGTGTAGAAAAATCAAGGACTCGATCGAACATGGCTTCGTGCTTGATACTAGGTACCTTGCTAGGTATTCTCTTTACAACTGAAGCAAAAGCGCCCCTTGACGCCCCCTTGAACGCCTTTTTCTACAAAATCATAAATCATGCTCTGGTCGTGAATCGATCGAGGATCCTGCCTCGCTCGTTCCCATTTATGCCCCCCCTTCCCCCTTCTCAAAGTCGCAACAACAATTTAATTTTCATCATGGTCCGAACCTCAAACCGCAGAGGTATCCAGTATCGTATCGTAAACAATCGTAATTCGTCAGTCGTGGTCGAAATCGTTATCGTAGCCGTGGAGAGGGAAGGGTGTAAAGACCGTATGTTATATTGGTATAATTCGCATTTAGTAATCTACCAAAAACAAAAAAGTATTAGCACTCGCTAACAAACAAAGGTATATGTCCTCTCTCTATAAACCCCGCCCAATAGAAGAAATCACTCCTCGTCAATAGACATACCCTTCATCAACCTCTCCATCTCCTTTTCTCTCGCATTCTGTGTCCTCCCCGGTTCAGAAACCGGCACACCCCCAATAGCCTCCAACCTCCTCCTCAACTCCTCCGCCTCCCGTTCCTGCTCTCGTTCCCTTTCCCTCTCCTCCTCCTTCTCTTCCCTCTCCTTCTCCTTCTTGCCCATCTCCTCAGCCAACATCTCTTCCAGTTCATCATCAATCTCCTCCTCATCCACTCCCACCTGACTACTACCCGCCTCAGCAAGGATAGTATTAACCTCATCAACCTCAGCCATTTGGTCGCGCAGCTTGTTCGTCAAGTTCTCAACACGATCCACACCTCCCACTTGCTCATTCAGACTCTCCAGTACCTTGGTACTAGTCTCCATGATCTTCACCATTGCCACGCTATCGCTCGCTTCCTGGATCTTGGCCGCTACTGCCTCTAACTGCGTCAGACTAGCATATCGTCCTTCCAAAGTCTGTTCGGCGAGTTTCTTCTGCTTTAAAGCTGCCAAGGCAGCGATGCGGTTTTTATTCTGGACCGCGCTGCGGGCAGTTCTGTCTAGTTCCGATATGCGCCCGGCTAGAAGGTGTGTTTGGTGCGTGAGGGAGGAGATGAGTTCTTTGATGGAGGCGATGGTTGTGTCTTCTTTTGTTATTTGTTGGGCGTGTTGTTGAGCAGAAGAGTCATCAGAGGGAGCCTTGATCTTGAAAATCTGTCCATCGTAGAGAATCACGTCTTTGTCGCGGGAGAGGAACGTTAACAAGACATCGAGGTCGGTTTCAGTTAGAAGTTTGGCTTGGGCTTCTTCGCTGCCTTGGTCGAGCTGGACTTGTTCGTTGTACGTCTGCAAGAAGTGCGCTTTGGACCAGGTGCGCGCGAAGCGCGAGTCTGTGAGGGCGGAAGCTGTGGTGGCGGCGAATTGCTTGCCGGCTTCTTCGACGTTGGCGATCACCACGAATTGGCCCTTGGGTAAGCTGCTATGCGATTGGAGCCAGTCTGTGACGCCGAGTTGTTTGAGGGCCCAGCCGGCTACGCCACCGGCAATTCCTAGGGGTGAGGGCAGCCAGGGCTTGTAGTATATGCTTGTTTGCGAGGTGAGGAAGTCGTGCAGTGGCATGAGGTCTTTGGCGGAGAGCGCATCCCTAATTACTGTCCCTAGGGCTAGTGGGCGGCCGTATTTCTTGGACTCTAGAGCGCGGAGGAGCGATTCATCGGAGTTCAGGATGAGGAGGTTCGGGGTTGAACCCTTCGGGGCGGGCGCAAGGCCGGAGCGGGCGAGGTGTGCAAGGGCGGAACGCCAGGCGGAGATGTTGGCCTGGTAGCCATCGGGGTTGAGAGTGCGGAGGGTCGTGAAGTCAGAGTAGAGGGCTGGGAGACGGGCTCTGAGTGGGAAGGGAGGGTTAGCTGGGACCATAAGAGAGGGCAGACGACATCAGTTGGGTGGGCAAAGACGAACTTCCTGAAGCTAGGCTCGTGTTCGACTAGGTAGTCGACGAGGGATTGTTGGTTGCTCATATTGTTGCTTGTTGGGTATCTCGGTTTCGGGTATTGTATCGTTGAGCGGGAAATCGAAAGTTAAGTCTAGTCGAAGGTAGGACAAAAAGAAGAAGGGAGGGAAGCGCGATAATCTGCGATGCGACAACTGGGAACCTTGGTGGTTTGCGCCGACGAAAAGACCAAAACAAAAGCTCAAAGAAGCAATAAGTGTACGCCACCAGGCAGGCTTGCATTGGCTGGCGCGCGTGTCGTCGCGGATCGGTGAGAGCGCAAAGAACTGGATGGGCGCAAGCGGGAAGCCTGACCTGGCAGTTGGTGATGCAGTGAGATGCAATGCAGAAAGAAAGATTCGGGGAAGAAAACAAATTCGAGGTTGGCGCTGTCGTCACTGTGGTGATCGAGTTACAGTGGGCTCTTTCCTTATCTTATCAGTCATAGACCAGATGGACCCGTGTTGATCTGTTTTCATGTGATAGCGCCCAGATCTGAAGGTGAAGAGACGACAACTACGTAAAAGTGATTAGAGTGATGACAGGCAGGCGGGACTCAGAACCTGGATACTTTTGTCTCGAAGATTCATGAGCTTATGGAAAGGCGTTAAGGGGTGTTATGGGGTGTTTTTGTTTATTTTCGGCTCGGCTGTAAATAAAATACAGGAACATACAGTGTCAAGCACCTTAGTGTGTTTGAGTCCTTGATTTATCTATGGCAGTAGCTCTGTCAATCATCGTCTCGTGTATTGCTGTCCAGCGTTTAAAGCTGCGGTTTGAGTTTGTGGATATCCTTCGAACCAGGCCAGTCATTAATCATCACATTGACTCTCGGCAACAAACTGCGAAAATTTAATTCCTGATGTAAAAGTGTTCTCTCTAAGTAAGGTATGTAGGTGTCCACTCAGCGAACTATATAGTACTCTTAACACTGTCAACTGTCTACATGCTGTACGTAGTGCGGATAATGAAGCTGATCAGAACCGCAGATCAAATCCCGATCATTTGTGGGCTCTATAAAGTAAACAAAACATAAACATTTGTAGTTGTCCTGTATCAACCAAGCCTTTGGTATCCCTTGACCAAATCCCGTTCCCAAACAAATCCATATGTGGTATCATCAACTAAACAAACCCATCGAGCTGGGTTCACCAAACTCGAGGTTAAAAGATCATCAAGCCGCCAGCCAACCGTCAACCGCCAACGTTTCCCAATAATCCGTAGATCTCGTTATCGTCGTGAGATGTCGTAAGAAAGAAGAAGAAAAAAACAAGAAATAAACAGCAGCTCGCTCGCTTGCCACTCAAGTCCAACTGAAGCCCAAGAGATCGTTCAGGCGTAAACATCATAAAAACAGAATCGAAGCCAAACCGCGAACAACAACCAAACAATGAGTGAGTGATAGACCCTCAGATTCTCAGATCCTCAGACCGCCACTCACTCACTCACTCAACCCAACCAACACACATTTATCTTCTCCCCAACCCCCCAACCCTCTCCCCAATCCCCTCAAACCGCCCTCTAACGTCCGCATCCCCCCACTTCTCCTTAATCCACCTAAACCCCTTCATATTCAGGCTCAGTCTGACCCGTCCCTCCACCAGTGCACTCACAAGATTAATAACCGCAAACGTCGTGCTCCCAAGGGCTCTAAAAAGCGCCAAGCCAGCCACAGCCCACAAAATAAATCTCAAATAGAAATTATCACCAATATCACTGTCAGCATACGCCTCGCTGACAGCCATGGCCAGCGTAGCGTTTGCCACCATCCATGTGACGACCATGTACGTCCTTACAGATTTGTAATAATCTTGCTGTAGCTGTTCTTCCGACACGGGAGTTTCGGGGACGACGACCCTATCGCGGAGATTGCGGAGGCACTCGTCGTAGCCGCTATCGATATCGAGTTGTTCAGAGGGCATTTCCAGCTCGACGGTGGAACCCTTGCCTATTGCGCCGCCTAGGTCGGTGCGCATGACGTTGTCTCCCTTTGTTCCCCACGTTACGTCGTGGGTGTTGCAGAAGGCGTAGATCTGGAGGGTGCAGATGTAGGAGGGCAAAAGAACAAAGTATTGGATGGCGGAGGTGAACATGTGCCACGGGTCGAGGTAGAGAAAGGACATGAGGAAGTAGAGACCGAGGGTACTAGCCACGGAGACGATCAAGTTGGTGAAGACGTTGTTTCCCAAGTAAAGGTCCGGGTCGTCTTTGTCGGAGTCTTTGGGTTTGATTTGGCGAACGACGATGAAGATTGTTGCGAATGTGGTGTAGACCATTATCACGGCGTAGATTATCATTGAGGCTAGGTACATCCTCTTGGCGCCCTGCGGACGGTTTCCGAGGGACATGATGAATTGCGTGCAGATTAGGAGGACGCAGACGTAGCGGAGGATGTTGAAGATGATGCGGGCTACGTGCCCGTCGGAGTTGAAGGGGTCGACGTGCGGGTCGGTCAGACCGCCGGCGATGAAGTAAAAGGCGAGGTAGAAGTTGGCGAGAGAGAAATAGGTGAAGAGGAGTTGTAGGAGTTGGTAGAGGAATTCGACGTGAAGCAAGGCTTTGCGCAGGAAGGTGTGGTCGGTTTTCCAGATTTGTCGAAAGTGCACGAGCGAGTAGACGGCCGCGAAGAAGGCGCCGTTGAGCCAGCGACGACGTTGGGAGACGAACTCCGGGACGGTGTCTACACTCGTTAGCATCTCATCTTATGTCACAAAAGGGGTCAACGGGCAACTCACCAGGCACGTCCGTCTCACCCGTACACCCCTTGACATACTTCAACACCCACCTCTCCCCGCGTTTCGCCACCAACTCCCAACACAAAATCCTGTCTTCCGCCAAGTACATATTCGCCGTAAACACATCCGCATGCTGCCCATGTAACGTCTCGCCCTTGAAATACTGACTCAGCGGTCCATGCCCCGTCGTCTCATCATTCTGCAGCGCATGATACCGATACGCCGACAACGCTCCGGGCAACACGGTAATGTACCCAAACACCGACTCGAGCGGTTTATCCAGGATATTGCTCATCTTGTACTCAAAGTTCTGACTAGCCACCAGAGGGTTGAGCAAATTCCCGCCGAACCGTCCCTTCATCGCCTTGATCTCCCCGCAGGCTCCCGCGACGTTGGAATCCGTGTCGAAGGCTTTCCAGAGGTGGTAAAGACTTGTGCCTCCCGGGCGTGTGCCGACATCCAACAGGATACACACGTTGGGGTTCAAGGCCTTGCCGAACGCGTTGAAGAACCATCGGTGCGAGTTGAGTTTCTTCTGGTTCTTCTCCTTCAAGCAGAAAATCATCTGGCAGGGCACTATCCCTTTCTCGGCTCCCTTGAACTTGAGGTCCGAATCCAGAGACACCTGCGTGGTGTACTCGTACACGTGCGCCTGCACCGCCTTCTGGTTGACAAAGTTCTTGGCGATTCCGTGTTGGTAGACGCCCATGGCCGCGAGAGCGTCCAATGTCCGGGGGGTGAATTTTCTCTCGGCCGTCCGAAACCACGCAAACCACAATCTTCTGCCACCCGTCCGCGCCCCACGTTCGCGACTTGTTGCGCGAACAGAAATGCGAGATGTTCTTCATGACTGCGTGCATCGTCCGCGTAAACCCGTACTCGTCCTCGTTGTACATCGTCACACAGATGAACAGCTCCGTCTCCCTGGCTGTCCGACCGATATTCTGGCGCAACTTGTACCCCCGCGAGACAAAATCGTCAGGGTCGCAAGTAACAGCCGTGTATCGCATGTGCGTAAACTCGACCTCGTCCCTCCGGGGCAGAAACGAATACAATATAGTCGGGATCTTGCACTCCAGGACGAGCTCGCCATTGATGAGCTGGACTTCCTTCCTCGACACCTGCGGGGGCCGAACGCCGCGGCGCTCGTGCTTGCCTTCTTCCGGGATGGGGCCGTAGGGCTCGAACTTGTCAACCCCTGATGCGCTGGTGCCGGTATTCGAAGAATAAGTAGTGCTGACATCGTCTTCGTCGTCGTATCGGGAACGGGCGTGGGTGCCATGGGGGTCCTCGCTGAGTGTTATCTGTGATGATCGGAACCCGTACGCGTCGTTGAGGTGCCGCGATTCACTGAGATCGGTTTCCGGTCCAAATATATCTGTGCGGTCGTCGTCCGGTCCCATGCTAACTGTCACATCGTCCGCATATCCTCCTCCTCCATGGAATCCGTGCCGTGGATGATGGTTCGTTGCGCGACTGGGGCTGTTATACTGTAAAGGCGCTGCTGGTGCCGCCGGAAGTGGTCGTCGGGCATTCCCTGCATAACTCGAAGGTGTCCCTGGCCGGGGATGACCATCAATCTCCGAAGGCTCGTACCGTCCTTGTGGCGGAACTCGATAATCGGCTGTCGATACGGGACTCCATGGTCTGCCGTGTCCCGAAACCATGCTCTCGGTGCCCATGTAGGAAGAAACGTAGGATCCGCCGTCGGGTGGTGGAATGCGTGGAGGGTCCATGATCGATGATCGTTCGTCGATGGAGGGTTCGTACATGTGTCGTCGATCGCTAATCGAGGGTTCGTATGTTCGGGTATCTAGTGATGGTTCATAGGTGCGGGCGTCGATTGAGGGCTCATAAGCTCGTCGTAACCGGCTGCTGTTAAGATGTGAGCGTTCTGCTGTCTCCGAGTTTCGTCTTTTCGGTGATCCAAAGTGAACAGAGGGTGGTGGTGTAAGTGATCTTTGCGAGTCCGCTTCCTCGGTAATGTTACTGAGCACCCGGGGCTTGTTTTCTTGCTTTTTGCGCGCCTCACGGAGCGACGCTCGTCGCGGGGATGTCCCCTCCGGAATTGTCGGCAAGGCCAGAGCAGGTGGAGGCGCAGATAGTCTAAGAGGCTTCACTTGACCTAGCCACATTCTCTTCTGCAACTTTCCTCCTCCCCGTAGCTGAGATTCTCCTTGTTGTGTCCCTGCTTGTTGTTGTTGCCGCTGCTGCTGTCGCAAAACGAATTGCTCTTGTTCCTCGGGTCGAAAGGGACTGTATGGTGGAGGGTAGTGAGGTACGTGTTGAGGGTCATCGCTTCCCAGAATCTCTGGCGCGGGTGCAAACTTGACGACCTTTCCCATGTCGGAGTCGTTTTCGGGGTCTTTATGCTCGGATGTCTCCAGGTCTGGTCTCTTTTTTTCGTCTTCTTGATTCTCTGGTCCCTCTTTGGGTACTGACCAGGACATGGAAGTGGGAGGGGAAGATGGGATGTTGACCACGGCATCTTGCTCATGATCTTGACTTTGTTTTGTTTGGGAACTGGTGTTGGAATGGAAGGGAGGACTTTGGGTTCGGGTAGGTGTCTGGGTTGAAGAAGTACTGGTATGGAGGGGCGGCAATGAGAAGAGGGGCATGACATACGGTCTGACATTATCTCTATGTGAACTCTGGCTGGTGATCTCTGATACAGATATGTACGAGCTGTTGTCTAGATTCATCAACAGGCGGACGCCCTGACCAGTGGGTGCGGCATCGACATCGGGGTCGTCGGCTTCGTCGTATTGTGGAAGCATATATCGAGGGTCTGGTGGTGGAAGCAACGATGAGGAGTGACTGTCGCTACCGGTACCGGATCCGCTCCCGCTGCCACTGCCGCCGCCGAAGCCGCCGCCGGTGGTGTTGCGGCCAAACCCGGCCATTGTGTCGGGTGGTGAGACTTGTTGACTTGTCCTGTCCTGGATCTCGATCCGATGGATACAATGGATGGACCTGGCTTGTGAGTAGCAGTAGCGGAGTGTAGGTATACAACCACTATGTCACTTGTGTAAATCGTAAGGGTACGCGGCCCCTCTCCCGTCGTTCTAGTACGATCGATTGACACTGGTACCTGACTGACAAGGCTGACAGACTGACGTGACGTGACTGAACAGCAAGCAAGCAAGCAATGCGGTGAAGTGACAATGAAGTGTCGTTTGGATAGAAAGCCTTTGGAAGTCAAATGTCGACCAGACTACTGCGCGTCAGTTAGCACTAGATCGATCGCGGCTGTCGGGTCCAGTCGTCCACCGTGACCGTCAGGGCCCTCTCCTCCACCTAGTCACCCACTGAGGAACATGGAATGGAGAAAAGTGTGGAAACGGGGGGTTCATGTCGTTCAATCGTGGGGCTGCTGCTGGCTGCTGCTCCGGCTAGGTACTGACCTGCTAACACGCGGTGAACTACAAAGTTCAAGGGGTATCAATTCGTTTGTTCGTAAGAAAGATGGACCCTCCTTTTTTTCTTGTAGTTGAATGCGGTGAAAACATTAAAAAAAGTCAGGTCTGTCTGTCGTACTCCTGTCGTTCCCCGTTGTTGCGCAATCCCCCATGAAACCAGAAAGAGACGGCGCGGAGGGAGCAAGCAACCACTGTCCACAATTCTGGTGGCTGGGCTCACTCACTCGTGTGGTGAAGTTGGAGAAGCGGCGGCGCCAATCCAATCGAGGTCTTTCGCTTGAGTTGCCGACCCCAGAGCAGAAGGTCGGGTTGCGCAGGCGGATGCTTGTCAACAGCCACTGGTAGGCTGGAAATGGTGGAAATGGCTGGATAAATGCGACCAGCAATTGGCTACCAATGGATTCTGCCAGTGGGGAGAAGAAGACTGCAGATGCTTGTTGATGCGCAGGGGTAACAGCTGTTGAAGAGGGGTGCCCAGCAGCCTCAGCTTGGGGTGTTTGTTGTTTTTCTGAAAGTTGAAGATTTGAAGGCTGGTCGAGTATGTTGATATCGCCGTCCACAATATTTCTGTTGCGACCGTGAACTCAGATTCTTCAGACTCTTCACCCTCTCTTCAGAAATATTGTCGATTTCAGGTTCTCGATCCCATCACTGCTGTCCCGGGCCGTTCGTCCTCAACCAGTCGGTCACTGGGCAACCAACCACAACACAGGAACCCCAAACAGGGCGACAAGGCACTGCCCCTCTCTTCCAAGCATCCTATTGGCTGGTTACCAGAATAGAAGTTGCAGGCTTGCGGTTCAGGAACTTCAGGAACGCTTGCTTGGCATTTCGAACGGTTTTGTTGGTCTTCCACTTTCGTCAGCGTTTTGCAGTTCCTGTTCCTTGCAGTTCCTGAGAATCCCCAGATTCCCCGCCGTTTCTAAATGAACAGTTCATCACTTCTGTGCTTCTGGCGCGTGCTTCCATCCGTGCCTGGCCTGGTCTCGAACGCACGCGCGTGTACAACGCACCAAGCACAAGCAAGCAAGCAAGCAATGCCATGTGCTATGTGCCATCGCAACTCCCCGTCTTTCGGTCCCTGGCATATCTCCCAGGGTCAAGTAACGTGAGTGACGTCAAAGTAAACATTCAGTTGCAACTCCCATCTCACCCCAACTTCACCTCGAATCAACCATCAAGTCCATGTCAACAAACTTCAAAACCAATGCATCGAGATATCAAGAGGTATATACAGAGACAACATAAAAAACCAATAAACAAAAACTGCATGCACCAAGTACCAAGTAATTTTCGACGCCCCAATATGCATCTGTTTCTCTTTCAGGGACCGTTAAATCTTCGTCGTGGTCGGAGCCAGTTTACTCCTCATCACCCTCTTCCTCAGCAACCTATTATACAGAATCAGTCAGTAAATTATCCACAAATCGCGTCAGCATTCAAATAATTGTGTACTCACCCCCTCATGGAAGTTCATTCCATCCGTAGTCGCCTTAATGATACCCGCACGAATAGTCCAATCACCGAACCTCTCGCCCTCCTCACGCTCCTTAGCGTACCTCCTCAGGAGACCCTTCATAATAGTCAGAATCTCCTCCTCCTTAATGCTGCTCCTGTACAGCTTATTGAGGCGCTGGCCGTGATAACCACCACCAAGGTACATGTTGTAAGCACCGTAGGCCTTGCCGACGAAAGCGACTTCCGCCAACCAGGGACGCGCGCAACCGTTGGGGCAACCGGTCATGCGCATGACGATGCTGTCCTGCTTGAGACCGACCTCCTCGAGGACGCCCTCGAGCTTGGTGATGAGGACGGGGAGGTAACGCTCGGACTCAGCCATGGCGAGACCGCAAGTGGGGAAGGCGACGCAGGCGGAGGAAGAGAGACGCAGAGCAGAGTAGTGCAGGTTGTCGAGCTTGTACTGGGCAAGAAGCTTCTCAAGCTCGGGCTTGTCTTCGTCGGCGACGTTGGAGAGGACCAAGTGCTGGTTAGGAGTGAGACGGAACTCGCCCTTGTGCACCTTGGCGATCTCGCGGAGACCAGTCTTCATCTGGAACTCGGCGGTGTCCTCGATACGGCCGTTCTCGATGAACATGGTGAAGTGGTTGAGACCGGTCTCGTCCTTCTGCCAGCCGAAAGTGTCAACGTTGGAGTCGAAGTGGAAAGAACGGGCCTCCTCGAACTTCTGGCCCCAGTACTCCTCAACCTTGCCCTTGAACACCTCGACGCCCATGTCGTCAATGGTGTACTTAAGACGGGCGTGCTTGCGGTTCTTGCGGTCACCAAAGTCGCGCTGGACAAGCATGACCTTCTCGCAGGCAATGTGCACATCGGCAGCGGTGACGAAGCCGAGGGTGCGACCAGTCTGGGGGTAGGTCTTTTTGTTGTTGTGAGTGGCACCCATACCACCACCGGCGAGCAGGTTGAAACCAGCAAGGCTGCCGTCCTCGTTCTTGATAGCGATCAGACCGATATCGTGGGCGTAGACATCGACATCGTTGTGGGGAGGAATGGCAATGGAGATCTTGAACTTGCGGGGCAGGTAGGTAGGGCCATAGAGAGGCTCAAAGTCCTGGACGGCGTTGCCGCCAACCTGGGTCTTGGCACCATCATCATCGGTCAACCAGATCTCGTGGTAAGCGGTGGTGTTGGGGAGCAAGTGGTCGCTGATGCGCTTGGAGCACTCAAAGACCTCGCGGTGGTACTTGGAGTGAGCGGGGAGAGGGCTGCACATGACGTTACGGTTGACATCACCGCAAGCGGCAATGGTGGTCATGAGAGCGCGGTTGATGGCCTGCATGGCGGGCTTGAGCTTGCTCTTGACGACACCGTGGAACTGGAAAGTCTGACGGGTGGTGAGCTTCATGGTCTCGTTGCCGAGCTCGTTGGCGATGTCGTCCATCTGGACCCACTGCTTGGCGGTAGAGACACCACCGGGCAGTCTGCAACGAATCATGAAGGAGTAGGCGGGCTCGAGACCCTGGGCCTTGCGCTCATCACGGATATCACGGTCATCCTGCATGTAAGTACCGTGGAACTTGGTGAGCTGCTGGTCGTCGGCAGAGATGGCGAGAGTGGAAGTGTCGTTCAAGCCCTGCACGATAGTACCACGGAGGTAGTTGGACTCGATCTTGATGTCCTCGTTGGTCCTCGGGGCAGGCTCCTCAGGAAGGCCATCGACGTTGGCAACGCCGAGAGCCTCCCAGAGCTTGGGCTCCCACTCGGAGTAACCAGTCTGGAAACCATCAGGATCCTGGTCATCACCGAGACCAATGGGAGCCAAAGGCTTAGCACCAAAGTTGGCAAGGACGCGGTCCAAGTCCTTGGCGGGCTTGTTGTAATAGATCTTGTCCTCCTTGCGGGGCCAGTAGTGGCTGTCACCGAGACCGAAGACCGAGTAGCGGACGTTGGCGAGATCAAGGGAAGTGTTGTCCTTGACGGCATGCCAGAACGAAAGACCGTTCTGGGGGAACTCACCCTGACCGGCGGTGGAGGTGATGAACACAATGTTCTCCTCGGTGGCGAGGTCCTCGACGGGGTAGTCCTCCATAGACATGACAGTGGTCTTGAGACCACGGGCACGGCCACGGTTACCCAGGCGCTTGGAGAGGGAGATGGCGTTGCCGTTGTCGGAAGCGTAGAGGATGGTAAGGGGAGCACCAAACAGGCCTTCCAGCAACTGGTTGTAAGCATCCTTGGCCTTGCGCTTCTGCTGGGCACGGATCTCAGTGCCAAAGTCCTCGGAAAGGACAGCACCGAACGAAGGCTCCTTCTTCATAAGCTGGGTAAGGTGGTTGTCGCGGTCGAGGAACTCCTTGAGCTCCTTCTTGATGCGCTCGGAGTCTAGAGAGAAGTTGGACTCGCCCTTCTTCTCGTTCTCGGGGTTCCAGCGGTAAAGGGGCCAGTAGCCGATATCAACAGCCTTCTTGGTCTCCTGGAGGACAGTAAGAGCAGAGTCGTGTTCGCCGAAGTAGGGGAGGTAAGCAAGGATGACGGAGGGACCGTTGAACTTGTCAGCCTCGTCCATAGCCTGGAGGACCTGAGTGTAGGAACTGTAGACAGCGGTGGAGGCAACGTAGGCGTTACCGAAGTTCATGGCATAGAGGCCAATGTCCTTCTTGCGGCGGTTGGCATCGGCAGCGGCACGCTCAGAGTAGGGGGTGGAGTCAATGATGAGCAGGTTGACGTTCTCGCCGGAAGCAAGGACGTGGTGGACACCGGAGTTGCCAAGATCGTAGGACCAGGCATCAGAGCCGACGAGCCAGAGGGACTGCTTGCGGAAGAACTGCTTGTACTCGAGGAGAGACTTGGAGAGGTCAGAGCCATCCTCGGAGAGCTTGGAAACAGCCTCGGAGGCAACCTCCTCGACCTTCTTGGAGTCCTCAGCGTTGGCAACCCACTTGGCGAGAGCCTGCTTGGGAGCATCAGAAGAGAACTGGCCGTTGCTGGCAGCCTCCTTGACCTCAGAGACGAACTTCTGCTTGCGCTCCTTACGGGCGAGGAGGGCACCGAAACCGTACTCGGGAGTGGCGGAGATGGTGTTGGAAACGCCGGCGTTGTCCTTCTCGATAGAGTTGGCGATGTAGGCACGCTCACCGAAAAGCTGGTCGAGGATCTTGGTGTAGGCAGTCTCAAGCTTGGGCTTCTCAAGACCGTAGTCGGAAGCCTCCTTGGGAGCCTCGCGCTCACCAACCTCGAGGTTCTGAACGGGCTTCTCGGAGGTGAGGTTCTGGAAGATACCGCGGAGAGCCTGGACAACGGTCTCCTGAGAGATGTAGCCAAGCTGGTGGCCAACAATGATTTCGACACCGCCAGGACCGCTCTTGACCGAGGTAAGGACATCGATCAGGAGAGGACCCCACTTGGTAGTTTTCCTCGAGACCTGCTCAAGGACGGCTACGCGCTTAACGGACTTGGGAATGGCCTCGAGGAGCTTAGCGCCCAACCAGGGGCGGTAGAGACGGGCAGTCAGAACACCGGCCTTGGTGAAGCTGTCGTCAGACTGAGCCTGGGCAATGGCCTGGGCGAAGAGGGGGGAGCCGGAGCCGAAAACGAAGAGGGCGTTCTCGGCGTTGGAAGGACCGGAGTACTCGAAAGCGTTGTATTGCCTGCCAGCGAGCTCGTTGAGCTTGGACCAGATTTTGGTGACGTACTGGTAGATGTGCTCGGAGGTGACGAGAGGGGCTTGCGCCTCGATGGTGGTGGCGACGGAAGCGCTGGGGGTTGCGCTGGCCTCGCTGGCCTCGCTCTGCTGCTGGCTGGTCTGGGTGGACTCATCGGCGCCGTCCTGGGCGGGGGCAAGAGAATCGGTGGCAGCAGCAGTAGCGGCCTCGACTTCGCGGGCGTCAAGGACGGTCTGGCTGGGAGCCACAGGCTCGGACTGCTCAGGCGCAACGGCTACGCGGCCGTCGTTGGCGTAGATGGAAGAGCCCGAGATGTGGGCGGACTGGAAGCGGCGGACATTGTCGAGGTTGAGAATCTCCTGAACAAGGCTGATATCCTCAGTGGCAATGGGCTGCTCGGAAGCGCTGGAGCTGGGGTCGAAGAAGTGAATAACACCCTTGCCGGAGTGGACGGCGAGAGAGTGAGCAGTGAGGGCCAAATCCTGAGCCTCCTGGAGCGAGTTGGACTGGAGGAACGTCCAGCCGGAATTCCTTATCGAGGTGATGGCGGTGTAGTCTGGGAGGCTCTTGGGGCCCAGAGCAACGTGGAGGACGACTGGTAGCTGGGCGAGCTTGTAAAGGTGGGCGATGCTGGGGAGGAGGATCTCGGAGGTGGTTGTTACCGAGACCAGACGGCCGGAGCGGATGGGTGTGAATACTGAGAGAAGAGGGTCGTTGTTGTGTCTGACGGGGATGATCTCGGTGACGGCATCGGAGGCCTTGGACACGAGGCTTTGTGTCCTGGAAGAGGCGAGGCTCTTGAGAGTGGCCGAGAAGTCGGACTCGGTAGCAAGCGAGGGCTGCACCGAGACGACGACATCGGAGGCCAAGTATGCGATTCTGGCGACTGTGTTTTGCGTCACATATTAGTCATTGTTTTTTATTTCCAGTTTCGCCCCATGTTTGTTTCCAAATCTCGTGATATCGTTCATGGTGTTGAGACATTCCCTTGCCGATTGCGCAATTGGAAAGCACGGGGATGTAGCGGGGCAATGGCAGCTGAGACACAGCATTGCGCCGTGTGCGCTCTGAATCCGGGGTTGGACCGAATTACAGCGCTGAACTGGGAGCTGCTGGAGGGGAAATCGCAGGGGACAGGATCTCTGCTTGGGGGAGGAACTCGGGAACGGGAACACAGGAGGGACAAGGGAAGCAATGATCACTCACCAGCCTCTTGGGGCGTCTTGATCTGTTGTGTGGAAGCCATCGTGGAGTCTGGTGACGGCTGGAGTCTGGGGGAGGAGGGAAGGAGGTATCAATGGGTAGAAAAGAAAAGAAAAGAAGAAAGAAGAGGAAACAAGCAACCACAACTGAGAAAAGAGGAAGAAGTGGTGGTATGACTGAGGGATGGATATGGATGAATGGATGGAATGTATCGATGATTCACACTTCTCTCTCTCTCTTCTTCAGTTCCTTTTTCCTTTTTTTTTGCTCCGAGAAGACAAGAAGAGCAGAACCCTCCAACTTTATCAAGAACCGAGCGGCGGCGGAGGGAACAAAGTCGTCTCAAAAAGTTTGGATGTCGCAATGGGCGGCGGGAAGCGGGACAACCACACCTCACCTCAGGACGTGGAGGTGCACACTTATGTAATTGGTAATGCGTGGGTGCTGAGGTGCTGCTATAACTCACTAACAACCTAGCAACAGCTACCTGAGCTAAACAATCCCCTACACATTTTACAGTGGATAGGTAGGTGCAACGGAAGTGCCTACATCGGCGCCCGGCCCCGCAGTCCACTTGTGGTGATGCCGGCACATGAATGGCTGCGCTGCTAGGCTGGAGCGATTGCGTGATCGGCCTAGCTTGATTCGAAGTCGAAGGGGCACCCACTTTGGCCGGTCCTTTGTATAAATCTACCCTCACCAAGTCTACCAAGTTGCCTCTTGCTAATGACTCTGACGAATGGGATGGTCTGAATTTTCAACTCGCCTTTGTGAGAAAGAGAGTGTCACACCTCTCCGGCCTCCGATCCGCATGCCGCCGAAGGGTATCCAGAGGTACCGCACTAACAAAGTCCTGCTGCCGACCTCGCCACGGGGGTACTCGGGAAGGCAGAGAGACCCAAGAGAAACCAAACCGTTGAGAAGAGACAAACTTCTCCATCCGATGTCTGGTCAGTTCGTTCGTACGATCCAGGGGTTCCGGGTAAACAGCTTCCCGTCTTATCTTTGATATCCACATGGTCTCAGATCTAGTCGAATATCGGACGAAGCTAGGGAGTGTGCAGCATGACTCTATTCCTGGGGTGTAGAGGCAGACAGATAGACGCATGGGCATCACGGAAACAATTTTTGAGATGGTTTGAAGGGTTGGATGACATATCAACAGGAATCCTTTGGCTCTTCCCGAACATCCCCCGAGTCTATTTGTTTAACCCTATAACATCCCGAACTATTTCTTCACTGGCGCTAGGCTATGTAGATATCCCCCACTATTCCATCTCCTGCTGTTTCTTCGCCTTGACAACCTCGTCCGTGGTCCGGTTTCACGGAATGGGTGTGAACACCCCGCGGGGTCAACAAGATGGGGGAGGTGGGCATGTTGAGTGGGAGGGTGTAAGCGAGACAAGGCATGACCAAGACATCTCCAAGAATGGGGGCAGCAATTACAAGGCTGAGCCCTGCGGATATTTAAAGGAAGACTCACCAAAACATGGATATATGGATTTTGACCTATGGTGTCATTACTGCCCTGCTCTCCACTTCTCGTCTTATCAAGTACAGTACAATATGTGTCTGAGCCTATGTTATCAGTTATAGATCTTCCAAATGACTAACCCTTCCATTATTATCATTACGTCGTCCAATATCTCTCTCCGCGCTGGTCCTGGTGCTGATTGATGGTCTAGATATAACCAACTTGTTCCCCCTGGCCCCCAAATGACTTTGCGCCGTTATATCCCCTTTGGAGCCCCATGAAAGGTAGATGATAGGATCGCGGATATGGTGCCCCAGTCGTCCACAGTAGGTGGTTGTACAGATGCGATGCAAGTACAGTCAAAATCCAGAAAAAATGTCCGTCTCAATGTACAGGGAGCCAGTCGCTCGAGGGGAAGATTAGTCTCCCCCTTTGAAAAGGCCCTTCCGCAGTAAATATCCTCCTCTTCAAAAGCAATGCGCCGTGAGGATGGTTCTCTTCGCTCTCGCGGCCAACACCTCGTCTATGCCATGCATGCTGTGTCGTATGCTGGATGATTGCTCGCTATGCCGGCGAGTCTTCGGTGTGTGAACGTCTCAAGGTCCCAAACAGAACCTTTTCAACTTCTGGGCGCCACTCATACCCTCGAATACCTCGAACCACCACCCCTCAACCTCCCCCCAATCTCCCTCGCCCACTCCTCATCCTCCTTCCTGCCACCCAGCCAATACCCCTTTCCAAAGTTAACCATCACCCTACCCATCTTGCCCTGCCACCCCTCACCCAGCGGCGCGCCCTCCACAAACGGATCCGGCGCATGTCCCTCCTCCTTGCCATTATCATCATCCGCCTCGCCCGAACCAAGCGGTCCACCAGCCCACCCGCTATTCATATCCACATACCTCTGCACCACGGCCCTCGCATACGCGCAAACCACCAACGCAAAGTAAATCCTGATAATCGTGAATCCAATAACAAGACACATGCTCGCCGCAGACTCCTGCACGCCCACCGCCTTATTGATCTGATTCTTCTGCGCATCATCATGCTCGTACCCCTCACCGTTGGACGGGCTCGCGCTCTCAGGGATATCGCCCTTGCTGGCGGGGCCCTGGGGGTCGTGGAACTGGCTGAGGTACCAGGTCGTGGCGAAGAAAGTGACGTAGGCGAAGTTGAGGAGGGTGTCGATGGCATACAAAAAGGCGAGGGCGAGACATTGGAAGGGCGACTGTTGGCGGATGTGCGGGATTAGGTAGGCTAGGAGACCGACGACTAGGAGCGAGAGCAGGTAGAGACTGATTTGTAGGAAGGAAAGCGGGAAGCCTGTGAAAATGGCTAGGATGCCGTAGATGCCGGTTATGCGGTTGAAGACGAGCGAGAGCGCGATTAGCTCGGTGCCGGTTTGGAGGGACATGAAGCCGAAGAAGGTCTGTTGTCACGTAGGGTTTAGTGATGCTGTTGCTGTTGCGAGAGGCAGTGTGTAGGGAGGCTCTGGGAATGAGAATTGCGAAAAGACTTACCCTCGGCCGGGGAAACCGAAGTCGTGGTAGTAGACCTCGCGACATGATTATTGATTTGATTTTGTATGTACGGAGAGTGTAGTCGTTAAAAGACTCTAGTTGTGGTGTATATCGCGAAACCAAAGAAAAGCCACAATGGAAAAAGGAAAGGGCAATTGAAGATGACGATGGATGATGATGATGCCGACAGACAAGCAAAAAAGGGGTCTTGATTTGCGGCGGCTGGCGGATGTGAGGTTGCAGCAGCTGAAAGAGCGGATCAAATCCAATGTGATGGCGGCAAAGTGTTTGTGCTTGTGCAGCCAACAAAAGGTGCAGTGCAGTTTGCAGTGGCAGTGGGCGCCGGGGCGGGCTGTGGGCTGGCAAAGTGGGTAGTTGGACGAGTCCGACGGCAGGCAACCGGAATTGGAGATTCAGTTGTGGGAATTTCACAGAGACCACCAATGACGACGGGAACACCCAAATAACGATCTTTTTTTGGTGAACACCAGACCGCAGACCGACGGACTGAGACGGGTTCGCGACGGAGCCCGGGATTTTTACGCCAGTTGCGACTTGTGACTTGCAACACCTCGTTCGCGCGAAACAAACGAAGCGGCGGCGCCAACTAAAGGTGACTGGGGGCATTGAAGGACCCGGATCAATCGGCATACCGTACGAATGCGAATTTGCGACTCCCTAGGGAGTTATTGTTATCCCATTGTTATGCCTCCCTCACCAGCCTTTTCTTTCCAGCCAGGTCCAACGACGCTGAAAGGTATCGTCGTTCGCAATTACCGGTTTACTTGGCATTCGCATAAAATCCGCGGATGAGTTCATCACCATCTGTATAACTTCAACAACATGATGCCATCTTCTTGAAATCGGGCTGCCTCTCGCTTACTCCAAGGCAGTCGCTTTCTCGCGTGTCCTCCCTGTCCAAACCAGCCGCCCAACCGCCTTTCCAGGCTTGCCAGGCCTGCCAGGCTCGACTCGACTCGGTTATTTGATCGCTGGCCTATGACGCAAAAAGTCTTTGGTGGCGAGACGGGCAGGGCAGAGACACTCCCCAATCAACGGGGTTGGTGTTCACAGAGGCTGTTAGGTTGGTGTTAGTGACACCTCTAGCGGCTAACATCTTCCCACACAATCCAGCGGTATGATTGTTAGCTAGATCAGAAACGAGTAGCAGAATCCCGGCTCCGATCAGTGCCAACCTGGACACACCAGCGCAGGGCACCGGAACACACGACCACAAGAGAAATCTCCGCGTACTCCTGGACCCTGGTAAAATCTGTGTTTGGGCCGGGAAGGGAGTGGTTATGCTCATCATAACTAAACTGACCATTTTGGGTACAATCCGCGAATGGACGAACAACTGACGGTATCACCGATTCTTCAGTATGATGTCTAGTCAACAATTTTGAAGTCTGGTTCTTCCTTAGAAGTGGACAACCAAGGACGGCAATTCCGTCTTCGCTCTTTGACAGCGGAAAGACAAGGTGGAGTCCATGTCGGTTTACCCCCTGAATTGGATCCGGACCCTGAACTTCTGAAGAACCCTTTTGGCCCCTTCCCAGGAGATCTTGTCGATGCTCTATCAGGATGGTGATACTGAAGTTGGACATCAACTTGACGCCGCCGTAATGTACAAGTGTTTATAGTTGGGTACGCGGACTCTGTATGTGTCTTCTGTCGGCGTTGCTAGACATAGCTGGCAGTCATGGAGTAGAGTCATTCTGTTGCGGCATACATACCTGATTCGACGTCTTACAACGGTCCAAACTCTAGACCAGCTCGGAGAAGATACCGAAGGATTTCACGAATTGAACACACAGAATCTTCAAAGACCCTTCGAAGGCACCTATGGAGGTCGGGCATGACACCCACGACCGCAACTGGATCCAGTCAAGCCACGGCACTGACAGTGAATTTTTCTCTGGGAGCGGCCCGAGAATCACGCTCTGCTGCGATCCCATCTCCATGTCCATCTCCATCCCCAACCCAAATCTTTCCGAATCCGACCGATCACCGAAGGAGACGTCCATCGGCATCTTTGCAAGGCTGATCATTCATTCATGACTATACTGTACATAGCGTCTTATGTCGCAATATGCAAGCGTGGTAGGTTCCCCAAAAACATCTCTAGGCGCGCGCGGTAGGCCAAGACATCGTCACATCTCAAAACCCTAAACTCCCCAAAACGGAGGTCTTCGTTAGCGTAGATAGCGCTGTTACTGCTCTACACCAAGTGTACATCCGCCCCCAAGTACAAACCCCGGACTCCCGACCGGCACTCGGCGGCTCTCGGTCCGGCCTTTGTTAGACTTGTTAGAAGTTGTACTCCACTTCTTTACCGGCTGGGCGGTACCCCGACACGCCCGACCCTATCGGTCTGGTTGCCGGCAGTCTCCGGGAAAGTCGGGATTGTTCACGACATCCGGGTGATCGAAGGAGGGGCCGGTACGCGTGGGGAAGAGACTGTCCGGTAGATACTTTGGCTCGTTGGCTGGTCTACATGGGAAAGGTGATTGATGGGCCTGGTGGGCAACAGGCGACGACAGGCGACGACAGGCGACGACAGGCTATCGGGACTCGGGATGGCGTGAGAGGGATGGGAAAAGACGACAGAGCCCATGTCTTCTTGGGGGTGGCAGCTGGGCTTTATAGGTTTTTGCGACTGGAGTCTGGTTGATCATCGCTGCCACGGTATTCGGCGGCTTTGGTACGTATCCAGTTCTATCTGATTAGTGTACGATGGTCATCCGTCCTCTCGTCATGTAGCCAAGAGCGATGGATAACTTTGATGGTCTTCAAACTTCTGTCCATGTCGGGCTCTTTTCACTTTTGATGTTCTTTTTTACGTCTTTTTATTCAAACTTCACCAAACCGGTCATCGCGCCATCTCCTACTCTTTCACTTTCATGTTCTTTTTTTATGTTTTTTCATATGCCTTTTATTTAACTTCCCCAGATCAGTCATCGGGCCATCTCCTAACGACGCTGCCATCGTCTTCCACAAATGCAGCACAAAAGACATCGACAGAAATACCAGAAGCTCAAGATAAATGCCAGCAAAGTTAACATTGGTTACTCAACGCTCCCCTCCCTACCTAGAACCTCACTACGAGCACCGAGCCACCTATCCGATGGAACGACCATCACTACCTACCTACCTACCTACCTACCTACCTACCTACCTACCTACCTACCTACCTACCTACCTACACTAGCATATCACCCAACAGTGCTTGACGAGAAGGATATCGTCAGGGTAATACCCGTGGCACTACATAGCTTTGTCTCTCGCTGGGGTGTTGGTGGTGGACGGAGGGAAAAGATATATATGCTGTCACCGCAGCTTCATATTTTACTCGAGATACAACGTGATCTTCTGTAAGATATGAGATAGTACGTTGACCGTAATCCGCCCTGATAACCTCATATCCGCCATCGAGAACCCGGAATTATCTGTATAATCAGTATCTTGTACAGCTTGCAGGTTACCAAGTTGTTTTTGTCGCGCCCAGTTGCTCGGCATGGTAAGGTAAGGTGGGCAGGTCCATATCCTTGCTGAAGTACTAGTAACAACTTCGGCTATGTTCCCCTTCCAACACTTGCCGGGTGGGTGAAGGGTTCCTTGAATGGAGATATGATACCGAAGTATATGGGACGGGAAGGTCACTTGGGCAGTAGCTTTATCGGGCCAGAGTGACGGAGGTCCACTCTTAATCATGGAGTAACTCGAGGATAACATAATTTGACTGTGTACAGTAAATGTAGGTTGGTGTTTTACTCAATGTTCTTCATTGGGCCACTACTGCTGCTACCTTCGATATGAGGTTGTTGTTGTCGTTCAGCGCAAAGGGTAACGTGCTCCGGCCGCCAACATCAACCCTTATTGTCGTTATCCGTGCAATAAAATCAGACATCATTCGCCGTTCCCAGTCCATAACCCATGATCCATAACCTTTCCGATAACCTTTCCATGCCCAAAAACGAGCGTCCATTCCAAACTCCAGCTATGCCATGCTATCCTTATTCTTCCTCGCCTAATCCTGTCCATGAGACGTTGTCCTGTGTGAGTGTTCACTCCATAGTCCAATTCTTCTTGACCTTCTCCAACCCCTTCATGCTCCTCCGCGCACCGTTGCCAGTAGCAACAGCCGCTCGCTCAAGGGGCAGTTTGTGCTCAACGCGCTGGACCGTGCGAGCAACCGAGGGCGTGATGCGCTGCACGCCGCGCTCGACGGGGTTCTTGAAGAAGTTGATGTTGCGCTGCCATCTGGGGGCCCACTTGGAGGTCTGGCGGGCCACGCGCTCTTCGGCGCCTGGGATGCCCATGGCGAGAGGGGCGAGGGTTCCGACTCCGGCGGCGCCGAAGCAGATGTACTCGGTCATGCCGGCGGCGGGGATGCGGACGGGCATTTTGGTGGTTTGTTTTGGGAGTTTGGTTTGTTTGAGTGGAAATGCTGTGGTTTGGTTAGTAGGTTGTGGTTATAGTTGAGGGATGGTGGGATCTGGTGTTTGAGGGAAGACGAAGGAGTGATGTTGCGTGTGATGATGGAAAGAAGATGCAGTCGATGGGGAAATCCAAAGTGATGATCAAGTGATACAGTGGCTGATTAATTGACGAGATAGTGGCTGTTGATGACCCAACCACATCTGAAGTCTTGTCATCTAAGAGATATTCGACGAGTGACTAGACGGAATGAATCACAGACGTACCTCTACTTGTGGTTGAGTGTTCTTTGCCTGACCAGCAGTTGATGCTGCACGCTTCGAGTGTTGTAGGCTGTAATGTGCTCGTGTATCTGGACAAATCCGTGAAAGGAGGAAGAGTGTTCTCTGCCGGTGGCACAAGAAGAGGAGAAGAGGCAGAGATATATCTAAGTGGGAGGGACGGGAGTCCCCTTTATGTGGCAGAAATGGGAACCACAACAGAAAGCAGCAGGTATTGTTACTGCTTGTTAGTCTTCTGCAACTCTGGCGGTGGTTTTCTCCCCCTTTTCCACTCAGTGTCCTAACTCGACGCCACCTTTGGGGGGGGAAATGCCCAAGCCTTGACCTCCTGTCGTGTCACTTTCCCCTCCCCGGTTTGCCTTGCAGGAAAGTGGACGGTCCAGACAGGAAGCCGCCTTCCACCTCTGCATATCGTCTCTTGCAGTTTTTCCACTCCCTTCCCTCCGTTCAACGGGATATCGAGACACGGAACCGTCTGGCTGAGGCATGGTGTAACCCAGAACTGAGCGGGGTAAGAGTGGCAGTCAATATCCAAACACCAATCATGGCCTGTGGCTGGACGTCACTTTTGTATCACAGCAGCCCGTCTGTGAGTTCCGTCGTCCGGTTCTTTGATATCGAATGACACCACGGAGCGAGGAGTGGTCTGGTGCACGTGTGTGGTGTGGCTGGGGGAGCAACAAGTTTGCATTCGTGAGTGTGGGGAGATTTGTCGCACAAATAATGGTGAGTATTCGTTGCAGACGCTGACACAGCGAGACACCAAATTAACCAACACATTTTGGTAATTGAGGAAAGCGATATCGACATCTGAATCTCTGTTGTTTAAAACAGGAAAGAACAATTCGGGGACCCTTACCGTCGCAGGGCAGGAGCTAGTCTGGTGGAGCCTCAGGGGAATTGGTCTCCACTTTTGACGCTTTCCCCGGATTCCACCCCGCAATTTGAGTTAGCGCTGTGGATCCGATGGGGCTCTCGGTCACCACGCCAACCTCAACTGTGAGTGAAGAGGAAGGAGCACTGTGATGAGGAAGGACTGGACTGCTGTATTTGGATCTGAAGAGACGGAAGGTGGCTTCAACATCTCCAAAGAAGTACCTCTTTTGGTGGAGTTTTTGTCACTGTTGAACGCCCATTGTTCCTGTTCATCGCAGCCTTCAACGGCCACTGGCCCGAGACTGGCTCACATCAGCCCTCGCCCACTTCCGAGTTTCCAATTGAGAACTTCTTGGTCATTGTGCAACATGACAGACAAGTCCAAATCCGAATGCGCAACGGCCTTCAGGGAAGAATTTTGCCACTCTCTTCGGCTTTTCAGACACAGCAAACTTGCGAGGTCATTCATAGAGAGATAGACGATGCACGATGTTGGGCAATGTGAAGGATGTCAGACTCTGGATTATTGGTAAAATTCATTGACAGAAAAAGGGACTGGTGCTGACGAATTCAGGGTCCGCCGGGGTCCAGTTGACAGACACCAATGTCGTCTTGGCATTGAACATGGTGCTTGAGTAGAAGTTGAAGAGATTGTGAGCTAAGGTTGCAGTGTTTTGACAGGAAAAACAAACTGATGTCTGAAGAGACTAGAAACGCCCATGTACTTCAGAACAATGGACTTTGCTGCCCAGAGACCATTCAAAACGAAAACCACAAAGTGTCATCCAGTTTGCAACAAGAACTGATCAACGGAAACCATCAATGGCCAAACATGACCTGTTTATGTTGGTACCCTTGAATAGCTTCGAAGTTTTCCTTTCTCTTGGCCAAGGAAAGAGGCAAGGTGCCGGCGGGCCATGTTCACAGAAACACATGTTCAACCCTAACCCGAACCTCATCCACTCTCATCAACCGATAACACGATAGCGCTAAGATAAGGCAAGCGTCCCCTCCGCCCCACATCTTTTTCCAACACCGACATCCAGAAATTTTCAGAAGCGGCGCCCTGGACCGTTCCGCTGTTGTTGACTTTCTGTTGCTTGCTTTCCCCCGATTCCCCGAAAAAGACAACGAGCCTCATCCCACACCCGGCTCGCTGCTTCTTCTTCCTTTCTTCAACCATAACCACTCACCCACATAACCCGTCAAGATGCGTGTCGATCCCTGTTTCTTTTGCGGCCGTCCGGCCTGGCCCTCCAAGGGCATTACCTTTATGCGTAACGATGGTTAGTCTCTATCCCTAATTCTATGGTCAATCATCCGTCAAAGATCCAATGCTAACAAGACACTCCTCCTACAGGCAAGTCCTTCCGCTTCTGCCGCTCCAAATGCCACAAGAACTTCAAGATGAAGCGCAACCCCCGCAAGCTCAAGTGGACCAAGGCCTACCGCAAGAACGCCGGCAAGGAGATGGTGGTCGACAGCACCCTGCAGTTCGCCGCCCGCCGCAACGTGCCCGTCCGCTACGACCGCGAGCTCTTCCAGAAGACGGTCAAGGCCATGGAGCGCATCTCGGAGATCCGCCAGCGCCGCGAGCGCATCTTCTACAAGCGCCGCATGGCCGGCAAGCGCGCTCGCGAGGTCGCCGCCGCCCGCAAGCTGGTCGCCGAGAACGAGCACCTGCTCCCCCGCCTGCGCGGCTCCGAGAAGAGGAGACTGGCCGAGCTCGCCAAGGAGACGGGCCAGGACGTCGAGGAGCTCGAGCGCGACGAGCTGGCCAAGAAGGCCGCCAGCAAGAAGACCAAGGCGTTCGGCGGCGAGGTCAAGAGGCTCCGCGTCAGGACAGACGGCGGCGTGGAAGAGATCTCGGAGCGCGTTGGTGGTGGAAACGTTGTCGATGAGGATGATGACAATGACGACGAGAACGATTTCGAGGACGTTAACGACGATGACGAGATGGACACCGACTGAGCGACCAGCATCAGTACTATTACTACCACGACCGCGACCACCACCAACACCACCACCACCTCCATCACCAACACAACCGGAACCAGCCACCTCTTTTCTAAGCGTCGGGATCACTAAAACGCTGTTTGTTTCTTTTCTGGAACGAACTCCCTCCCACGCGGCTGTCGATACCACAATGTGGGGAAGGGTTTGCTGTTTTTTCTATAAGACGGCGGCCCTTCCTCGCCACTGAGACCTGTTGAGTTGACTTGTCAACAATACAAGTCAACTACGACAAACAGACCCGGTGCAAAAAGAATCGACAATGATAGAAGGAGGAACGGACAGCCACACTCTGACTGTGAACAGCACTGTTGGTTTTGGACCGCATCCGGAGCAATGGCTGCTTCGGGCATATACCCCTTGGTTGGTCGCCACAGGTTATTGGGAGATACATTTTCGGAACCATGGTTTTCAGGGGCATCAAATCTACCTTTAGTAGCAAAGCATATTTTCGGTCTTTTTTATTGGAATCGGCGAATTTGGCGTTTAATAGACACAGGGGAGACCCAAGATATGAAGTTACTTCTTGTTTTTTCTTTCTGCCATGTCTGTCTCTTGTCCTTGTTTATAGTAATTTTCCGTAGTACTTGTTCGGACTTAGCATCGCAGGTCTTCATCATCGGAAACCGTGACACTGATGCATACCGTAGCTCGAGACCTTCTTACTCTTGAATTCGAAGCTATCCAAACACGTTAAGGTCAATTCAGCCTTCTGCTCTGTGATCTTATCTTCACTTGGAAAAAAGGAGACAACAGCACAACTGCGTTGAACGGCGAAAAGGCGATGGACTTCAAGTCAAGTAGATACGGGTAATTACATGTTTTATCATATTAATATAAACGTTAAAACCAAAAACCAGACCACCCCCCCTCTTCTTTGCATGCATGCTAATGCTCCGATCGCCAAACCGTAAGCACAAACACAGCCAGCCAAGTTCTTCTTCATTATTTGCTCTCCGTTTGTTGTCAGGTTGTCTAGTAGAGCGAGCCCCACCTCTATATCCCTCCTACCCATCATCATATTTCCCATTACATTTCGTTCGTTAACCTCGTTAACATCTCGTTGGTCAACATGGTCATCGTCATCCATTGTTTCCTTCATGTCCCCTCGACTTCCTCAACCCAGCCCCGTCACAGTTTCCCAGCCCAGCAACCCCTTTGTCTTCCCCCAAACCTGTCCGTCCCTCCAGGTTCCTCCCAGACATACCACATACCATCCAGACAGACAGACAGACTTAACAAGCGCACCCCTCCTGCGCCACCGTCTCCTTACTACTAACGTCAATCCTCGTCGCCGCACCACCGCCTTGTCCACCAGCCGCACCGCCCTCGCCACCGGTCCCCTCCATCCCCGGCAGCGCCTGGGCTATCCTCTTGAACAGCGTCTTGACGTTGTGGCCCAGCTTCGCCGATGTCTCGACGAACATGAGGTTGTTGCGTCGGGCCTCTTCCTCGCCTTGGGCCGTGGTCACTTCGCGCTTGTCGTTCAGATCCGTCTTGTTGCCGACTAACACGATGATCACGTCGTTGCCGCGCTCGGCGCGCACGTCGTCGATCCATTTTCGTGTGTTTTGGAAGGATTTGGCGTCTGTTTTTGGGGGTAAGTGTTAGTAAATGTTAGATGGGAGAAACTGGGGAGGCCGGGGGTTATGGCGGGGTGGAAGGCGGTGAGTGGTAAAGCTAGCGTAGCCGACGGGGGATATAAGCACGTAGGAAAGGTGGCAGATGGGGAACATACTAGAAATGTCATAAACCACCACAGCCACCGACGAGTCGCGGATGTACGAAGGGATCAGAGACCGGAAACGCTCCTGGCCGGCTGTATCCCAGAGCTGTAGGCGGACTGTTCGGTCTTCGAGATACATGGTCTTTTCCATAAAGTTAGCCAACATCTTCTTCCATTGTGTCCTTCGGGTGCTGCTCGCTGCGGCGGCGCATGTTGCCAGAAAGCGGTCAAGACGTCAAGAGGTGTTGAACATGCCTTGGAAAGGAAATCGATACCAATGGTGGCTTGGTACATGTTATCGAACGAGTCGTACATGAAGCGTGTGATGAGAGACGTCTTGCCGACTGTTTGCGCGCAATGGTTAGGTTAGTATATCGGTGTGTCTCGTTCTTAGAGATGGTGGTTGCATACCGCTTTGCTCGCCCAAGAAGACCAACCTGATGAGGAGTAGTGGTTAGCATCTTGTCTTGTTTTTTTTCAGTTTTTTTTCTCTCGAATGCCATGCCCGGCTATGGAAGCGGAGTGTCGGTCGGGTATGCTGTCTTACTTGAACTTCTTCAAGGGGTTGTTGTATGACCCGCCTGCTTGCGCCATTGTGATGGATGTATGGTATGTGTTTGCGGATTAAACGGATATTTCGCGGGGTAGCTAGCTGGTGCTGAAGGGATTCGGAATCGAAGGAAACACGGTCAAGGAATGAAGCTTTCGGACTTTGGAGGAAGTGGTTGTTAAGTGGCAGAAAGTTTAAGGCGGTCGGAGTTGAGGTGGTCTAGAGTTGTCTGTCGAGCGAGGGATATGGATCGAAGTGTGGAAGTGGACGGCGGCGGAGAGTTGCCGGAGACCAGTTGCAGCGGTTGAGTGGTCTCTCAGTGGTGCGACGGACGGGGGCGTGGCCGGGGGTGTCAATGGAGCTGGAGACAAGTGCTTGGTTGGAATCAGGTCGGTCTTTTTGGATCCAGTCGGGGTCCCGTTGCCGAGTCGATTGATGGATTGATTGTTGCTGGGATCTTGGTAACTACAATAAATAGATAATCGGATCGAGGAGATATATGGAAGACTTTTTATAAAATCTACAAACGAAAAAACAACATTATATGATGTAGGTTTATTCATTGACCAACAGGTCACATGCACGTGAGTTCCCAAGTTATACGTGTCTTTACATGAATAATTCCGAACAAGACCGTCCTCTCTTTGCAACTTCCTCTTTTTCACTTCCCCGAAGCGGACTCATGCGAGAGAAAGGGGACCACCGCAGAAGAACCACTCTGCGCCAAGCGATCAGTGGGGAAGAAAGAGGAAGTGCGCCGCAGTGGCCGCCGCCTTTCTACGCCCAGACAGTTCGACACTTCACTCGGACCAAAAAGACAGAGACGATCCAAAGGCTTGGCGGCCGTCATGGGCTTGTCCAATGCTAGATTCTGATTGGTTTACCACCACAACTGCCAGCTGAGCACGGCTGGGGAAGCGCTTGTTGTTAGTGTCTCTTATCTTATCGTACCCTCCTGTCGCCGCTGAAATTTTGAGTTGCACACCCCACTGGAAAGTCGAATTGACTGCAGAGGAGACCCCAGAATTTCAGGCGGTTTCGAGGTATCAACACTTCCATTTTCTTATCAGCAACGAACCTCTCCCGACTCATTGATTTCAACCTGACAACAACAACAACAACCCAACACCACACGCCACCCACACATATATCCAAAATGCCCGTTTTAAAACCTCTGTCGGGCGATGGCGAAGCCCCCAAGCAATTCAAGCAACCGTCGAGAAAGGGCAAGAAGGCATGGAGGAAGAATGTCGACGTTACAGAGGTCGAGCAGGGTCTCGATGAGTTGAACGCCCAGATCATCAAGGGGTACGAACGATGGCCCCTTACACACTCAAACACCCAATGACACCAAATTGGTTAACATGAATCGCATTATCACAGTGGTGTCATTGCCGAAAAGAAGTCCGATGAACTCTTCGCCATCGACGTCAAGCCCGATACCGAAATCACAAAGAAGCTCCCCAAGCAGTTCAAGAAGCCCTTGAAGGCCGACGAGATCCTCGCCCAGCGCTCTGCCGTCCCCGCCGTCTCTCTCAAGAAGCGCCCGGCTTCGGAAACCTCCGGCAAGGTCACCGACGGCGTCTTACCCTCCAAGCGTCTCCGTGCCACCTACGTCACCCAGAAGGAACTCACCCGCCTGAAGCGCGTCGCCGACGGCCACCACACCACTACCGTCGAGGTCGTCGACGCCACTTTCGACGCCTGGGCCGACCCGGAGGAAGCCAAGAAGAAGGAGGTCGAGGAGACGGTGTACAACTTCCTGCCCAAGGTCGAGAAGACCAAGGCCCCCAAGACGCTCACACAACAACCCATCTCCCTCGCCGCCACCGGCAAGCAGCTCCCTGCCGTGCCCAAGCCCAAGGGCGACAAGTCCTACAACCCCGCTTTCACCGACTACTCGGAGCGCTACCAGGAGGAGCTGCGCAAGGCCGAGGAGGCCGAGAAGAAGCGTCTGGAGGAACTCGAGAAGGAGCGTCTCAAGGCCGAAGCCGCCGCCAGGTCGCGCGCCGAAGCCGAGGCCGCCGAGAAGAGAGCCGAGCTGTCCGAGTGGGAGGATGATTCCGCCTGGGAAGGCGCCGAGAGCGACGCGGAGGGTTTGTCGTCCAAGAAGAAGCGGCCGGAGCGCAAGACGCAAGCGCAGCGCAACAAGATCAAGCGCCGCAAGGCCGAGGAGCAGCGTCTGAAGCACGAGGCGGCCATCAAGAAGAAGGAGGCCGAGGCCGCGCGGGTGAAGCAGATCGCCAAGGAACTCGCCGAGAAGGAGAGGCAGCTTGCGCTCCAAAAAGCCGAAAATGGCGAAGAGGACGACGGCAGTCTCGAGGACGATGACGACGTCGAGCTCCGTCGCAGGCAACTAGGCAAGTTCAAGTTGCCGGAGAAGGACCTCGAGCTGGTCCTGCCGGACGAGCTGCAGGATTCGCTGAGGCTGCTCAAGCCCGAGGGTAACCTGCTCAAAGACAGGTACAGGAATTTGCTGCTTAGAGGCAAGGTGGAGGCGAGGAGACACAACCCGTACAAGAAGCAGGCCAAGAAACAGATTACGGAGAAGTGGACTTTCAAGGATTTTACTTTGCAGTAAGCGTCTGGGTTTGGGGGTGGCATTTTTATACGGACACATATTCGGATTTGTTTGGTAATTGTTTCTTTCTTTTGCAAAATATTCCCTTTTTCGGTTTTTTAGTACATGTTTAAACACAGTGGCGTTATTGCGGTTCTCCTACTTCAAGATGGTCTTTTTGAGTGCAATAAAACTTTTATATGGGGTTCTTTAAATCGCATTTGTTCTAATTTCCCAATCAAACGGAAGTGATTCACAAAATGTTTGATGATCCAAGAAACTGTTGACATGACTTGTAAAAAAAACATCAGCAAAACCATACACACCGCATATAAACCACTCTCCCTTCGAAGGCAGAGACACACGGCCGGCCTTTCTTTAACATGGGGGAAAACCTTGGCCCATGTTGCTTCTCTTCTTCCTACTTTTAATCTTCCGGCACACTGATTCCATTGCCCGAACCATTCCAAGGAGATTTTCTGACTCTCGGCCTAATCCAGTGGGTTGCATTCGCAGCATCCCGGCTTTTGCAACTGCAACTGGCTGACACCAATCAGCTGTCTATAGTTAAAACAACAAGCGAATAGATGAAGTAGGCACAGTATGAGAAAAAGGCTCTAATGTCATAAGAGGTATCACTCAAAAAAAAAAAAAAAAAAAAAAAAAAAAAAAAAGAGACTTAGGTTTCTGGCTTGAGGAAAACATTGGTGGTGGTAGAAAAGATTTTGGGCCTTCGAGGGTCTTGGAAGTGTATGTGCCCATCTATGGTATAGCACAGGGACCGGTGCATTGTGTGGATAGGTTCTGACGGATATTACTTTGTTTGTTTGCATTATCTACATAAATGGATATATCTTTTCCAACCATACCTTAGCAACAATCACTGTCTCCCCTCCCACCAACCTGTTACTCACTTCACTTCACTTACAACCAACTCCTATGTATTACATTACCATCTGCAACTTCTTCCTCCTTTATTCTTCCCATACTCTCCCCTCTTCTTCTCACCCCTCGCCACACCTCACCAACCTTACTCAAAGCAACAAATCCCCTTGCGCTCCATTCATCCCACCACCATTCATCCCGCCACCATTCATACTACCCATACCACCACCCATACCATTCATCCCCCCCATGCCTCCCATACCCGGCTGATACGCCGAGCTCTGACTAACCACATACCCCTGACCATATCCATGGCCCGCATCCCCACCGAAACTGTCTCCAGGCTGCTGTATCTGCATCCCCCTCATCTGCTGCGCAAAGTACTCGTCCGCATCATTAACCGCCGCTTGCTGGGATGCTTGCTGGCTTACTTGCTGCGAGAAGTAGGCGTCTGCGTCGTGGACTGCTTGTGCTAGGTTACCTTGACTTTGGGTATTGGTAGTGTTGCTGTTGGGGGGAGCGGGACGAGAGCCAGGTACGCGAGGATCGAAATCAGAAGGTTGCTGTCCCTGATTAAACTGCGAAAGACTCTTCGGGTTGGGTAGTTGGACAGCTTCAGGGTAGTCCGGTCGTTGCAAGCACGGACTATCGTGTAGCTTCCTCGGCCTGGCATTTCGGAACACCGTATGCACGGGCTTCAGGTAAACGGTGGCTAGGGTTCCCACGTTCAAACACATCTCTTCAAGGGTAACAGGGTCAAGTTTTTCGCTCTCGGCCGTGATGGCGGGTTTCTCGCCCATTACGATCCGCTTGGCCGATTCCATGTCTGTGGACAGTAAGCGCCAGTACATGTAGGCGCGGTCGCGCAGGTCCGGGTTGTCGGTTTCTTCTGTGGCCCATTTTAGGACCTTGGGGACGAGTTCTTGGCCTTTGGTAGGGCGCTGGATGAAGAGTTTGACTGTTGCTGTGAGCAGGGCGAGTTGTACCTCGACAGGTTCCTCGGCGAAACTGTACAGGAAGTCTTCGAGGAGGGCGTCGCTGTTTTCGATGCGAGAGGCGTATTGGCCTATTACCCATACCATGGCTGCTTTGGCTTCGGGCTCGTCGAGGGAGTCGAGATGTTCGCAGAGGGTGCCGATGATGGACTCGTATTGGTTCGGGTACTTGCGGAAGATGTTGCGGATGACGACCGTGGCTTCTTGCACAATGTAAGTGACTTTCGTGGAGACTAACTCCAAAAGCAGGTTGATGCACCGTTTGGCGGCCGGCTCAATCTTAATGGCCAGCTTGCCGATGGCGCGGACAGCCTTGCGGACGAAGTGGACGTCGATTTCCGTGGCGTACTCGCGCAGTTCGGTCAGGACTTCGTCGATGTTCTTCTCGTTGGCGAGCATGAAGATAAGCTCCAGCTTGGTGACCTTGACGTAGATGGGGTCGTTGTACTTGCAGAAGAAGACGCGGATGTCGTTCCGCAACACTTCGGGACGGCGCTGGAGGATGAGGAGCGCGTTGCGCAGGGCGAGGTATTGCACTTCTGGACCCTTGGCTAGGAGGGTGACTAGTGGTGGAGAGAGTTTTCGGCAGAGGGCGGAGATTTGCTTTTGGTCGGAGATGTAGTTCATGAGGTAAAGGATTACGCGAATACAGGTGAGGACTACCGAGGAGTTGGAGTGTGAAAGGCGTGGGGCGATGCGCTCGGCTAGGAGAAGGGCTTCGCCGGATTCTTGAGGGACGTAGGACATCAGTGCCTCGAGGATGTAGGTTTGGCCCCATCTGTTCGCTGTCAGTGTCCGTTACTATACCCTGCATGGCAAAGGGGGGACCTACTCAGAGCAGTCGGCCAGAATGGCAACCATCTTGGAGGCATTGCTGTAGTCGATAGTGAGTTTGATAGCATCACTTCTCTCCCAAATATCCATCAAGCTTGCAAGAGCGCTGGCCACCACTGTTGGGTTGTCGTCCCTCAGGAGGTTGTTGAGTCTGTCGATGAGATCCGAAGCCTCAACCATGTGTCTATCATGGTCGTAAAGCTTGGCAACGCAAAAAGCAGCCGTCTTGCGGACATAGGGGTCGATGTCGCGAAGAAGGTGCTTGACTAGTGGCACGGTAGCCTCCACAAACTCTCGCACGTGGATATAGGACATGGTCCGTAGGGCGAGGGCGCGGACAAGGGGGTTTGGATCTTCATGTCCTGGTTTTTTGTTAATGACAACATCGTTAAAGAGTGGTAAACGTGATGACTTACATGCTCCAGAACCGGGATTGCTTTTACCGCAATATCAGGCCTCATCCTCGCATAGTTGACCAGATATAAGAAGCACATCTTCTTGATTTCCAGGGACTGAATGGCCATGCAGGCGACAATATCGGGGAACAAGCCAACCATGTCATTGTTGCTCATGGTCATGTTGGCGACAATCTTTTTCAGGGCAATCTTCTTTTGGGTAAAGTTCTTGTCCTTCTTGCTGCCGCTGTTCAGCTCGAGGCGTAGCTCGGCTACTTTGCCCTGTCGAGTTTGAGGTAAGCCTAGGTTCGGAGGGACTGGGAATGCGACAAACATGGTTGCGGTGTTCATGAGGAAGTCAGGGGTAGCTCATGTGTGTGTTTTTTGCCATCAAGGTTCGCGATGTTGAAGAGAAACAGCAATGGAAGCAAGGGAGGAGATACAGGAGCTGAGCTGAGTTGGATGGGAGGGGGTTGTAGACAAAGCAACGGCATATCCCGAAGAAAAAGGGAAGTCCCGTCTAACAAACAAATATTCAATCTTACCCTCGCGAACAGCTTGGAGTCTCCTCCTCCCTGTGTGGTCGACATGTTGTTGGCTGCTTGTTGTAGTGTGTATTATTATCGTCCACCTCCTCACTTTCTGCTATCCCTATTTTGGTCGATTCGAACCCGGTGATGCGATTGCGATGCGACAAAACCGATGGAATGGACGAATGGCAAACGGGCTCGGCGCGGGCGCAAGGTGTGGTGGTGTGGTAGACAAGAAAAAGCCCCCCCTCTTGGTGAACACACAAGGATATTGTTTGCGATATCGCGAATTCGACAACCGATGTACAGCAGATGAGATGGGGTGTCACAGGCACCCTCTTGCTTGTCCTCCTCTTTGTTTCAGCCTTAAAGTTGCGTCGTCAAATATTTGATGCCCGTTTCGGAGGTCCGGTTGAGGCAAGGTAGTCGTCGATGATGGATCGCGATGCTCGTCGTCGCCGTTGTCGTCGGTGTCTCGGTATGCTCGGTGTAGTGTCTGTCCGGCGGCGCAAACTACCCTCCACTTGCTGTTCGTTGTTGATGGGATGAAACAGCCTCCTTGTCGCAAAACTCCCAAGTCCAGACAATAACAAAAGATGATGTTTAGTTCAAATTGCCGACTTCGCCGGGGGGGTGTTGAATGGAAATAATGCTCTGTTCACCGGTTGGGGCGTCCCCTGAACCGTCGAATTAATTACGGCACCCGCCTCCTAGTCAGCGATCGCGAACCCTGCGACTTGCCGCTTTGGCGCCGTCAACACTGAACACCCACTGGATGGCCCCTTCTGCCAGTGAGCGGCTGGCACGCTTCAGTGGAGCTCCGTAGCATCATCAACAGACGCACGGTCCCCACCACTCAGCGTCCAGCGTGGGGAAGCGGCTCAAATAGTGGGGCCCTTCTTTCAGGGACAGCTACAGAAGCACGGACTCCATCACGTACACGTTGTGTCTCCTCCCGGCGTCATCGCATCGCATTCCATCTGATCCCGCCAGCTTCAACCTCCTTCACCAACACTTCCACATGGACGATATCACGACATCGCTAAGCGCATCCATACCGCCCACCATGACCGACCTCAAACCCGTTGCCGACCCCTCCCCGAGATGGGTAACCGACCTCACCAACCCACCGCCTCACAAGTCCAAGCCGGCTAGCATCCCCGATCCTCCAGGCTACTCGTCGCAAGCCGTGTCCGGTCCTTCCAAGGTATAATAACCCCCAAGCACCATCATCACCTTGTACACAGCTAACCAATTGACCAACAGAAGAAAGATGTCTCCCGCCCCGCCGGCCGCCAACAACCCTCGCCCGAACAGATGGACACGCTCAAGCTCAAAAAGGCCTGGGAAGTCGCCCTCGCCCCCGCCAAGAACCTCCCCATGACCCTCATCATGATGTACATGTCCGGCAACTCTCTTCAGATCTTCAGCATCATGATGGTGTTCATGGCCTTCAAGAACCCCATCATGGGTCTGTTGGGCACCAACCAGGCCTTTGAGAGGTTCGAGACGGACAGCAACAGGGGGTCTATTCTACAGGTGAAGGCGGCGTATGTGCTTATGCAGGTGTTGGCGTTGGCGGTGGGTGTGTGGAAGATTAATAGTATGGGGCTGTTACCGTGAGTTATCCTGGGAAGACCGTCAAGAAAAGGGTTGGGTGGGATGATTGCTAACTTGGTGAATACAGGACAACGAGATCGGACTGGCTTGCTTGGGAAGTGCGCAGGGAACCGCTGGAACATGCTATTCCAGCATTGTCGTTATAGGTGCATCGAGTTTAGTCGACAATGACAACGGAGACTTTGTCAACCTCACTCTTACTATACACGTCCTAAATACGCATATCACCAGCGACAGATACGGTTCTAGAACGGAAGACCATTGATGATACATTATGCGACCCCGTTTCGGATTAAAGCAGCGCATTCTGAACCAGGGGCATTATGTACACACAATGACACGAACATCTGTACTATAAAGCAGCACGGCGACAGATCCTAGGCGGCACCGGAGAGGACTCGGAGATGGAAGCAACTGCAGACGATGAGGAGCTGAAACCACCGGAGCTTTCTCCGATATACCTACGTGCTCCGTATGCAACGCAGTGCGAATACCTGAAATCGGCGAAGACCTGCTCGACAAGGCTCCCGGGGGATATGTATGACGAGGAAGGCAAGATGGAACGGGGAAGACGCGAGACAGGTGGGAACTTGGAACAAGGTTCTGACAAACTTGACAACACCTCAAAAGTACAGTTTCACCCCCGGCAGCTTGGTTAGCTAGGTGCGATCTGTTTATCCGAGCAACTCCCTCTTTCGGGGAAACGCCCCTTCTTGTGACCCCTCGGCATGGTCCTATCTTCGTGTAGAGGATAGGCTGTCGACAGACCGAGAATGTTATCAAATTGCAACATTCGTCTAACAGCGACATACCATGGCCTCTAGCACGCGCCATTTGCGGTTTCGTTTGCACCGGGAATCTGCTATCCTAGGAAAATTTGCATTGCAGACAGTTGGATGCCTCTCGAGATGAACTACTTTGCCATAACCAAAACACGAAAAGAGTCATGCTAGTAATGCCGAAGAGACTCCCACAGTCGGGGACACGGCCCAGAATGATACATTTTCCTTGGCACAACCAAGTTCATCTTCACCAAAACCAACCAACCAATCACACACCATATTCTAACTGGAAGCTCAGGGGTAACAACAAGTTAAACAACCCCTTCAACAACAACCTCGCTAGTGCTACCCTGCGAAACCCCATACTTTGCACTAACAAGACTGACTACGTAACTCTAGGCAGCAACGGACGACCAACGGACGACCAACGGCGGTTTGGGAGATTGAGGTTGCATTGGACCCGGGCAGTCTTCCCAGTTAAACTTCGGTCACTCGCCCTTGAGTTTCTTCTATTCCCCGCTATTTCCAAAACGACGGAGTATCCATTTGCGATTTGCGATTTGCTAGTACTTTGCAGAGTTTGCTTTGTTCCAGGGTTGGCTGGAATGGGAAACATGTCACGATACCTATGACGGCATATCTTATTCAGGCTGTCTCGCCCGAGGCTTTCCTTCGCTTGTGAATGTCTCTAGTATGTAGTGTATGTACGGTTCTTGCAGGGGTTGTCTACCTGGTCTGCGCTCTACTAGGTTGTGTCGTCGTTTTTTTTCTTTTTCTCTCTGCCAGGCTTCTTGCCGAAACCGAGCTTAGCATTTCTGTTTTTCCGGAAAGTCTCTGATTGAGAAAGACTGTATGTCATGTGGCTGTGTGGCTATGTACTTGGTTTATGGTATAGGGCGCGGGGAAAGTGAAGATCACCGTCAATCACTAACGTGTACTGAGCTCAGCCTTCTTACACCAACTAGTACCGAGCGAGTAAGCTACCGAACGAAAAGTAACATGTGAAGAGAGACTACCGACGGCAGCCGCATGGCAATGGATGTCAACAACACCGGCAGAGACGTAGCAATATTGAACTCGGTTGGACATAACCGGCTTCTGACAGTCGACAGTCGACGACTAGTAGCGAGACTCACAGGATACTTGACGATATCTTCCTTCCCTTTGACACCCGTGGAATTGCAAAAAGACAAAGGGAGGGTTCAGGCCTTCAGGGGTAAAAGACAAAAGACGGAAAGTTCACAAGGATTCTTTGACACTAGCAAGGCCTCGCAGGCCCAACAAGAGCGCCAAGCCGGAGAGTCTTCCTTGTCAGTGTCACTCCTGTCATTTTAAAGACAGTGATATGGGGGTTTTCGGCTTTTTTTTTTTGCTGGGTTGCTTTCTCTTCCCCTGGGGTTCCTCTTTTTCTTGAACAGCCTTTCTACCTTGGGTTAAGATCCAAGGATACCGCAACCAAAAGGTTAAGGCCAGGTGAGTCAGGGAATATTACGTCAAAACTACCTAGGCAAACTAGGCAACATCCGGTCTACAGCTCGCCCACTTCCCGAATTTGGGAATGAGGGAGGGTGACAATGGTCACCAACTTGCATATCACAGCCATCAGGCATGGGCGAGTACTGCTTACACTAGACTAGGTGGTTTAGTTCTGATTTGTTACCATGGGGCTTGTTACCATGAGATAGTAGCCTCGGCCGTATGATACTACCCTGTCATGTATGTGTCATAATATGTGATTCATATAAAAAAGCTGGTGGTCTCCCACCAGACACTTGTTAAGTGCCGGAAGGATTTGTTCCTTCTTGAAACTCTTCACCTTTTCCATCATCACTTACAAGCTATAGTCTTGTTGTTGTGAGATAAAAGGGGAAAAAATAAGACTATCTTAGACAAGATGCTCGCCGGCTTGAGTATCGGCCTGAGAGGCCTTCAGGTATGTTTTACTTATTCCTATAACCTGAAGTTGGACTCATCAACTACGCCCATTACATCAACCCCTTCTCTACTTAGCTCATGCTTTATGTTCTCTTTCATCCATGATCGCTTCCCTCCACTTTTACCATGTCCCACGTACATGTTCCCCGGGCCATCATCATCAACCCCTCCCGTCTTCTACCTCATCCACCCAAAGTCCACTTCACCACATTTCCCGCCCGCCACCCACCGCATCCTTTCTTCCTCTTCCTCTTCTCCAAAAAGCCAGCACCTAACTCTTGATACATGTAAACAGATCGTCTTCGGCGCCGTAATCATCGGTCTCTCCGTACAATTCATCACCGCCCAAAAGATCGGTTCCGCAGCAACCACCACCAAATACTCCGTCTTCACAGGTGCCTACGGCATTATCGAAGGGTTTCTGGGTCTCGCTGCGCTGTTTCTCAGTTTCATCCCGGATATTATCGTGTTGGGGGCAGATGCCGTTGGTGCCCTTGTCCTTCTTGCAGGCGGAATCGTACGTTTTTTTCTTTTTTTCTTCTTTTATCCCCTTATTCCATGCTTCTCCTTCCTTATTCCTTCCCTTCGGTGTTCTTGTAGATAGGGTGTGTGACATGTGCTGACACCGACGAACAAAAAAACAGGCCTGGGCAATAGGTACCCGCTCCACTTCCTGCACCGACATTTCCAAAGCCGAGAAAATCCTCGACAACAACTTGCTCAACCAGGGCAAGCGCAAGTACAAGGGGGATTGGTACTACGGCATTTTGGACGGCAACCCGAGCGAAAAGGAGCTGTGGAGCAGGCTGCAGAGTAGCTGCAAGAAGGGGCTGGCGGACGAGATCTTCCAGTTTTTGGCGTTTGCGGTTTTGGCGGTGTTGTTGATTGTGGGATGGATTAGGTGGAGGAAGGGGAAGGGTGGTGGTGCGGGATCGAGGAGGACTTATGTTTAGGGGTCTAGGGTAGGGGGTGGTGTTGAGGGTCTAAAAGGGAATGGGAGGGTTATGAAAGGGGAAGGGACAAGAAGAAGAGAAAAGAGGAAGAGAAGAGATGAAGAGAAGAGAGGAAGAGGAAAATGTGGACAGAAAGACATAATGATAATGGGAACAAAAAGGATATAAATACGGAATGGGTTGGACAAGACTCGAGGATAATGTAATGACTAAAGTTGAGATACCTGTTGTTATGATGAAAGAAAAGATACTCGTCAACGCTTGAAACGCCGCCGTCAATTGGATTAAAAATCAACTTAACCAATGGTCTGAGGTGCTTTGAGGCAAGGCGAGTAGAACATTAGACTGCATCTTTTCTGCTTTGTTGAGTCCATGCTACATTGATAATGGTGTACGTAGAAAAGAAGACACCTTAACATTGAAGTTAATCTGGAGTCAGAGTCAGCATATATCCCAGCGAGATCTTCTTCAAGCCTTCTTTTATTGCTGCCTGTCTAAGTTCTCCACCTCTACCATACCTCTCCCACATCCCCTTCCTCGAGAGTCTAGATCTAACGCCCATCAACCCCCCAAATCCGATCCCACCCTTTCTTACTAACTCTCAACGGCCCATCCAGCCTCCCAAACCTCGCCTCCTCCCCGCTGCTCGCCTCCGGTAAACACACCCACTCCCTTACACAATCAGGCACCTCCTCCTTGATATGCGAAATACAAATCAGAGCTTGCTGGTCCGTCAACCCATGCACCTTGACCTTTCCAGTCCTGGCTTGCTCGCTGTCTACCACCTCCAGTGGTGCGACCGAAATCCCTTTACTACCACTACCCGAAGGAGCAGGTGAGGTACCAGAGGCACAAGTAGCGGTAGCAGCGGCAGTAGCAGAGGCAAAAGTCTTGCTCTCGCCGTGAATAAGGAATAACATGCACTTATCCCTAACCGCATCATCCATACCGCTAAAGGCTTCATCCAGGACAACGATATCAGGGTTCTTAACGATTGCTCTCAGGAAGAGGAGCAAGCGCTGGGAAGAAAAGGGTAATTCACCGAATTGGTAATCTTTTGCCCACTTCAATCGCTCTTCCTCTTTGGCAACCTCTGCCAACTCATCAGGTGTATGTTGGCTGCGTTTCGCAAAAGAAGGATTAAGTTCATGAGCAAACCACTTCAACGTCGCTTCCACCTTTTCTCTCGCCTCATGCGTGATTTTCGGCACCGAAGAAAAAGTATCTGCCCAAGCGGACTCTAACACAGCCCTAACCGTCAAGCGGCGGGGCATATGCTGATGGATCTCTGGGCTGGAATGGCCGACGCGGGATTGGATGTCCCAGAAGGTTAGGGGGCGTTGACCTGACCCTGGTTCTGGCAGGCGGGACCGACCGAATAGTTTGATAGGGAGAGAATATGTCTGCGGGTGGTCGGAGCAGAGTAAGGACACGATGGTCGTCTTGCCGGATCCATTGGGGCCGAAGACTCCCCAGCGGGATCCGCGGCGGACGGTCCAGTGCAGGCCTGAAGGCCAGTTACCTAGGACGGCCTTGGTGCCGTAGCGGACTGTGACGCCTGACATTTCGACCAGGGGTTCTCCTTCTTTCTCTGGGGTAGAGGCATCAATGATAGGGGCTTGGTTAGTCGGCGAACGCGTCAACTCTTCAGCTAACCCCTCCCCCTTGATCCCGTCATTGGTAAGAGTTCGACCGATGTCAATAAGAGCATGAACTGGCATCGTCTCATCTTCAGTCAGTCCGCCCTTCCACACTCCTCTTACATAAGCCCTCAGTCCATCTAACACCGTCCCCCGTTCACCCATGGCGCCCACCTGGCTATCTGTCCTCAGATAAACCAAATGCGTGATCCACTCCGGCAACGGATCCTGCGGTCTAGCAGCTAGTATAAGTCTGGGACTCTTCTTCTCCGCCAAACTTTCCAACAACGGACTCAGTCCCGCAACAGTAGCAGGATCCAGTCCCATAAAGGGTTCATCCAGCAACAACACCTCGGGGTCGGTGAACAGTGCCCTAGCGATCCTCGCTCTTCGACCCTGGCCGTTCGACAAGAACGACACGGGTAGGCCCAGCAAAGTGTCCAGTCTGAGATCAACAACCACCCTCTCGAATAATTCCGGGTCGACCTGGTACTCCCCAGGCATATGACTAGGATTCAACTCCGTGTTCCCAAGTAACCAATCCCTGACCGAAAAATCCGTTTGTTCCCTGTGACTTTCGTAGCGAGCGGAGATGTAACTTGAGGCAGCAGCGCCTAGGCCGCCCGAGGTGGAAGTGGCGTCGAATCCGACATATTGGATTGCTTTGGAGGGGTTTCCTCTCAACCTGGGGGCTACTTCGTCGGTGGAGAGGTAGGGAAAGGAGCGCGCGGTGGGCGGGAAGCAGAGGTATGAACCGCGGAGAAGTTGTAAGAAGGTGGTTTTGCCGGATTGGGAGGGGCCGAGGATGGCCCAGTTATGAGGGGAGGAAGGGTGGGAGGGGAGGGTGAGGGTTAGGTTACTGAAGAGTGGTGGGTTGGGATGACTGTGAGAAAGATGGGAGGGGTGGGAGGAGGGTTGGTGACGGTAGAAGGTGCCGTTGGTGATGCGTATTATGGGGGGACGGGCAGTCCCGGGTGGTGGGAAACGCATTTTCTGTGAAATTGAAGATTTATAAGGAGAGGTGAAGCTTGGATGTGCCGGACATCTCAAGTCATCTCAAATGAAGTAAAGAGACGTGTACACTAAGTGAGTGACCTGGTGATGATGATAGATGGAGGTCAGGAATAACAAGCGGCTTCGGAGGTAATTACAGAATTACGGTATTAGTCTGTAATAACAGTGACACCGGGGAGCCTGGCAGACAGTCTGGGGTCAACAGGTAGGTACGTACCTGCCGCCGCCGCCGCCCAGTGACAGCAGCCCTGTCGCCCTGCCGCCGCCTGCGACAACAGCAGCGGGCAGCGGGCAGCGGGCAGTGAACGCGGAAGCTGCTTGGAGCCTTGACGTTGACCTGTTGGAGCTTCCCTTCCACTTGTTGCATCTTCCATTCCTCATTCCAGCCTCAACCCAACAACGGCAAACAACCAAACTCCAAAGCAACGTGCGAACGATATATCCTTGCGATACCCAAAACAAATCAAGCGTTCGAGATAGTATCACAGTCGCGCAACGAACCAATCCTCATAATAACCTCCAAACAAACCAAACAATACGTAATCAACACCGCCGCCTAGCTTAAGCAGCAGCAAACCGTCAAGATGGTAAGCTACCTCTATCAACACCTACCTGCCCCTCCATCAACACCACAGCAGCATCATCACAACTTCACCACTGGCCTCACCTCTCAACCCCCCAAGCCAGCGACGTCCACTCCATTTCCAGCTTCCACTTCTCCCCTCGAACCCAGCCCTCCTACAATGAACCGCCATGCTAACAAAACCCCAAAACAGTCCCTCCGCATCGTCCCCGCCGACTCTCACACCAGCACATTCACCCACCTCCGCTCCATCGCCGCCCCTCCGCGCCCGGTCTGCACGACACCCTCCGCTCCGGCCTCGCGCCCAACCCCCTCGACACCGTCGCCCCCAAGTCCTCCTCTTCTTCTGCTTCAGCCTCATCCCTCCCCATCTCATCCCACCCCTTGGAATCGCGTCTCAAGCAATGGGAAGCCACGCGCGAAGCGCTTCGTATGGAAACCCTCCGTCGCACCTTTGGCATGGCGGAGCCTATCCGTCGGCAGATGGAGCTGAAGATTGTCCGGGACGGAGAATGGAAGCCGTTGGCTTTGGGGGGCAGCCAGGGCGTGATGGGCGGTATGGGGAATGTGCATGAGGAGATTCTGATGGGTAGGGATGGGGATATTACGTGGGAGGATGTCTATAGTGGTGAGGATTCGAGGGTGGAGGTGTCCGTGCAGGAGGAGATGGAGAGGAAGTTGAGGATTTCGGCTTAAGTTCATATGCTGTGATGTGATGGATGGTGGATGGGTTAAGTGGTTACGACCATGGCATGGTATGCTAGTTCTAGAGATGGAAGGCAAATCCGAGAACAGAACGGAATATGACAGGATTAGACATCAGCTTCCCATGCGTTCCACGTTTTGCAGGTCTAGAGTAGGCGATGGACGGTTCTGGACGACGATTGATGCCTCTTGGTCTTGGTATTGGTCCGCGGGAGAGATTGATGGACACGGGTACCGACTGGCTTCGTTGGTTTAGTTACTCCCCAAGTTCATAATTTCTCAGCCCCAAGGGAGCATTTCATAGGAATAACAGAGCGAACGTCAAAAGGAAGATGTCTCATAATTCAATACTTCCCAACGCCTGATAAACCTCGTAATATGTACATGACCGTCCGTACTCATCTCTCGGAGGTCAGTCAGTCATCATATCCACACGCGCTGTCTCTCGCTTTCTATACTCCAGAGCACCCCTATCCTGCTCTAGACCTAGAGAGTTTGCCTGAGCTGACTATTCACAACGTCATCCTCCTCGTAACTGCTCGCGAAGCAAGCTCCTCCCCCGACTATCCCCTTCCACTTCTCACTGCTGCTGTACTGCTATCAAATCCAACACAGAACTTCGCTCGCCCTCTCCCAGCGGGGCTGATAACAAACAAAAACAAGGAGCGTAAAATAGAAAATGACAGAAAGTACAATAGAATAGCGCCATTTGGAAAAGCATATCCAACGAAGCTGTAACCGTAGTGAAAGAAAGGAAAGAAGAGAACAGGTGGCCACCTAGGCTACCATAGCGACTTGCCCGATACATGAAGTAAACCAAGTACATGAATATAACCCAAAACAAAACGGCCGCCGGCCTCTTTCATAAATGCAAAAAATACCAAATAACAAGAAAATATTCGCTGTGCTTCTTGGGTGGGATGATGTATCCCGTCCCATCTGTGCGTACGCTGGGTGGGTGCTGAGTGATGAATCGAGCTGGATCAGATTAACCAGCTACCGACTATCATCCCTTCTTTGGATTGTGAAAAATAGGATAAGAGGTTCATTGTTTGCCGATTTGGAGCTTCGATCCACCGCTTGCTTGCTGTTCTGATCGATTTGTCCGTCTTGCATCGGCATCGGTATCGCCATCGCTATCAACGCTGCCTCCTCTCTGATAGCCCTGTCAAGCGTGGTTTTGAAAGGCGCTTTGAATCAGCGAAGCACCCATAAGAGGAAGGATAGAGAAAAAGGGCGTGTTGTGGTCGACATGATCCCTCATAGAATGACACAACACCCACTTCCTCCTTCTCTCCTCGATCCTTCTCGCCCGCTTGCGCCGCTCTTGCCGCCTTTGGCGCCTTCGCCGTCTTCTTCCATCATCTCGGCTGGTCGGACGGACATGTGGACGACGTTGGGGGTGTCGGGGGAGAAGCGATATTCTGTTTTTGCTCATGTTAGCGTTTCATCCATGAAAACAATTTCTCAAAGTCCCCCGCATTTCTCCCCGCAACTGATCCATCTGTTTTCCTCCCATCTTCCCGCCATCGCCTCGCCTCTCCGGTGGTCCCATTTCGTTCTCCCTCCTCCTTTTTCTCCAAATTATCTTCCAGACCCTATTCTCCCAATTCTCCGCCTGCCACAACTCCCTCCATCCTCTCCATCAATCTCAATCCCCCACACACACTCTCTCGCCAAGAAAAAGACAAAATCGGGCAAATGGGTGCACTCACTCTTCAAACTCTCCTTATCATCCAACAACTTCCCAAAATGGATCAACCGAATACTAGTAGGACTAGCCGGCTTCCCCTCCCACTCCTCCCTCCACTCCCTCAGAATCAGTTCCTTGAGCTTATACACCGAGATACTGAACGGATCCGGCTGTCTCGTTTCGCTAACAGTTTCAGGGATCTCGACGCCCCTTTTGGACAGGTACTTCTCGTCGATCTTGTAGGGGTGTCGGGCGCCAGTCGGCAAAAGGAGGGTGATGTTGCAGACTGGGGCTTCGGTACTGGTGGGCGATCCTGATGCTGATTGATGGGAGGCTTGGGATATCGAGTCGGGGTCGGGCTGTGCGCCGTCGGTTTGGGATGCTGGCGAGACGGGGTCTGTTTCGGACATGACGTCTTGTAATGAGATGGGCATGTTGTTGTTGGCGCCGGCGGCTGTGGGTATTGATGGTTCTTCGGCTTCCTTATTCTGTGTTGTTGTTGGCTGGTTGTTGACATGCTCTATCTGGGCTACGTCGCCTGTCGCTGGTGTCGCAGCTGATTCTGGTTGGAGGGTATCGTCGTCGGCTTCTGGGCGTTTGCCAAAATCTTTTGAATCGATTGCGTCGGCCATATTGAATGTTTAGCGTATGTAGGTCTGCCGAGAAATGATGCCTCAATCCGATGCAGTTGATGGTATATAAAATGATGGTTTCGTTGTTCGTTTGCTTAGCGGTTGAGGTTTGGAGCTGTAATGGAGACGGCACGTCCACCCCTGGATTGAACTTGTAGAAGCGCTGCCTCCGGAAACTCGATCAAAATTAAAGGGTGGCTTGCTTCTGCGATGCAGCTGTAGGCGCGGGTCCGTCAAAAGGAACGTCGTGCTAGACTAGTGGTGATCTGAAAGTAGTGGTACTGTTGTAGGTAGATTGCAAATGTGATGTATTGTTGGTTTCGCTTCCGGTCCTTGCTCAGATTGCGGGAAGTCCCAGGTCAGGGCGAAGGGAACTGCGTGTATGTGTCTGGTTGATGGGTGTCCGGAAACGGTTGCCTTGGTAAACTCCGGGCTTGGGTCCGGGTCGTTGTGTCCCTGAGTGGAAATTGATCGCTGGATTGAAGTGGGTGGATGGTGGTGGTTGATTGCGCACACCAGATTGAATGGAACCGTGTGTCGATAGAGTCGCTCGTTCCTTCTCTCTCCGTGTGTAATGGATCAGAGGAGGGAAAAGCAAAGATGGAAATTGGGGATGAAAGAAGTAAAAAAGCGATGGATGGGTGTGCCTCGATTCGGGACCCCGACTAATGCGATGAGCGGTGACCGCTTCGTGAGTGATTGGATGGTAGGGCTATGGGCCGGGTTCTAGGTTGCAAGGCCAAGGATATGTAGTGTAGACCGGAGAGATAACGATAATTCTGAGCTATCCAGAGTTTAATGCCCGTGGATAGTGGATGTATGTAGATGCAAGTCAAGTGAGTACCTGACCGAGCGATGCAAATGCGATGCGGGTAATTGTCGGTGCGGGCTGCGGGATGCGGTGCGGGTGAGAGATGTCCGAGCGGGTACGAGAGTCGAAGAAGTCGAGATCGAGAACGGGAGGTTCGGTTTGAATGGAGTGCAGTGCAGTGTGGAGGTGGATATCGATTACCGGCGAGGTTGCTTTGGAGATTTGGACATATGTTGATGTTATTCAATGTCGGGGTCATTCACAATCCCGGGATGGTGACGAGATCTCGCTTCCTTTTGTTTATTTCCGTAGAGTGTATGATGTTGTGTATAATCCCGCTACCCGAGTGTCTCCGGTGTAATGGGCCAGAACAGGACGGTTGAGGCGAAAGCTATGTCCCGATGCTGAATTCAGACCGTGAGCTGATATGATGGCGTCTGGCCAAAGCTGAGACTCGGAAAAGGCTAGTCAAGATCTGGGATGTCCCTGGATGGGGGAGATCACCAACGATTGCAGATGAGATGTCGAACGTGTTAACCACCGAGAAGAGGCATGTATAGTAAAGACTGTCAACTGTATTTCTGTTGTAACATGTTTCAACGAAGTCATGGCAATCCAAAGCTTGATCTAAAAGTCCCGAGACCGGAATGGAATCCGGGAACCGAATGGCAAATATGTCAACAGACAAAACTCTTGCGGCCCGAGTCCGTACCTAGCGTCCGGTCTATCCGCTGCGGCGTAGGATCTTGGAGGTTGCCGTGATGTTTTCTTTCTGACTTTGTGACGACCAACAACTGACGGAACGGCACCAATTCGGGAGGTCGGGGATAGGTCGTGGGTTGGGTGGCCCATTTGCAGCTGAAACGACAACCCTCATTGGTCTAACCTGATATTGTAAGATCCACAGTTGATCGGCAGACCCCGCACATACCATTTGAATGGTGGAGTTCATGATGCATCCCGCCAAGCCTGGCTTTCTCCTTCCCAAAATCACGAAATCACTATTCTCTTCAGCAAGACACTCCTTCCTAAAATCTGCAGAAAAGAAGAGGTGATGGTTCGCAGATGGCAGATCGACTTTGACCCCGTTGAAGTTTCATGAAGCACTTCAAGAACAAACGTTCTTCGTTAGGGTTATAGTCATGCCTGGCAGGCTTTCAGCACTGTCTTGCTGCAGTGGCTCACCATGTCAATTTCAATTTCGACCAAGTGTCCCGTCACAGTTCCTCTCCTACAAACCACACTGGCAATCTACCATGGTCATGAATCATCCTTTCCAGACAACAAGCCGACATCCGAGTTGTGTTAATCATCTTCTCCTGAAAACCACCGATCGGGGCATTGATCATTCAATCAAGCCGGCCGATTCCTCGTTTTCACTGTCAGGGTTCGGGATGGAAAGGTTGAAGATTCGCCTGCCATTGAGCAATCGATTAGAAGCCTCCAATACATTCTCTGACCTCGAGACTCGATGGTTGTTGTCAATGATGATCGAATATCAGGAAGCCTGTCTTCGATGTGTCGCTTATTCAAACGCACATGGAAGTTGAAGACCGTTCGAGGACCAAAAATGCCCATGCATGGAGAGCAACGAGCCACGAACGACATGGTCTTTGGACCACCACGGAAACAAGTGAAGCAGCATATTGATATGTGGCCTCTCAAGAACCGGGTCATGAACCTGGAAAAGGGATTGTTGAGTCCTCGCACCTCAGCGTGCTTCTTTTGTCAAATCTTCAAAAAAAAGGTCATCTACTACCGACAGTTTGGGCTCAAGACACTCGGCAATTTATTTCAAGACCAGAGGACAATCCTTCCGAAACGCGTCTTGGAACTGAACCGCGTTTCTGGGGTTAACCCAACATCGTGGTTGTTGTCGGACTGGGTTTGGGCAGTGTTGTCTTGAGACATCAACATAGTTTCTTACCCCATGGGGATCTCATTCTAACCATGCTACCTCTGGATAGAGACCCATTTGCCTCGTGAGAAAGATCATCGCACAGGTACTCATGCTTGCTTTCCAGTATTTGGTTCTCAAAAGCCACAGAAACTCACAGTTGCCTGCCAGAGCGGAGCAGGAACTGGTAACACAGTTCATTGGCGACTGGAGACAATGCTTGTACGTTAAGACAGGTAAGCTTTTGGTAACACTAAAGAGGAGCAAGAAATCTCCAGCTTGGAGGTTGGTGTTTCAAGCTTCCATCTGGTTATGACTGATTGCAAAAGTTTGACTTGTGCAGAATCGACTTCTTCAGGTCCCGGTCGGTCATATCGTGATGTGAACAGGCGGCCGATGGAGCGTCATCTCGGCAAGAAATCATGCCAGTGACGTTGAGACGGAAGGAACTAAGAAAGCCACGGTTCACGGGCAGCCGTGTGTGTGTGTCCTTGGATTCCACGATTGCACACCACCGAGGTCGGGAATTGTAACCATGGCCGGCCACTCTTGTGCTCCTAATCGTTCGCCAGTTTGACCGACAACATCTCAAATCTTCCCAGACATCCGATGAAAGATTGCACAGAGCCACTGGTTGTGAACAGGCTGTCACCATGTGTTCGCTGAGGTCAAGGTCGAGGTGTTGCGGCAGGCGATGATGAATAACTGTATATCTTGTTCGTACCTGCCGTTCCCGTCAGACAAACAAGCCTGGAGCGACCTGGACCTTTGAGCGCTCCTTCCTTTTCAACCTTAAAACTTCCACCACTCCAGGTTGAGGAGCAGCGCAGTCCTCAAGGTTCCTTCGAAACTTTTCCTTCACCCTTTCCTTCCCGCCCTCGAGTTTGCGAGCTTCCTCGGCCTTGCCCTGCCCTCCTCCCCCTCCACAAACACGCAATAAACCCGAAACCAAATCCAACCCAAACACCTCAAATACACCAAAAAAACCATCACGAACATTCTTACCGGCGCAGTCTGCTTTGGAGTACGATTTCCCTGTAAGTTGCTATTATTGTTATTTTTTATTTTTTTCAGCTTCTTCTCCCTTGGGGCGCGCGATTGCTTTTCCACCTTTCGATACCCGAACTCTCGTCAATCTGGCGGCGACCACCTTGTCGTTTCACGATGCAAACAACACCCCCACCGGACCACCCAAACACCACGGTGACACGACCCTGAGCCGTGTTGCGCAGAGCAGTCCTTTGATATTAGACATGTACCAACAAGTCCAAGGGAGAGATGCCGTAACACTCCGGTTGTCCCCTGGCCATGCTGCCACCACCCGTTGCCGTGTTCCTGAATTTCACCTTGCAATTTCCTGTTCTGTCATGGGTCCACCATCTCATATGGTCGCTTCAAGTCCTTCTTTTCTTCCCTTTCTGAGATTGCTACGCCTCTCACCTCCACCTTCATTTCTTCTTTCGACCTTCTCTTCTTACGGCACTCCAAGCTGACACTCGTTTTACCAGCAGCAGCCAATACATCACTTCCCTACATTTTCTTGACTCTATAACCTTTTGGTATCAACAGCCAACATGTTCTTCAACAAGTCCACCGCTACGGCCGCGGCCGCTTTTGTTGGAGTTGTCATCGCCCTTGTGGATGGAGCTGCCTGCGCTGAGAATCAAGTCAACGCCCTTCATAAGCGTGACGATGGAGTCTGGACTACCGTGTCTCTCACCACTACCGTCTACGGCACCACTACCCAGACCGTCCAGTTGACTGCCGCCGAGGTGACGAGCACCTCTTGCCTGACTACCACCTATGAGACTACTCTCAGCCCTGCTGATGCCAAGACCGAGACTGGTTCCCCCGTTGAAGGCACCTACTCATCCGCCGCCAGCTCTGAGGGTTTTGCTACTACCGAGACGTCTACCAGTGTGTCTTACGCCACCGAGACCGCCACCATCGACACATCCAGCAGTGAGACTTCCACCAGCGAAGCTTCCACTACCACTGACGTCACCGTCGTCGTTCCGGCCTCGACTGTTATTGCTAGCACTAGCACTGACTTGATCACCTCTCACGTCACCGTCACTATCAAGAGCGGCACCCTCACTTCCACTATCTGGGCTACCGCTTCCGAGACCCTCAGCGTTACCATTCCCAGCAGTGGCTTCCCCTTGCCCAGCTACAACTCCACGGCTACCACTGTGGCCAGAACCACGTACACCAACACGACCACCGTTGGACCTGCCACCAGCTTCTTGTCTTCTTACACCTACCTCTCCTCCAGCAGTCCTGCCTCAGATGCCGTTACCACTACTGGCTACGGTAGCCCTATGGCGTCTGAGACCGTCACTGCTGGAGCTTCCGTCATGGAGGCCAGCAGTATCCTCGGTCTCTTTGGTTTCTTGATGGCTCTGTTGGCATAGAGTTGCGTCTTTTCTACCTCTTGGACATTCCTTGGGGAAGCCATGGATAGTATCACAAGGGTAAGATTTCTTCTTTGTAGTCCTAGGAGCATGAGCTGACCGATTCTAGATTATGACATACTCCACATCTTATGATCAATCTTGGCACACTCTCTAGGTATTAGTACGCCGGCCATATGGGGTTTGGAGATTTGGGTTGGCATGACCTGCTATGATTTCATTTGTTGGGAGCCATGTTAGTCACATCGTCGTCGGATAGCTTTTTTCTCTTCTTTCACTCCTTTCCATTTCAATTTTCCAAAAAGATTTTCATGACTGTTATGATGTTGGATGCATCAGAAGAGTATAATCGGTAATGACTTGATGGACTCTCTGCAAGGTGGTACGGTAGTACGCATGAGATGCCGTAGACAAGACAGATGATGACGTCGGAGGTTGTCCCTGGGCAGACAGGCTGACGAGATGAATGGATAAAAGGGTAACTGCATGTACAATACAATAAGCCCTAGTATGTTCGAGTAATAGCAGTAACTCGACGACGATCTGTCTGTCTTTGACCCTTTTCTGTGCATCATGTCCTGTCTGGATCCGGATATCAAGACGGTAACCGTGCCAAGTTCGTGCATGACCATCCAAAGTGGTCGTGAAAATAAATCGAACATGCACAGCCCAGTACGCCTGGCAAGGGCCATACAAAACAGTGATAGGGATTACAACGACTGGAAAACAGATCGGCCAAAGTCACTTGGGGATTAGACCATTCGGTCTCTTTCCTGAACAATTCTGGATTTTACTCATAGAATACGAGAAAGACGGCACGAGCGATTTACGATACCTCCAACTGACGGCAAGATGAGACGGCAGGTGTTGTGGTGGTGATATCTGGAATATTCCATATCCAACCCTAACCCCATTGACATTGGACGAACCCAAAGCAGGTTCGGCAGAATCCACCCGAGTGCGTATGCAGGCAGGGTGCACTTTTCAGGGCAGTTGACAGGGCATGACAGGACATCCCGCGTCGGTTGGGTCCCAATCAGATAATCAATACGTTATCGAAAGGGACAACCAACCATGATCAGAGACAGCAATGGAAAGTGTGCGACGATGGAAGACGTCAGTTGAAAGGATCCCCAACATACAAACGGGCCGACTTTCAATTTCTGTGAGATTCACTTCGTCTTGCCTCGACCTTTTCTTCCTCAAAGCCTTCCGCCTTTGTTGGCTACACTAACATTTACCACTGCAACACCAACACCAACTATCGCGATATCCACACTCCAAGCATCTTATCGCAGCTTGGGCATTGACGTCATAACAAAGCAGCAGCAGCAGCAGCAGCAGCAAAAGTAAACAAAGCGGAACGGACGGCAACACCGCAGATATCACGTCAACATTGCGAAACAATGCTGCGCACATATCGAGTTGCGCGGGCTTCAGGCCTAAGCACTACAACTCGTCGAACTTTGACCTCGACAGGAACGCGACAGTTGTTTACCAAACCACCACAACACCCTGCGAAGCCCACCAATAATAGCAAGACACAGAGCCTAGAGCGACACTCGGGGAAGCTCTCCCTCGTCAACCAAGTTCGCCAATTGTCGGGAAGACCACTACCGCGAACCCAGTCCCAACTCCTCAATTTTGGATACCGCACCGCTGCTTGGTTCGGCAGCTCGATCGCATTCGTCGGCCTCAGCTTCATCGCCTTCTTCCTCTACGATGCCTCCACCTACAGCTCCCACGCGACAAACCAGGGCGATATTGATATCTCCGCGCTCGCCCTAAACCCTCGCCGAGGAGGTCCCAAGAACCTACCCATCCTCGAAATCTTCCTCGACGACGACGACAGCGAAGAGAAAAAGAAACAAAAGGAGAAGCCCAGGCTGGTCGTCCTAGGTGGTGGCTGGGGTAGTGTTGCTCTCCTCAAGGAACTCAATCCAGATAACTATCATGTCACTGTCATCTCTCCGACCAACTACTTCCTCTTCACACCCATGCTGCCCTCGGCAACCGTGGGAACACTCGAGCTCAAGTCCCTGGTAGAGCCGATCCGCAATATTATTTCTAGAGTCAAGGGCCACTTTATCCGTGCCAACGCCGAAGACGTTGATTTCTCCTCCCGCCTGGTCGAGGTATCTCAAAAGGACCCCAACGGCAACGAAGTCAGATTCTACGTTCCCTACGACAAGCTGGTCATTGCCGTCGGCTCGTCCACGAACCCTCACGGTGTCAAGGGTCTTGAGCACTGTCACTTCCTCAAAGACATCAGCGACGCCCGCCAGATCCGCAACAAGATCATCCAGAACCTCGAGCTCTCTTGCTTGCCTACCACCTCTGACGAAGAGCGCAAGCGTTTATTGTCTTTCGTCGTCTGCGGCGGCGGTCCCACCGGTGTCGAGTTCGCTGCCGAGCTTTACGACTTGCTCAACGAGGACCTAACCCTCCACTTCCCTCGTCTTCTGCGCAACGAGATCTCCGTCCACTTGATCCAATCCCGCGACCACATTCTCAACACCTACGACGAAGCCGTATCCAAGTACGCCGAAGACCGTTTCTCTCGAGACCAAGTTGACGTCCTCGTCAACTCCCGTGTAGCCGAAGTCCGTCCCGAGTCCATCCTCTTCACCGAGAAGGGCGTAAGTACCGACGGCAAACCCATCACCATAACCAAAGAACTGCCCATGGGCTTCTGTCTCTGGTCCACGGGCGTCTCCCAAACCCCCTTCTGCAAGCATCTCTCACAGAAACTCGGCCCGGCACAAACCAACCGCCACGCCCTCGAAACCGACACCCACCTCCGCCTCAACGGCACTCCTTTGGGAGACGTCTACGCCATCGGCGACTGCTCCACAGTCCAAAACAACGTAGCAGACCACATCATCACTTTCGTCCGCAACCTAGCCTGGAAGCACGGCAAAGACCCGGAATCTTTGGAGTTACACTTCTCAGACTGGCGCAACGTCGCCCAGCAAGTCAAGAAACGTTTCCCCCAAGCAGCTTCCCACCTCAAACGTCTCGACAAGCTCTTCGCCGAGTACGACAAAGACCACAACGGCACTCTCGATTTTGGCGAGCTGCGCGAACTCCTCAAGCAAATCGACAACAAACTCACCTCCCTCCCCGCCACCGCGCAGCGCGCGCATCAACAAGGCCAATACCTAGCGCACAAATTCAACAAACTCGCTCATGCGGCTCCCGGGTTAAAAGCCAACGAAATAACCGAGGGAGATCTGGATGCTGCCGTGTACAAGGCGTTTGAGTATAAACACCTTGGCAGTCTCGCGTATATTGGTAACAGCGCGGTGTTTGATTGGGGCGATGGATGGAATTTCGGGGGAGGACTGTGGGCGGTGTATGCGTGGAGGAGTATTTATTTTACGCAGAGCGTGAGTCTGAGGACTAGAGTGTTGATGGCGATGGATTGGGCTAAACGGGCGTTGTTTGGGAGGGGTAAGTTTTCTTGTAATCCTGATATGAGGGGCGGGGAACGTTTGCTGACAAAGATTGCAGATTTAATGAGCTACTAAGCTATCCGGACAACGATGTCTGTTGACGCGAGATGAGATGACGACTCTCGATGACGCAAGAAAGCTTAACGAAGAGTTAAGTTGGGCGGAAAACTGATGGAAGCGAGCGAGCGAGCGAGCGAATACTCTTTCTTTCGTCTTGACTTGAGCCACTTGGAAGCTGTCTCCGTTTCTCTGCTATTGACCTATAACGAAGTCATGATCCCTTTTTGTTGTTTTGTTGTACTTTGCGTTGTCTGTTGTGTTTTCCCTAGACGCGAATTGGAGTTGAGAGGTGGGAGGTAGGAGGAGGGAGGAGGTAGTTTTAACAAAAGAAGATCAGAGCTAGATATAAACTTAATTTTCTATTGTCTTTATTCGCTGGCGTACAATGACTCTGTTGATGGTGCTTCTTGCGGTCATGCTCTGATCGTCCATGGCACTTGTACTAGAAGCGGCGTCTCAGTTACCGTAGGTACTCTCCCCATATTGGAACATTTATCCTCTTTGGTAGTAGAGGTAGTCTTTATTCCTCCTCTTCGTTTATTCCTGTCGAATGGTTGGATCGTAAAAGTAACGCGAACACGTCCATTCATGGTCCGTTTATTATGTTCCACATCACATTGGACATGCCCGTTTCACGACAGATCCAAATATCTCTTATGAATCTCACAGCCTGCTAGACTTAGACTCCCGGTCCATTCCATGTACGCCAGGTCTATGCTACAACACCAACACCTAATAAACCACGCAAAACAACAGCAACTATGCAAACAACCATCCATCCCTCCCCCAACACCACATTCAGCACCGGAAATACCTCTTCTCAACCCACCTCTCCTCCACATCCTGAATCACATTTCCCACAACAACCGTAACCTCCGGAAACACCGTCGTCAGCCTATGCAGCCCCAAGCGTCCAGCACTATACGTAGCCAGCACGATCCTGTCCATCTTGACTCCATGATCAACAAGCACCTGCACGGCCATCAGCGCCGAGCCACCACTACTCATCTGCGCATCCAACAGCAGTACCGCCTCATGCTGCGCAATATCCTTTGGCAGCGCGAGGTAATGCAGCTCCGGCTCTCCAGTGCGCATGTTACTTTGAATTAGTACCCTGCCTGTCTTGCAATCCGGCAGTACGCGCTTGAGACCAGCTTCCAACGCCGCGCCACCGCGGAGCACGACGACGGCTGATACCTCACCGCGGGGTTTAAGGCCGGCGTAGGAATGGTTAAGCGGGGTGGTGATGACGGTTGAAGCGAAGGGGATGTTATCCATGGCTTTCTCGATGAGGAGCGTGCAAAAGCGGTTGAAGTAGAAGATGAAATCGGCGTTGGAGGTGTCGATGTCGTGGATGATGGTGTTCATGCCGCGGAGTTGCGGGGTCTGGTCGAGGAAGACGACTTTCTTGGATAAGGGGGTTTTGCGGGCTTGGGATTCCAACCGGGTGAGGGCGGCGCGGTGGTGTCGGGATTTCTCGAGGAGTTTTTGTTGGATGAATTGTGTTACCATTGCTATTTGGTAAGTTAGTATTGTGTTTGATGTACTGCTACTGTAAAAGGGGGCTTGAAAATAAAGTGAGCTGGAGAGAGAGGGTGGGGGGAGGGGGGACAAACTCATGGCTACGTGGTTCTCGACGCCGCGGGGGACAATGATGTCGGCGACCTTTCTTTGGGGGTCGACGAACTTTTCAAAGTTGGGCTTGACAAAGTTAAACCACTGCTTGATGATACCGTCGACATCACGACCACGATCCCTCACATCACGCAATACTGTAGCAGGAGATTAGAACATGAACAACCAGGTCACCAAGATCAAAAATCACCAAAGGGAAACTCACTTCTTCGCGAAAGACAAGTGTCGGCATCAGCCTCACAGAAGATCTGAAGTACACATAGTTAGCATGTGTTCACCTCACGGATATCGGGTGTAGGTGGCATACCTTCATATCCAACAGGTCAAGAACTCTAGGATCGTAGAGAGCAAAGATACCCTCGAGAATGAGGACGTGTGGCGAGTAAATGGCTGTGGTACGGTCGAGACGGGCATGTTTCTCAAACGAGTAAACGGGGATCTCTGCCCGCTTGCTACACAGCAGACAAGGTAGTAAGCATCTCATCTCGTACTCCCATTTCCGCTCACTGGGTGATGGTGAGTGAAACTTACCCAGCCTTCAAATCCTGCAACCGTTCAACCAGGACGTCAAAGTCCAACGCCTGTCCATCCACATCATCATATTAGCCCCCTTGCTTGCCCTTGTCTGCCCACCAACTCCCAGCCCAGTGTTCCTCAATATTCCCAATTTCGCCTTCCTCCAGTTCACATCCCTCCTCCATTCACTCCAATGGTGAGAGACGACGTACCTCAGGTGAATCAAAATCATACTCATTCCTAAACGCCTTCCTGCTCGCCTCCTCATCCAGACTCTTATAGAAAGAATCAATACTCAAGATGACCACCCACGGCAGGTTCAGCTTCTTAACAATCGCCTGCGACAGCGTCGACTTTCCGGACCCGGAGCTGCCCGCGATGCCGATGATGCTGACGTCGGCCCAGGGCGGGGCGTAGTGAGCGCGCTTGGCGATGGTGCTGTCCGGGTTCTCGACGACGCGGACGTCAAGACCCTTGATGTCTTTGAGGCTGGAGATGAGGGTTGAGGATGAGGGAGTGGAGGGGGTTTGGGGGGTTGAGGGGATGTCGTCGGTGCCGCGCATGGTGAATGTGGATGTGAGGGGTGTGATTGGTTAAAGATGGTGAAGGGAAGCGGCAGAGAGGTACCGAGGAGACGGGAAACCCGAGATTTCGGGAACGGCAAGGCTGCTTGGAAGACGGGTATGTTGTGTTTCCTTCCTCAGGGGATTTGGGTGGGTTGGTTGCAGATTGGCCGTCCCGTTGTTGGTCGATGCGGTACGGTAACTGTATGCACAGCAATATCGATATTTCGGTACTGAGCTACTGGCAGACAGGAGGTATGGTGGGATGTAGATTGTACCGAGTATAGATACGGCATAAAAATGTATAGAATAGGTTTTTATATATCCCAAGGGGCGGGCTGGATCGACGTGTTGTGTTATCGTCTCTAGTGTCTGGTCACCGCATCAACATTATTGGTTGCCTTTCTCTTGGGGAGTTCAGGGTTCTTGTGAGGAACGAGTTCCACTTGGGCGATTTCGAGGAATGGTTCGATGCAAGGCTGAAAAGGAGAAAGAATGTATTCCTGATGAGAAAATGCGGGTTGTCCAAAATGGAAAAACAGCAGGTTGATGATTGATGGTTTGGAGGAGAAAGTGAAGTGTGACCGAGTCGAGTCCAATGCAAACCCTCGGTGAACTGACGAAGGAGGCGTTTCTACCATAGATCTTGGAGAACATGTACCCGGCTCCAATTTAATAGACCGGACGAAAACCAAACGCAGGCACGGCAAGACGAAGCACGCGACCACTTTCACGGTACATGTAGTCAAAGACCCTCGCACGACACACTGGAAATGCAAATGTATTTTTTTTTTTTCCTTCTGACCAGACAACGTTCTGGATTCTGCTGCAACCGTGACCCCTCCGAACCATCCCAAACCAAGAAGCTCACTGCTTGTCCAGCTGCTGCTTATCGAACCAATCATGTTGATGATGCGCCAGCAAAGCCCGCCAAGTGGATATTTCCGTGAGAAGCAAGAAAGCTCGGACACAATTGAGCCTTCACATTTGGGGTTAGGGTTGGAATGTCTTGTACCCCTGATATCTTGGCACCTCTTCCGTCCACATGACAATGACGCTATTCACAACTACACTATAAACAAGGCCTATTGCAGAGACACTCTTCGATGAATATCCATTAAGGAATTCAACCTGATCGATCCCCTGCAGCATGGAAAACAATTCAAGGTCGTTCTCCGTCTTGAGCATCCAAGTGCTGCTCATCGTGCCCCCAACCTCGCGTGCCAGGTACGCCCAGCTGCCGGGCTCGTCCAGTACGTTGACATGGTCAGCCGCCGGAAGGAAGAGGTCAGTCTTGCTACTAGAGATAAGATTGTAAAACCCGTGCCATACGTATACTTCTTACCTCACACAATCCCATATAAGGAGCCTGCATCACACAGAGTATCTTGTGTTCTTTTCGCTAAACTCCAGACACTGAATGTGTAAGTGTCCGCGTTGGTATTGAACGAAGCTACACTCCGGTCAGAATCATACTTGATAGTCAAATCTTAGTAGATGTGGAAACATCCCGATTTTACTTGCTTAGAGGTATCTTTTCAGTAATCCTCAAACATCGGCAAACAAGCCGGTGGACTAAAGGGCGTGTTCAACAGTGCCTTAAGAGACTTTCGTGTATTCGAACTCGCGTCAAGTGCCCGCATGGCTAGTATTCTAAATCCGTGAAAATATAGTCAGCAGGAACAAAACAAGCGTGAATATAATAGGGACAACTTGTCCGCACACCCTGCGCTTTCCTACACGTACCTGTCTCAACCCTCAAACCCCAACCTTCCTGAGTGTATCTCAACTCAACGTCACCTCCATCTCCCGCAACAACTTAGACAGCGGTGTCCACTCCGGCTTATACTCCCCCTCTACATTCAGCATTACTTTGTGTACGCGTTCAAACATCGTTTCCGGCCGTCCGTTCAAAATTCTCGTCACGGGCCTCAACATCAACACCAACAGAGCGTTGGGTTTGCCCTCATCATGGGTCCGTACTGCTAGTATCAGGGCGAGGACCTGTATCCCTTCTCCCTTACGGCCTCCAGGTTCCACTCTCTCCAACAACTCCCTCGGAATACGGTCGGTTGTCCCTTCCACAAACTCGGGCGACGTAAACGTCCACTCCCCAAACTTCCTCGCGGGGTTGTTCTTCTCGCCATTGCGCCACTTGAGCCTCACATCCAGCACGGTTCCCCTAATAATCAGACGTGCAGGGATCTTGTAAGCCCCATTCCCTGCCAGCTTCAGGATCTCCTCGTTCTCTCGCTCCCAGTCTAGTCGCCTCCATTGTGTTGCCTTTGGTGCTTGTGCGAGGCCTGCGCTCGAGGATGAGGAGGCAGCTTCAGCTTCGTACTCTACACATATCTTGGTGCGGCTATCGAAAACAGTTGGATTCAACCCATTGCGGCGGACCATACACATCTTCCAGCCCGCCCAAGTCCAGCTGGGGAATACCGGTCTCCGGAAATGTGACAGCTGTTGTTGAAAAGGATCGCCGCCGCTGTCGGGTTCAAGGAGGTTGAACCAGGAATCGCTCCAGAGGAGGCTGCTAACTAGTTGGTAGGTGAGACTAGTCTTGAAACTCGCCCCAATTCTTTTCCTGGGGATATCCTCATCTGTTTCCCATAAACTCCGCAACTCACAAACCCACAGCCTCTCATCATTGTCTCGCAGCTGGAAAGGAGCGATGGGCATGCCGTAAAAGAATGAGGTCCCGCCCCCTTTGGGTTTGTTCGAATTCTCCGCTGTGTACATCCCAAAAATACCAGCAACGGCATCAAGTGTGTCGGCATCAAACGAAAGCTGCCTCATGGAAAACTCATTGATTCGATCCCAGATGGTATCGGGGTTGGACCAATCCGTTATTTGACGAGGGAAGATGTAGCCGAAGTTTGACTCTTCGTCGTCAAGGGAGAGAGCGAATCTCGTCAAAGTGCGGATCTAGACCGCTAGGTCCATCAGGAATCGGCAACGACAAAACCTCGTCTCCATGCATCTCGTTACACTGAAAATACACCATCTGATCCGTAAACACGATCCTCCGCCTAGACAAGAGTCCCTCCTGGTACGTCCAGCCGCGGGTATACCACTTTGAGTCCATGATGGTGAGTTTTGGCCTATCGTATAACGCCAGGGAGATTCCATTCCCTTCGGCAAGAGCATCAACTTGAACAGTAAGCTGTTCAACCCTCCGACGCTCGCTAACTCCCGGCAGCCCATGCTCGGGCCCCTCGCCAGCGGCGGCAATGATGGTTAATACAGAACGGGAGTAGATGCGGCCCATGTTCTCGATCTGGATCTGCTTAACTGGCAGGTCGTCCTGCGGGATGCAGTACCGGTCGATCCAGAGGTATCTGTACCCGAGGCGCTGGACGACTTGGATGGTATCGCTGATGGTTAGTGGTAGGGAGCCTGGGAGGGATAGTCGCTGTTGCCTTTTGACTGGTCCTTCAAAAACACCTTGGCCCCAGACATAGCTGAGGGTGACGTATTCTGGTGGTGTCTGCGATTGCTCTCCACTGGAGGTACTGCTGGAAAGAGAGGCAAAAGACACAATGTTTCCCGTGGTGCAGTCGATGACTTGGAAGCCGGGGATCTGGCCGGTTCCCACACTAACCGCGCCGCCCTCGTGAGAATCGCATGATACATGTCCGGACCGGCAAAGGTGAAGCCACTCTTCAATGAGACGGTGGTTAACCTTGTCGGGAATGAGCTTCCTAGCCAGTATCCCGCCACCCGTCTCTCTAGCTCTTGTCAACATCATCGTCATCGACCCCGGACTTGAACTCGAAGAAGACAAGTGGTCATAGCCATGGTCGATCAGACGCAGAATAGCATGTCCTCTTTACTGTCTGTTGAGCCCTGCAGTACTCATCACTCCGAGGATTTGCATAGCGGTAACATCCTGCACACATTCTCTTGAGGGAAAGTCGTTCTCCTTTTCATTTTCGTCGGCATGTCGCAGTCGAAAGCCCTCCAGGGAATGGAAACCCTCCAAGCCGAAGCCCTTTTCGCCCCGTTCTTTCATGTCCTTGGAGCGAATCTGACACTCGAGGTAGAAAGCGCAAAAGGCACACGCTGTCGCGGTTAAATCGCCGAGGGCTGGCCAGCCATGCCTCCTCCGGGCATTGAGTGTGTCAAAACAGTTGCATGTCGGGTCTTGAGCTTGGCCAACAGGACGGTAGTAGTAGTAGTAGTAGTAGTAGGTGGGCTCCATGGGGTATTTTTCAATAACGGGACGGCGGTGACTTGTGAAGATGGATCTGAAGTCAATTCGGCTGCATGGTTCGCAGAGCTGAACTGTTCCCGACGACTTTGGTCCCGTCATATCGAGATGGCGTTTACAAGATAAGGTCACGCCTTTGTTGTAGAAAGAAAGGGATCAGTTATCTAGATATGTAAAGGCCTCGAAAGGTTGACCAGGGCTCTCGAGCTAACAAACAAACCTATCTTGGACTGTACCAACATGGAATCTTGCTGTGGCTGCCTACGAATTTGGAGATAGTGGGATTCAGCCGTTCATATGCGTCACATTGGATTGCAGTGTGGCGGAACTTGAACCATAAATGGCGGCGACGAGTTGAAGCACCAGCTGTGAGCGAAGAAAGGTCTGTAACCAATTGACCGGGCAGAGGAATGTGTGAAGTCTGGCGGAGAGGAGATGACTGGGTTGCTCTCACTGTGAGGCCTGGGGAGGCCGAGTTGCATACCTACACAGATCCTCGTGCCCAACCCGCCTTCCAACTAGCTACGAGCTTTCCATTTTTGGGTGCCATCCTTCCGTCTGTGTCTGGCTTTCACGGTGTGTGCTTTCCCACAAACTTGCGCTCCTTCTTGTCGTGATGCCCTCCGTTTATTTACTCTGTTGGTGCCTTCCCCAGAAGTGTGCGGGACAGGCAGTGCTGCCCCGCCAAAGTGGATACCAAGAAGCAGGGGAAGCTTGGACCCACCCAATAATCGTGCACGGGCCGCATTTGCTTCCGAGTCTTTTGATCCTCTTCCGTTGGTTCAATTCTGCCGTCTGCTTCCACTTGGCTCCCACTCCACGTCAATATCCGCAATCTCTTCTCGACCCCCTCCATCTGCGCAAAAAAAAACTATTTCTACGCCCGAAACTCTGCGTCATCCAAATTTTCTTCCTTTCTATTTCTATCTCTTCCAACCATAACCGGGCTTCCGGTTTCGGTCCACCCACCCCTCCACCCGCTCGCGCGCGTGCGGCATTCGGTGACTTCATCAGTGTGCTGGCACACGTGAAAGAAAACCGATGCGGCAGTTTGGCTAGAAGCAGCGTTCTGGCTCATCATCCACCAGGAGGCGGCTTACTACTTATTCCCAATTCCACGTCGCTCTTTGCGCCTCTACCACTCCCCGCCGTCGATACCCGTCTGCTTCACTGCTCCCACGGACCGGCCGGTTTGCGCCTCTTTTGATATCTCGCACCACCACCAACAACCAACGTCATCGGCAACCACCAACAATGGACCCTCACCGCCGCATACAATCACAGACTTCCTCTACCTCGACTGCAACTCCTTCCAAACATGCTTTCGAAACGATTGTGGCCGACGTCAAGTCGCCAAAGAGGTAAGCTTTTACCCTTCAGTTGCGTCCCCCAACACCGCACCCAGCAACATGATGATTGCACTTAATGGGAATCTCTCTGATATCCATGAGGAGAAACTCTGCATCTAATCTCGAAAACCCTGAACTTTGCTGTACCCTTTTGTCTTTTGATCGAAACCACCATCACACATTGTTTTGGTCCTGGACAATAGCTAACAGCATCACAGTGATATCAATGCTTTGATCCTCGACTACCTGATGATGGAGGGATATCCCAAGGCTGCCGAGAAGTTCCAGAAAGAGGCAAACTTGAAGCCCAAGCAGGAAGACCCTACCATCAATGCTCGTCAGGAGATCCAGCATGCCATCCATATTGGCAACATCCAGAAGGCCATCTCCGACCTCAATGAGCTCGACCCTGGTGTAGGTTTACCCCTCTTATCTTCTACACCTCTTCCCTCCCTTGAGATGATTAGAACACGAGTTTCAATCATGCACCACGCATAAGCCTTCGGGCGAACCTTTGGGTTGGCCTTCGGGTTGACCCTCGGGCTAGCCTTCCGGCTCTTTGATGAGAACCAACCACTTCTTTATGATTCCTCAACCATACATCAGCTTTTTTGTCATGCATTCCACTCTTGTCGGACATTGACTAACAAAGTTGCTCAGATCCTGGATAGTGATCCACACCTACACTTCTCCCTGCTACGGTTGCAGCTTATAGAGCTCATCCGCAATGCCAGAGGATATGATCCCACAGCAGCCATCAACTTTGCTCAGGAGAAGCTCGCCCCTCGCGCTGCCTGTAACGAGCAGTTCTTGAAGGAGCTCGAGAAGACGATGGCCTTGCTCATCTTCCCGCCCGACAAGCTCCAGCCCGACCTGGCCGCGCTCCTCCACTCTGACCTGCGCCGTAACACGGCAGCTCAAGTGAACGAGGTAGTTCTGCAACGACACACGGAGCGGCGTGAAGCTGCCATCCGTCAACTCGTTCGCATGCGTGCCTGGGCTGAGGCATCTTGCCGGTCCAAGAAGAGAAATCTTCCTGACCGTATCGAGCTGGGCCTCAACACTGGGGACGACAACGGGCATGAGCCTATGATCATGAGTTAGGAGTCCGGCAAGGGTAAACATGTAAAGCGTGTTCGGCCTGAGCGTAATGAGGAGTGCTTCTAACATCCGGAAACGGACGAGGTTGCCTTTTGCTTTCATCTTTCGATTCTTGTCCTTATACCGGACTGGCGTTTTTATGGGTTTGATTCGAGAGATTTCAAGCATGTTGGAAGGCGTTGTTGGGACAGGCGGTTGAACATGACGCCTTGGGTTGCTATTAAGGCATGAAGTATTGCCAGCGGGTTGGTTTACCACATTATTATCACAAGACGAGGTCTCAGGACTCGGTGCTCCATTGACACAATACAATACATAATATCTTGGTGGTCAACATTCGTTTCTGCTCTGGCGTTGTGGTTGTGTCTTGCTGTGTCAGCTGTAGTGTCTCATTGCCGTATTGCTGTCCCATAATTGCAGTGATGTCCGTCCCGTTGATTATAACACGAATATGGTGTAGAGACTTCCCGACGATATCCAAGTCCAGCACTTCCGTTTCTTGGAACCTCATGCTTCCCTCGTATCGTATTGTTCACCACTTGAGCTTTCTCTCATTCTTTATTCTTTTTCTCGCCTCTCATGCTGAAAGACGTTGGTCGTCTCTTCTAAATACCTGTGTTCGTTCTGCTCCAACCAGCTGCCCTTTAGTGGCCATTCTTGCTCCTGCTGTCATGATAGCCAACCGTTGATCTCTTCAGGGAAACCTGTCCCACTCGAATGGAAGCGCAAAGCCAACACACGCCAACACCATATTCTAGACCTTACTCGGCCGTGAACGATTATGTCCGCTAGCATCTTGTTTTGCCTGAAATGAGGATTTGTCTGGCCCAACGAAAACTGCACCGCAGGAGTACGAAGGAATCTGTAGGTATGTTTGCAAAACGAATGCTCTAGGTTGGTTTGGTTGGGTTCATTCTATGGTTCTGTTGTTTCCCATATTTACAGAACGGACAAAACAGTCTGTCTGTGTGTACCTGTTACTTGTCCGTCTCACAGGTTTCCGTTCTTCCCTCTTTTTTGTACCTGTAGCTGTAGCTGTAGCGTTTTGTGGCGTTAGAGGTTGCTGTAATCCCTCTTTTTTCCCGTATCCCTCTCTTCCTCCTCCCCATAGCATCAGCACCGACACCGGACCAAAGCAACCCGTTTCAAGCTGCTTGTAGCCCTGCCCACCTCTCCCCATCTTTCCCTCTCCACCCTTCCCCTTCCCCTGCCAGGACACTTACTTAGTCCTAACAATCTTCAACTTCTTGGGGCTATACAAAAAGTTGTTCGCATACGCCTTGGGCGTAAAGTGGCGCTGGTTCGGCTCCTGCACGAAATACTCGTACCCTTGCTTCTCCGCAAAAGCAATAGCCTCCTCCTTGGTGCGGAAGTTGAGGTGGGTGCCCTGCACGAAGTCGCCAGACGACTGCCAGCCCATCAGCTGGTTCTCCCACCGGTGGCCCTTTTCGAGGACGTCCCAGTCCATGCGCCACAGGACGCGGGAGTTGGAGGATTGGGTGGCGGGTTTGGAGGGGAGGAAGATGCTGTGGTCGTGTTAGTGAGAGGTTGGGAAGGTAAAAAGGGGAAAAGGAAGGGGGAGAGAGGAGACAACGTACCGGACGGTGCGAGCCTGAAGTTCCATGGGAGCACCGGAGACGACGGCGGCCGGGAGGATACCCTCCTCGGAACCATTTTGGATGTGCTTGGGGACTGGGGTCCAGGTGCTGCAGTTTGAAGAAAAAGCCAATATGTCAGAACATTGCAGCTCTCTGAACCCGTAATGGACGTTACATGATGACTGTATTGGCTTTTTATTGTTTATGGAGGGAGTTATGTGATGATTTGTGTATGTAGTTGTTGGTTCATCGGGGCGCATACGAAGTGGCTATATCAATAGGAACATCGTAATCGGGCGAGTTCCGCTTGGGCGTGTTCAGAGGCGAGTCCTCCTTGGGGAGCTTCTCAGGCACGCGGGCGCCTTCCATAGAGGGAATCGGAGAGCCGTTGTCGCTGCTGGCTGCTCGACGACCGATGACCGAAGCTCTGGGGATCATCGCATTCGTGCGCAACATGCGCGCCGCCGAGGCGGTGGTAATTCGTAGTGCAGAAGACATCGTGGTCGCAATCGATATCGTGGGTTTCAATTATCAATTATACTGTCGACGGGATGGGGACTGTAATCGATGGAGTCGGAAAGAGGAGTACACGGTGGATATTCGGGGAGCTTGGTCGTCGTCCAATTCCCACCGCGAAAAGAGGAGCCACAATTGGTGATTGTGACGAACTGACGATATCCCAGCACAAGCAAGTCGGGGAGAAGCACTGACCACCTTGGCTTCGTTGCTGTCGTTGACGCTTGCTGTAATGCGCTGAGGCTCTCAAAGTTCGAAGCCGTCAATGCCAAGCCAAAACCCCACCATGTACTCTCCAATTGGCTAGCCGGAAACAACCGCGCAAGAACCTTTCTTGCCGACAGCAGCATCTCAGTGAGAGGAATGAATGAGTGGCCCGTGCACACCCCTCCGCTGCACGCGCAGAGACGGTAGCCCGGTTCAAGTTCGCCAAAGAAGGTCCTTGCGTTTTAACAGCTCAAATCCGTGACAACATCAACACCTCTGTGCAAGTGCTGAACCACCCACCGACCGCCAAAATGAGCTTCGTCACCCGCCGTGCGCTCTCTACCCTCATTCCCCCCAAGGTGAGTTTTGATATTCCCGGAAGTTGTAAATTGGAGACGTCGATTGCTGACAGAAACTGTGTGCTAGGTCGCCTCTCCCAAGGTACGTTCGATTTTGATTCAACTGCGATTCCGACGAGACATGATGCGATAGACGAGATACGGCATGGGCTGGGCTACGAATTGCGACAATTGCGGCGAGGAGGAATGATGGGAGAAAGAGCAAGGAAGACCGGGAAGAACGAGTAATGGACGATGGGCGATGCACAACTGCAACAACAATGCGGCCACACCAAGACATCGACCCGGATAATACGGAGGACGAGGAATGAGGAGATCCGCAGCAGCACGACCGAAAACAGCAACCAGAGCAGGACAAGAGAAGGAGGAACGCAGGAGGAACTACAGATGATGCGATTGGCGATATACACAACCAGGAGGTCCAGTGGCTAACTCGACAACTCCCCAAAAATCCAGGCCCTTGGCGGTGCTCCCGATGCTGTCGCCATGAAGCGCGTCGTCTCCTTCTACGAGAAGCTCCCCCGCGGTCCCGCTCCCGAGATCAAGGCTTCCGGCTTCTGGGGCAAGTACCAGGCCAAGCACTTTGGCAAGAACCCTACCGCTAAGCGTACGTCACCCCGAAACCCGAGATACCAGCAGAAGCCCTATGAGGAGGGCATGATGTTGGATGGAAATATAGCAGAGCGGGGGAAATGCTGACATAGGGGAAAACAGCCATCGTTCACGCCATTGTCGGTCTCCTGATCGTCGGTTATGCCCAGAACTACTACTTCCACCTCCGTAAGTTTTCCCGATCAACCCAACTTGGACTGTCAATTTTTGGACAGTCCAGGAACTAGAGAAATGAGGACACATGTGCTGACATGTGACGAAAAGGCCACCACAAGAACAACGCTCACTAAGCGTTGGGCGGAACATAAACATGAGATATCCCTTTTCCCTACTTGGCGATGATGAACGATTAAAGAAATCAGCCGTGTATATAAGTGCTATCCAATAGATGGAGTGGTTCCCCTAGGCACCTCCAAACGGCGGATGTCCATGATGTGATGTTAAACAGGGAGTAGTATGAAACGAACCACTTTCAATCTTGTAGGTTGAAACTACTGACGTGAAGGATGAAGAGTCGGTCTGACGCCAGTATGAAGATGGAAGCGGGAGATTAACCACGTGGAGGCTGGAGAAGGCTTGAATCAGGCAGGCCAAGACTGCATTTTGGATCACGATCTGGTAGTTCCAGATGAAAGAAATCCGGGAATTGTATGGGGTGTTGGGCTTGTCAGTTTCAGTCTGCTGGTTCAGCTCAAGACAACAGAATGCTCGATCCCATAGAAGAGGGTTAGGAAACATTCAATGGTCGAAGACTGGAATTAACAATCATCATGAACCATAAAGGATATTCCACCGCCACTGAGAATCGTAATGGCAACTTGATGTCTCACCGATATGTCATCCTCACGAGCTTTCCATGACGCATGGACGTAGACGAGGCATGTGGCTGTTGTTGTATCTGTTGATGTGCAATGGACCCCTGGTTCTCGCTTGCAGCCTTGCCGTTTGATGATGTCCGTGCACTGCCATTGGATCAGTCTGGAGAAGAGGTCCAAGCTCCCTTTGGTGCGGGTCACTGGGGTGGCCGGCCGGGTCTGCGCTAGGCCGGAAACAAAGCATGGGTGCCACCTGAACAACAAGCCCTCTCCAGTCAGTCCCGTCTGCAGTGACCTTTCGACTTTCGTCCACTGTGACAGAGACACTTGGGCAGTCAACCTCAGTCGCAAGTTCATTTGACATCTGTGAGTGTGGAAGCGCAGAGCAAACGGAGAGATAATATCAAGGTAAGCAATCTTTTTTTTGGTTTGTTGACGAGATAGAGTCAGAGTCATCCCCCAAAAGCTGCTTGCTTCACTCCCGTCAGAAACAGGTGACAACAGCCAGTCAGTGTGTTGTTTGGTCGAGTCCCCTGCTGCAGTCCAGTCACCTCAAAAAAAAAGAGGATGACACTCAGTTGGAGCTGGAGGAGGGGGCCCGAGCCCCGGACTGATGAGGAATGACAGCCAGCCCAGCCAGCCAGCCAGCCGCACCCGATCGCTGGCCTCGCTGCCTCTCGGTGCTCCACGGGCAGTCCCTCAGTCCGGGTCTCCATGATCCACTTCCATTTTCCATCTTGCTGCACCTCCATCACCTTCAAGTCCCCCATCCCGTCACTCCTTCCCTACACCTCACCTTGACAACCACAACGTCCGTTGTCGTTTCCTTCCTCACCCCGCCCCCTTCTCCTTACCTTTTCTTTCTTTTTCCTCTCCAAAGACACGACAACAAGGAGGATTCATATTGTAAGTTGGCCTCTAACCAAGGTTCAGCCCATTGTAATAGAAACACTTGCTTTCTGTCCCCAAAAACGACATCAGGGAGGGGTACGTACTTGCCTACTTCTACACCACGCCTGCAACCCGAGACCTTGGTCTGGTTGCTCACCACCACCTTCTACCCGAACCTGCGCCCTCCTCGTATCTTCCCTCCACGCTGCTTCAGGGTTCCCCAGGTTTACTGGCATCTTCTTGCACTTGACCTCGACCTCTGGTGCCTGCCTGTTCTTTGCCCCCTCGTCTTCCTCTCCCCCGCACCCTTCTTCCACCTTCGTCTCAGCTCTGTCCGGTCAGGCATCTTTTGTCTGCAGTGCGCAAAAAGTCGCATCGCATATTCGCCGCGCACTCTTTTGTCTCACTGCAATATCAAGCACATATTCAGCAGCAATACTGACGGAATCTTCACCCAAGCAGTCTACCATCGACTTACCCCACGACAAACCAAAACCACCACGACTTTCTTTAGTCTCGAGATACCCCGGCGCACAACGCGAGCCCTTGCGATTCCAGCCCCCCCTCGTCGAACCGACATATACCAGAAATCTTACAGCGTATGATGGCTGCTGAGGTAGCAAAGGATCGATCTGATGATGCAACACACGTACCTTTCGAGGCCGAGCCTGTGAGTAGCCCGCTGCTCTCCGAAAGCAAGCAGTTCTGTTCACTGACCCGCTCACCCTCTCCGCAGGCTATCAAGATCGATGCTCCGGACGCGCAAAATGCTCCCCTCGACCAGTCGCAAGTAAAAGGCGAAACTGCCAGCCCTCCTACGGAAGAGATTGAGAACAAGCACATATCCGACATCGCGAATGAAGCGGTAACCTCGGCCGAAGTTAGTGTTAGCGGAGGATCCGACAATGAAGCCGCGAAAAGCAAGGACGACAAGCCCCGCAGCAGTTCATCGACTGTCAAGAAGCCCATTGCCTTCAAGGCCATCAATGTCAACCAAAAATTTCTCACCACAAAGGCCACTGCGCCGGCCGCCCCTGCCAAGGTCGCCGAGAAGCCTGCGGCGACAGCGACCCTCAGCTCTGCCCATGGAAGTTTGACGGCTCGGCCCAGGCTCATCGCAAAAACGGGAAGCGGGTCGGTCAAATCTGCCATCGGCGCTAATGGCAAAACGGGTAGTGCGCCAGATCCAAACGCCGTATGGAACAAGAATAGACGTGAGCATATATCCATGCCAGAAGATACGGAATTTTGGAAAGCTAACAAGCAAGCAGCTGTCCCACCCCCTGAGCCGAAAAAGTATACCGACGAGGAACTAAAGAAATACGGAATTCACATGGCGAGCCGTCTCCAACCAGAAGATACCAAGGGTCAGGCGAATTGGGCCGACATTGATGATGACGACGAAGACTGGGCGCCAGAAACGATCACATGGAAGGATGGTACTAAGATTGCTATTCCCCATGCCGAAGAGCATCCTCCGGCACCCCCCGCGCCAGCACCCGAACCGGAACCCGTTCCAAAACCTGTCGAAATTGTCAAGGAAGCTGTGACTGCAGAGAACCCGAAATCGCCTGCCCCAGGCCACGCGTCTGTCATTAAGCCTGGAGTTCTGGGGTCTGGAAAGGGTCTTATTCTCAAGGGCGCCGCCGAGAAGCCTACCCTGGTAGCAAAGCCTCCCGCGCCGCCAGCGCCTGTCAAGTCACCCTGGGCACCGATACCAAAGGTCGAAAAAGTGTCCCCCATGGTCGCTGAACCGCTGCCACCGAGTCACCATGCACCGAGATATCCCCCGAGAGATGGGCCGACTCATTATTCCGGCTTTCCTCCTCCAGGACCTCCGGGGCCGAAGGAAATCGCCGCGGATGATTTTAGCAGAGGACCATGGAGAGACGGGTCTGGTGGTGGTGGAAACAGAGAGCTATATAATTCACATTCCGGACGCTACGAACCCGTGCAGGAGCGTCGTGGATCGATGCGCCCAGAGCAGCAGCAGTACGGCAGACAGCCTGCTGTCTTGCAACGCCCTGCCCACAACGACCACCACGGCCCGGCCGAACCCTCTGCCGCATTCCAAACACACAGGACTAGCGATCAGCATGTCCCTTACGGCCGTAGGCGCGGCTCATCCAACGTCAGTGGTGTTAGCAGCGGCTTCTTGAACCGTGCCAAGGGCTTTGAGCAACCATTGCATCCCCCTGAGATCATCAACGTCAGGCGCGAATCGATGACTGCCGGTAGTGATGGCCCTGGGTCACCAAGGAACTTCTCGCCTTCTGGCTTGCAACACGGTCCCCGTCACCCTCACCCGCACAATCAGGGCTGGCCACCGCGGGTTTCTCCAGCCATGGTTCACGCCTCACCAGTGCCGCATCATCACGTTCCCGACATAGTTGGAGTGCCCCCAGTTGGGCCGCCGCCTGTTCAGGAACAAGTGCCTTTGGTGACGGACCAAGAAATTGAGCTTCAGAAGAGGCTGATGCGGGAGAAGGTCGAGGCTGCCAGGAAACGGCGCATGGAAGAAGAAGAGCGCGAGAAGGCAGCTCGCGAGGAACGTATCCGGCTCAAGTTGCAGGCGCTGGGTCCTGCCCCAGAATCCAACAGTGCCAAGAAGGCTGCAGCGAAGGAGCATCCCGCTGCTTCAACAACGGAAGGCGCGCCCCAGGCAGGCGCAACTGACGAACAAAAGCCTGCGGAGAAGGTCGAGGTCAAAACCCCCACTACCGCTCAACCCGAAAAAATTGAACAGCAACCAAACGGAGTCCCTCAACAAATTCTACCGGATTCTGAGCCCCTCGACAACCGCCAACCTCACGGAGGCAACACCCAACAGCCCCTCTGGTCTAGCAGCGCTAAGCAACAAGGGCGATATCCAACTACGTGGGGTTCGCAGACCTCAACCAAGAACGTCTGGGGTCCTCCCACCAATAATCGCACTCTAGGAAACGGCACCTTCAACCCCGATCTGGGCACATCACCTCCTCCTGTATCCAACAAGCCACCCGGACCAATCGCACCCCCAAGCCGGAACACCATGGGCCCCAAGACCAATCTGTTCCCCGACGGTCCTCCCGCTCGGCTGCCGCCCATTGCCCCACCTACTCATTCCAACGCACCAGCCGGTCCTCTGTCTGAAAACGAACGACAAGCCAAGGCAAACCAATGGGTCAGCGCTGCGCGTCTCAACGACCAGGCTTTCGAGTCCATGCTCAAGGACAGATTCGCTGAACAGGATCGTCGCCGGGCTGAGAAGGGGCTCACGGTAGAGGACATCCAACCTGCTGTCAAGGATGTCTGGCGCCCGACCAAGCTTGATGAAAACGGTATGAGGGTCGAGGCTGGTCCCCGACAAACCGTCCGGGTCGGCAAGGAGAACCCTTGGGTTGCCGGTCAAGCTACTCAACAGACACAACCCCCGGCTGCGAATGCAGCTTTGCTCGCTAATGCCGGCCCGGCACCACGTACCTCGTCTAGGTTCTTCCCCAGCCGCCAACAGACCATCGCTGCCGCCGAATACCAACGTCCTCATTCCCCTTCTCCTCCTCCCCCTGATACCGAGACAACGGGACATCCGGCCTTTGACGGCGATGTCAAGCACCCTCACGTTTGCATTCCTACACCCAGGCCTCAGGTTCGCCTGCCACCTCCTTCCCAGGTGAGAGAGGAACCCAAGGTACAGCTTCCTGAGGCTCCCAAGCCGCAAGGCCCGTCTTTCTCGTGGGCTAACACGGTTGCGTACAAGGGCGAGGAGCGTGCACCAGCACCCACCCCGGGTAGCCCCTGGCAAGCTCGGATTGACAGCCTTCTCGGCGCTCGCAAGCCTAGCCACTCGTCACAGAAGCCAGCTCCGGGAGTCGACTCGACGAGCCGCGCCGCCTATGAGCACGCAGAGGCATCTGTTACGGTGTCGCTTACCGCCGCTATGATCGCCGAAGCGTCTCCTACAACGAAAGACATGGATGAGGATTGCTTCGAGGAGCAGGAGATGGGTTCCTTGCCTACTGTACGGATCCCTACTGAACTTCCGGAGATGGCCTGGGCGCCTACCCACGCACCAGCACCCAAGCCGCTTCACCGGAAACTCTTCCCTCTAACAACCAGCGCCGAGCCCATCCGCATTGACACCAACTCGAACGGAATCGGCAGCGTCATCCGCATTGCCTTCCCCGGGACTGACCGGCATCCGCCCTTCGTCACCGCTGTGACCATTCCGTTCAGCAGGACTCGCAGCAACCCTCGTCGTGGCGGTGGTGCACCGCGAGGCGGCCGTCTTCCTAATGCGCCTCACAGCCAACGCGGTATGCCTGGCGGTCGCGGCAGCGGTAGAGACGCTTCATCACCCAATGACCAGGGACCTACCGGTCCTCCTACTGGACCTAACGGGTCGCACCAACAGACTAGGGGCAGAGGTGGATACAGGGGGAGGGATAGTGCCTGGTCGAGGAGTGCGGCAACTGCTATTCAGACTTCCTAGAATGGGGTCCGTTTGCTTACAAGGAAGAAAACTTGAGAGTCAGCAGGTGGTTCTAGTGTCACGGACTAGGAGGCCTGCTCGGATACTTGTCTGGAGGAGAGGAATTCTCTGGCGGATAATATCCTGGAACTAGCGAGACAATTGTCTGTTTCTCTGACTCGTCCAATGGGCAAGGAATTGAGAATGGCGACGGTGTGAGCGCATATCTCTCGGTCTGCATGGCATTTACCAACTGGACTCGGCTTTCGCTCAGGATCGGTTACATATCGAAGTTTGGGATCACCCGAAACATGGGAGGTTACAAGCTTCACTGAGGAGAAACTGGTAAACATGGGAGTTACGAACAAAATGGAGGAGGAGAAGTCAGCACGGCTTGAGAACAAGTGAAAGGAGCTACAACAGCTAGCTAAACAGGGTGACATTGAGATGGAGAGGCAGAGACGCAAAGGATAGCAAGATGAAAGTGAGGAGTTATCTATGCTTCACTGCAGTCAGCGAGTGAACGGAGCTTCAAAAAGCGGCTTCCACCAGGGGCAGTCCACTTCACTACCTGTCTTACAACTACCATACCACGAGGGAGAGAGCAGAGCAGAGCAGCGAGAAGAACGCATGACAAGAGTTTAATACAATCAATCAATCAATCACACGATACGAACGGGACGACAAAAGAGCTACGATGAAATGGGTTTTCACAATTCACACGGGATTTTTGTTTGAGAACGAAGTGAAAGGAAGAGAACTGAACGAAGCGACGGAAATGAAGAGAAACCACTTCATCTTATTTTCGTCCGTTCATGTAGAAGGCTTGAGACTGCATTACATGGTGCTAGCGTAGTGCATATGCACACATACATTGCGTGTGCGTACGACCAAAAATTGGAAGCATGTAAATCTGATATATGTACATAATTGTGTCCGTTCTTTACCCCAACGGTTGTTCGACTTTTCTTGTAGGTCTTGTGTTGGCGTTCTGGGGACATTATGACATGCCCGGCATGCCCGGCATGGACTCATGGTCGTGGACTCATGGTCGTAAGGGGCTTGTTATCAAGGAAAAGGAAAAGGATTAAAAGGTTGGTCTCATTGCTCTCAGTTGCTCATTTTACCCCTTACGTCTAAGGATCTGTGTCAAGTACAAGATACGGGAACTGGCGGCTGTTGCTTCATGGTTTTTGCTTTTATAGCCTTTTTTTTCTTCTTAGATTACTGTTCCATTTCATTGCATTCTTTGTTTTTGAGGGGTCTGTAACTAGGCTTCAAGTTGATACTTTGGTGCTGCGAAACTTGCCAGGGCAATTTGGTGTTCCCTCGCATGTAGTATAATCCAATGCAGAAATCATCAAACATGGCTCAGACATGTTCGAGATCAACCATTAACTTGGCAGACAGATCTTGGTCAAAGTTCGACTTTAAGCCCACCGACTTTACTGTTTGAAGTATGGCTGTTCTAGGCGTCGATCGCCACTCAACTATTGAACCCTTAAGACCTGGCTTTAGACGATTCCCTGCCTATCGATACTCCTTCGATCTTGCAGACCGCTTTTGCAGATGTGAATCTTGTGATATGCGTGTAGGGTAGTTGTATGGTTATATCGGATGCACCATCGGAGACCCGAGTGGGTCTCTCTCCCGGGCCGCATTCGGAAGTGAGATCCCCAGACGTCATCCATTGCTTGTGTTCCGTCAACCCCGTCCAGACCCACATCTCCGGCCGGCCGGCCCCACAGGTGGAGAAGGCGGGCCCTGGTCCCTCGTCTTGACAACCAAGGTTTGTCTCCGCAAAACGACATCATCTACGAGTCTTCGACGGCGATCACGACGGACGAAGGGGTTGAATATAAGTCGGATGTTTCCACTACGGCATTGTATGACACTTACAACTCGCATTTTGTATAGTAAAGCTATGGTCCCAATTTTACCCAGATTCAACTCATCTCACCAACAACTCAACATTCCAACTACATCCTCACTCAAAGTCAACATTACCACGTCAACATCAACATCAACAACCATTGCCAACATGTCTTCCTCAACCGATAACACCACCGCCTCAACACCCCCCGCCCTCTCTGACCCCGACGTCCCAACCCCTTTCGCTCAACCCGGCGAAAAGAAACAAATCAACCTCCTCCGCGGCTGGCCCTCCCCACACCTCCTCCCTCCATCTAACCTCCTCTCCGCATCTAAAACCCTCCTAACCTCCCCTCTACCCTCCGACCAACCCGATCCCACCAACGCCAACCCCATCAACAGCACCGGGGAAGAAAAATTCAACTTCAACGTCCCAGCCCTCCAATACGGTCCAGACCCAGGCTACCAACCCCTGCGCCACTCTCTCGCGTCCTGGCTGACAACCAACTACCAAACAAAGGAAACTTACCCGCCGCATGGCTTTCCGACCCTAACCACGGCAGACCAGATTTGTGTAACTGGTGGCGCGAGCCAGAATCTGGCGAATATCTTGCTGGGGTTCACGGATCCGGCTTACACGAGGGCGGTGTGGGCGGTTAGTCCGTGTTATTTTTGGCGGTGCCGATTTTTGAGGATGCGGGGTTTAGTGTGGCGAATGGGAGGTTGAGGGATGTGCCGGAGGAGAAGGGACAAGATGGGGAGGTGGGAGAAGGGGTGGATTTGGAGGCGTTAGAGAAGGGGTTGAGGGAGGTGGATGAGAGTAAAGAGTGGCCGAATAAGCCGGTGAGTTATTCCCTTGGGATGACGATGGGTGGTGTTGGGTGAAGAGGGATGAGGGTGGTGGTTGCGGTGGAAGGGGCATGAAAGGGGAACGACAATGAGGAAGAAAGAGTGGACGAGGATTAGGTGGTGAAACAGAGGGGTGATTTGGAGTAAATGGGAGAAGACATTCGGAGAGGGGACGAGAAAACCTCTTTTCGGATTTGTTACCCTTACTCTGGTACTTTACCTTGCTCCTCCTCAGTCTCAGCTTCATGACTTCAGTCCCGGTCTCATTCCCACTTTCACACTCCCCAGCCGACACCCATTCCCACTCCCCTCATCACCACCCCTTCTACAGTCAACTGAACCATAACTGACAGCCCAGGTCTACAAAACTCCCGGCCCCCACCGCAAATGCTACAAGCACATCATCTACCTAGTCGCCACCTCGGCCAACCCCTCCGGCATCACCATGTCCCTCGCCCGTCGCCACGCCCTCGTCCAACTAGCCCGTAAATACGACGCCCTCATAATCTCCGACGACGTCTACGACTTTTTGCAATGGCCTGTCCTCTCCTCGCCTTCTCAGGCCTCTAAGACACTTCCGTTAACAACCCCCCTCCCCCGTCTCTCCGACATCGACATCTCCCTCGGCCCTTCCGCCCACGACCTCGCCTTATCAGCGCACTACACCCGCACCCGCTCTCCTCAGGGTCGTCCCAACGGCACCAACGGCCAGCATAACAACGACATGGCAGATGACCAACAAGACATGCAATCCCTCCACCCTGACCACACGATCCAAGACCTGCACTTCGGGCACGCCGTTTCCAACGGCTCCTTCTCCAAGCTTTTATCCCCCGGCTTGCGAACAGGATGGACACATTCCACTCCCGCTTTTGCCTATGGTCTCGCCCAGACAGGCTCTACCCGCTCAGGCGGCGCCCCCTCGCAATACTGCGCAGCTTTAATCCACGAAATCCTCAGCTCCGGTGCTCTAGAAAAGCATCTCACGGAAATCGTCCGCCCTGGCCTGCAAAAGCGTCACGCCCTCATGCTCAGCACCATCAAGCGCGAACTCGGTCCTTTAGGCATCAAGGTACTAGAAGATAACCGCACGGGCGCGGAGCGTAAGGATGACCAGCCGGCTTTATCCGGCGGCTACTTTTTGTGGTTGGAACTTCCCGAGTCGGTACCCTTTACTGCTAAAGAGGTAGCGGAACGAGCGCTGGAGGAGGAGAAGCTTGTTGTTAGTCCCGGGGAAAATGCGGAGGTTAGTGGGGATGGAGAGACGGCGAAGATTCGGTTCCCGAAGCACTTGAGGGCGTGTTTTAGTTGGGAGGAGGAGGAGGATTTGGTGGAGGGGGTGGAGAGGTTGGGGAGGGTGGTGAGGGGGATGGTTGAGGAGGCGAAGGAGGAAGGGGGGGTGAAGAAGGTTGGTGGGGGGTTGAAGGCTTTTAAGTAGGGAGTGGATGCGAGAGTTGGTTGGGTGAAATTTGAATAGCGTTGCTTTGGAATAAATCGTCAGTGTCTGTTGAATATTTATGAAAAGACATGGCTGATGATGAGAGTGAGATATTTTGTTGGTATAGTTTTTCACTTCAGTCAATGTAGAAAAAAAACTGAATGTGGTACAGACGGGGTATACCTACACGCAAAGATTCGGGAAAATGCGAACGGAATATCCAGCCGAGGGCAAAGATGCCTCGCAACCAATAAACCTATACACAGTTGACTCCTGTCTGCTCGTCCTCGCTTTTCCCGACACTCCTCAAGCTTCCCTCTCTCACATCATTTCTTCCCCTTCTTCTTCCCACCACCTTTACCCCCCTTCCCATTCTTCCCATTCCCCTGCTGCCCCTCCGCCTCCTCATACCGATTACTATTCTCCACATCAAACCCCATCTTCTCCTTCCGGAACAACAACATGGCCACCCGCGCATCCTCCACACTACTATGCTGTCCACTTTGAATCTCCACCGCAAGTACCTCCTTCGCCAGCACCTTCAAGCTCGGCTTCGGCCCATGTCCATACTTCCTGAACCCGGAGTACTTCGCCGTATCCCTAATATCCCGATGCGGATGCTCCAGTCCCAAAACCTCCAAATCATGCTTAACGTCATGACCCACTAGGATCCTCCCCTTCAAAAGCGCAGCGACGGTAGCTTGCACCGAGACAAACGAGCGCGCGAACGCCATGTGTTTCTTGCTGATGCCGGAGACGTGTGTGCGCCAATCGGTGACAAAGGCCGTGGGCTTGACGTAGGAATCGTAGATTTGGTTACCGTGGAAATCAACCAGGGAACACCGCGCGAGGACACTGGTGAGACCCGAGGGACCGGTGCCGACCATTTCGCAGTCTATTGCTACGTATTTCCCCAGGGTGTTGTCTTTGGTTGCTTTGAGGATCAGGGCCAGGTCGGCGGTTGTGGCGGAGGTTGTGGTGGTGCCGTTGGCGAGGGTTAGGTTGGCGGGCAAGGGGAGACCGTTGCTGAGAGCGCCGGTGGTGCCGTTGATGGTGGGGGTGGCGCCGGAGAGGGTGAGGCCGGCGTTGGGGACAGCGGGCGGAAGGGTGGATAGTAAGGGAACGTGGGAAGAGGAGGAACGAAGGCCCAAGTTGTAGGCCTCGGCAAGGGACTCGGCGGAGATACCTTCTTCGTCGGCCCAGAGGTGGAGGGAGGGGGAGATGGTGTGCTTGGAATCAGAGGTTATGGGCTTTGATTGGACGTTTCCTCCCATTTTCTCTGACTTCTCTCCTGGAGTGCTGGTGGTGCTGGCTGTTGTTGACTTTGGCGTGGCAATCTTCCTTGATGATTGGGAATCCAACTGGGCCTGAGTCTTCTGCTTCTTGGCCTTTGGAGGCTTGGATAGTTCGGCCTCTTTCCTCTCCTCGGCTTTGCGCTTCAGGGTCTCGGAGGAGATGGACTTTTTGGAGGCTGCTTGCTTGAAAAGTTCTTCTTGGCTGAGGGGGGCAGTCTTCTTTGGTGGGGCTTTGAGCTTTTCTTGCAACTTCTTCCAGTTTGAGGACAGTTCTGGGGCCATGATGGCCTGCCTTGGTTGGTGGTTTGGTGGTGAGGTGGTGTTGAAGTCTCGATGGTGAGGACTGGGGACAAGTGAGTGTCACTGTCGATGAGGGGGCGCTTTGGTATATCCGATTAGGGATTCTGGGAATTGAATGCCAAGGGTCTTTGGTGAAGTTCAACTGGTGTAATTTCCCTTTTTGTAAAAATAAACAAAAGATTGAGATAAGAAATCCAGGTGGTGAAGGTGATAAGTTTTGTATGAAAGTGAAGTGGATGTCAACAACGGCCCCACTTGGTGTTCTTGAAAATTCAACTGGGGAAATCGGTTCCTGGCCGATTGACAGGGTAGACAAAAACACATGCAGGGGTCCCCACTGAAATGCCGGCCCAAGCACGTGGATACGCCACTGAACAACCCCTCCAACCGACCGCTGAACAATCACTAAACATCGCCAAAACACGTCAAACTAAACCATCGCGCGTCGCTCGTTAAATCGGTCGCATTCAATTGTCCACCTCATCATCCATCGTTTCTTGTCAAAAACATCGCATTCCATCAACCGCATTACATACATCTGGGTCAGATACTGTCGCCATCATGAGTCCCCCCGGTGGCGATGCCGCTGTTGGCTCCGACGAGAAGCGACAGAAGGGCAAAGCGACGCCTGACACCATCAAGTATGTTTCCCATCACTGTCAGTCATATACAAAATCCAGCAACTAACAACCACAACAGACAGGGCTGCATAGCCATGGTGATGAAAGAAGGGCAACTCCGACGAGCCGAGATCCTCAGTATCAAAGACACCAAATCCGGCCGACAATTCTACTGCAACTTCGACAACTTCAACAAGCGTCTCGACGAATGGGTTCCCGCCGCCAGGATCGATTTCGAGCAGGACGTCGAGTGGCCCAACCCGGACAAGGACAAGCAGAAGGACACCAAGACCAAGAAGAACTCGACGGTATCCAAGAAACAGCAGACGTCGAAAAAGAACACCAACAAGAAGGCCAGCAAGAGGGAACAGTCTGTTGCGTCAGTGGCGTCAGATGGGCAGACACCACATCCATGGACCGAGTTTGTCGAAGGCCAACAGAATGGCAAAAACAACAACAACAAGCAACGGGAAGATGGAGGAGCAGACGCCAACGGCACCGCCGCCAGTCTGGAAGTCGGCGGCGAAAAGGGCGTCAAGAGGCGAGCAGACGAGATGGATGTCGACGAGGACGACATACCCGCCGACGCATCTAAGAAGCAGCAGCGCGAATCGTCTTTTTCCAGGGAACAAGAAATCGAGAAATTGCGAACTAGTGGTTCCATGACTCAAAATCCCACGGAAATCTCTCGCATCCGCAACATCTCCAAGGTCGAATTCGGGCGCTACGTTCTCTTTCCATGGTACTTCTCGCCCTACCCGAAAGTGTTCGACCAGGAGGACTGCATCTACATCTGCGAATTCTGCCTTTCGTACTACGGCGAATTAAAATCGTTTGTCCGCCACCGACAAAAGTGCACGTTGCATCATCCGCCTGGCAACGAGATTTACCGCGACGACTACGTCTCCTTCTTTGAGATCGACGGCCGTCGTCAAAGAACATGGTGTCGCAACCTCTGTTTACTCTCCAAAATGTTTTTGGATCACAAAACCCTCTACTACGACGTCGACCCTTTCCTCTTCTACGTAATGACCACGCGCGACGACCGTGGGTGTCACTTGGTCGGCTATTTTTCCAAAGAAAAGGAGTCAACAGATGGATACAACGTGGCCTGCATTTTGACGCTTCCGCAATATCAACGCAAAGGCTACGGCCGCTTGCTAATCCAATTCTCCTACGAACTTTCCAAAATCGAAGGCAAACTCGGTTCCCCCGAGAAACCGCTTTCCGATCTAGGTCTGTTGAGTTACAGACAATACTGGTCGGAGAACATCATCGATATTTTGCTCGGGTACAACGAACGGAAAGAAACGTGCACGATTGAGAGTATCGCTGTGGCACTGGCCATGACGACGCAGGATGTGGAGCATACCCTGCAGGCTTTGAAGATGCAGGTGTATCATAAGGGCGAACATAAGATTGTTGTGCCGGAGAAGCTGATCAAGCAGAGGGAGAAGAGCAAGGCGAAGCAGAAGAGATTGATTGACCCGGAGAGGATCCAGTGGAAGCCACCTGTTTTCACGGCACTTAATCGGACGTGGGGATGGTAGTTTCTGTTTGGGTCTGGGTCTGGGTCTGGGTCTGGTGACTGGATGTTTGGGTGGGCTGGTTTTGTTGTTGTAAGTTATGAGAAACAAAGTTGCATGGGTAGCGAGCGGGTTGGTTGCCATTATCAGTACGGCGTTGGTGTTTGTTTTGGACGGTACTTGTTCGGGAAAAGGGGCTTACAGGGGTTAGGGGTCCATGATATGTATCACCATACAGACTGTAACATAGCATCTGCTGTTACTTGTTCACCAGCGATTGGGAATATCATTGCTAGGATAGAGAAACAAAGCGCAGACATGATATCTGCTCATGATCAGCTAAAAGCATGTTTGACAATCACTTTGAGAGAGAAAGAGTCCGGCAAAAGCGAGGACAAGCAGAAAGGTGTCTATAGGTGTATTGGTTCAAAAGGCTGGATATCTCGTCTGCATCTCCCCCGATTCTTTTGCCTGTAGGTATACCCCATTTGTACCACATTCAGTTGTTTCATCCATTGACTAAACGGCCAACAGAAAACCTCTAATAACCCTTTTGCTCTTTCACGTCTTCACCTCATTAGTGGAAGCCAACCATCAAAAGCCCTTGAGACGCCATGCCATGGTCTAAGTGCTGGCTTCTACCAATCCTTGTCTTTCATCATTCCACCATCCGTCGTCCTTTCCTTTCCGGTCACGATGACCATATTGTCGCCTACGTGAAGATGTGGGCGATACCATCAGCACTACAACCCTCAGTAACGATCACAACGGAATACCCTCCATCATCTCAAGCGCGCCCTCCCTTCCAACCGTGATAATCACATCTCCCAAAGTCTTGGTCAGGAAACCGGCCTCACTATACGCAAAGTAGTACTGGACAAATGTCAGCTTCGTCACCTCCAACAACCGAAAGAACCAACTCACCTCCCACATCCTCCGAAACACTTCAACATCCTCCTCCGTCATATGCGGACGCTTCTGCTTCAAGGCCGGCGCGATGACGCTGTCAAACTTGTCCATAAAGGCCTCTCTCCACAATCTCAACGTCTTGACGTAATGTGAGCCGATGTTCTCAAGCTTCTCGACAATGAGCGTGCCGTTAGACTCGTTCGTGATGTGGTTGATCAACTGCGTGACGGATGGGAGGTATCCTCCAGGGAAGATGTAGTGGTTAATGAAGCTACAGACAGACGTTAGCAGACGTTACACCCTACAATACAAGGACACCGACGACTTACTCTTCACGCTTCGAATAGCCTTTGTGTCGTCCCTCTGGCATCGTGATGCTCTGGAACACGGCAATCCCTCCGTCTTTCTTCAGCAGCTTGTCAATGCGCGAGAAATACGTGGGCAAAAACTTCTCGCCGACGGCTTCGATCATTTCGCAAGAGATGATCTTGTCGTAGGGAACCTTCCGATCAGGCAGAAGTCGGTAGTCCAACAGATGCACTTCAATATTGTCCGAGAAGCCGGCTTCCCGAATCCTCTTCTCGGCATAGATCTTCTGCTCCTGTGACAACGTTATAGTCGTGACGCGGCAGCCTGTCTTGCGCACGGCTTCAATGGCCATGGTGCCCCAGCCGGTTCCAATTTCCAGGACATGGTCGGTTGGCTTGATCTTGGCTGCTTCGATGAAATAGTTGATCTTGTTCATCTGAGCATCCTCCAGGCTCTCCTCCTGTTGGGGGTCACTGTCGGTCAAGTGCTTCCAAATCGGACACGAGTACATCATATCTGGCGACAGAAAAGCAGCAAACATATCGTTGCTGATGTCGTAATGCCGAACGATGTTCAGGCGAGCGTTATCCATGGTGTTTGCCACGCGAGCTAGACCAGTGAGGTGCGAGAATAATCCCGAGAACCAAGTCGTGCCGTTGTTCAGCTGTTCACGGTTCAAGATGAACATCTGGAAGAAGCACGTCAGGTCATCACACTCGAACTCGCCTAACATGTACGACTCTGCGAAGCCCATGTCTGTGAACAGAAGCAGTCGCACCCAGAACGCATCGTCCAGCACAACCAACTCCACACCAGGAAGATCGGTAGCCTTGCGCTCGTGAATGGGTTGGGCAGAATAGCGGCGACAGAGGACAAAGTTGCCAAGCTCGCCAGGCCCAGCGCCGAGTGTGTCGCCGTACACATGAATCTCCGCTGACACTTGGTCGACGAGAAGGAATGTGCCGACTTCGAGGGAAGCGAACGTGGTTTGGGCCATGGCCTTGGCAAACTGGACGGCCGGACCCCATGTTAGGGAGCCTAGCTTGTGTCGCAGGTGCGCAGTGCCGCAGTAGACCAGCGCGGTGAGGCGTTCGGGAATGTTCGGAAGAAATTGCCTAGGGTGTATTCCCCTGGACGCCATAACTCTTGAGAAGTGATCTAATTGATAATAAATACGCTTGTGGACTGAGTAGGGTTGGTTCCACTCGTATCTGGAAAAAATGTTAGTGGTCGTTAGTGCGGAGAAGGGAGAGAAAGAAAATAAGAAGTGCCTACTCTTCGGGGTCCGCTTTCTGAGGAGCCATGATGAGTTCGGGAGTTGGCAGCTATTTGTATTGAGGAAGAAGCGTTGTGAGAAAATCTGAGTCACCAGACAAGGCTGGGGTCAAATGCTTCAGGGCCGAGTGAATAGCAGATGTGCTATTGTATCTGACGCGTGAACTTGCGCAGGCATTGAGCATAAAGGATGGCGGTGAGGTTACGGGAGTCAACAGTGAGGTTGGGATGAAAGAGTGCCAGGTCCAGTTGGCGGGTCAACAATAGGTTGCGGCCAATGGCAATAGGAGGGGTTGAGTTGGCCCGCGAAGATGAGGCAGTAGACGAGAATGACGAGCGTAGGAGCATCGACAAGGGTGTACTATAGGATGAGAAATGGTCAAGTGAAGTGTTCAAATAGAGCTGCTGAAATATCCAATATTTGTGGCGCCTGGCAAAGATGCACTCCGTCGGCAGTCTCTGGCCCACTGCACAGGACTGTCTTGTTGTTCTGTCTCTGCTGCGAGGGTTCCAAGTTCTAGACTTGAGCTCATTTCTCCGAGAAATACCGGGGCGAATAAGGAAGGCACACTTGAAGCGTGTGCGCTTGACTTCCACTTCGGTCGGTGCAGGTGCGAATGCGGTAGGCCTTTTGTAGCCGAGGGGTGACTTTCTGAGCAAGTTGAAGCGGCAAGAACGATCCTCAGTTGGGTACCTGACGATACTATCCCGCACCTCAAACGAAACACTCATCAAGAACCATCACCCGACTGAAAGGCGGAGGACATGCTTGGCACCATACCTTCCACATCGTCTGTTCATGCTTCCTTTGTCGTTCTTCCAAGGAGTGTCCTGCCTCCAGTCGAAGAGCCGGCCATCGAGGTCTGACCGTGACCAGACTTGTCTTCCGAACCCGGATTAAAAACTCCGAGTCTGGAACCACAGAGTCGTCCTTCCCAAAGTATCAGCGGTTACGCTTCCTTTCATGCCAATCCGCTTAAGGTAACGCTTTTGCTCAATGTCTCGACCGAAACTGGACAGAAGTCAAAAGACGACGTGTAGCTTGCCGTCAAACAGCCACTGGGCGAAGAAAACGAAAAGCAACCACTTGACTGCACAACACTTCCCGGCCTCTCTCCTGACACCCGGCCGCTTTCCCAGAGTCTCTCCAAGAGAAGCAACAACTCGCCCACACTTCCCTTCCGTCCTCACGACAACCTCAACCCGTATCTTTCCCTGTCTCTCACCTCCTCCTTCTCAATTTCTCGTCCCCAACCCGTCCACAACCCATCATCACTGCCGTCCCAAACCTATCCCCAGCATCCCAGCCCAGCCCAAAAGTCTATTTAACCCCTCCCCTCTCCCCCAACCTTTTCCATCCCTTTTTCGTCTTTTCCTCTTCACAAAACGTACTAGGCTGACTGCGTGGGAGCTCAGGATCCCTGTGTAGTATGGCGGCGGCGGCAACCTCAATGACCATTGCACATTGCGAGAGGGTTGTTTTTGCTTGTCATGTACCTCCGTTTCGGTGGAAATCCGGCCATATTTTTTGGTTCTTTTTGCTTATTTGAGCTCATTTGAGTTCATTTGAGTTCGAGTCATGGGCTGATTTGACTACTATCACCTTTTTTCACTGCGAAGGCTGCCTTTGGGTGGTGTCGTGGGGAAGAATGTCTTGAGGTTGGGGGTGGTGGTTTTGGGTCTTTGTATATAGCTATTTCTGGGAAGTGTGATAGCCATGACTTTGTTTCACAATGCTTGTCTTCAGAGGTATGTGATGCAAGCACTGAGAGTTCATGAGACCGTTCTTGAAGATGTAATGATCGAGTGTCTTCTCTCAATCCTCGTCGCCGACGACCCCCCGAACGCAGACCTTATCCCGGCTGTCGGGGTTAGGGTTAACCGCACGTCCCCTGAAACATGCAGCTCCAGCGCTGCACCCACTGAATGCAAGCAATCAAGCAAGTGATCCGTGCGTGCCCTGCATTTCCACTTGCGATCCTCCGACGCGTTTTCCACTTAAACATCCGCGTCTCACTACTCGACTTTATCATCATCACCATCCACCTCATTCACTCAACTAAAACACCATTCAATCCTGCTTACAATCGGTCAATTTTTCTCCAAAGAGTTCAGGAAGAAACCATACCGACACAATGTCCCAACCAATCCTCGCTTTCACCCCCTCCTCCTCCTCCAGCACCTCAACCACCACCCCAAAAACAACACCCAACCTCCTCCCCTGCCGCATCCACCACGACGGGTCCGTAGAACCTACCGACTCATTTTGGAATCCTCGTGAAGAAGGTATGTGCCCCCATTCTCCCTTCTCTTTTCATCCAACTTTTCGACGCATCTTCCAGGACGATAATACTAACACAAATCCCAGATGGTCTAAAAACCTCTTACTTCCGCGGCCGCAAGTTGCACGGCAAAACTCTGCCTCTTCCCTCTGGTTACCGCGGCGTGGTAGCATCAAAAACCGTCAATCAGCAGCAGCAGAACCAAAACCAGAACCAGAACCAGCCACCAAGATTGTCAGAGCAGATGTCCTTCGTTATGGACAACGATAACGACAACAAGCCAGCAGAAGTCATCGATCTTGAAGCTGAAGAGAGTGGGCAAGGGTCACAGCAGCCAGAAGTAGGAGGAAAGATGCAAATCCAAGCAGAGTTTGAGGAAGTGGTAGTTTGGGGACATGAGAGCTTGGCTGATGCTGGTGGGGATGCGTATGTTAGGGGGGTGGAGGAGTGGATTGGGTTTGCGGAGAGGATTCATGCGTTTTGAGGGGTTGAGGGGTTTGAGCGTTTTGAGGGTCTTGATTGTTGTTATTTTTAACGTCTACTTCCGCCTCCCGTAGGGCATGAGACGTAAAAGTTTTGAGGGTCTTGAGTGGGCGGGTGAAGAGAGTTAAGAGGCATATTTGACGAAGAGACGCATTCGAGGCTGGGACAGAAAGAAGAAAGTGAAAAAGTTGAAATTAAAGTTGAAAGATACCCCCAAATGGAATAATAAGTAGAGCGGCGACGTTTTTAGTCTCGCAGAACTTTGGAAACTCAAAGTAGTGCGTGCGCTATGAGTTTGATTGTGAGTGAGCGAGCAAAACCAGAAGGACCTAGATTGCCGATCTATGAAGGCCTGTATAACGAACGATATGTACTAGAACCCGCGCTATGTAGAACGTTTTCCAAAAAGTTCACAGTGAAGGAAATGAAGAACTGGGTTTCCATAATTGATGCTCTCAGCATCGAGTATTGTTTCATTTATTGAGCCTTGAAGCCCCTTTAAGCATCGCCAGCTATTGGTGGTTGTTGCTGTGAAGCCTCCCATTGCTGCGCCCTTTCTGGCGTCCCTGGTATTACTTGTTGTTGTTCGTCCATACCGGTACCATCCTCCCCCTGCTCATGTCGTGGTGGACTCGACGGCGGGACGATATCCATCGGTGTTGGCGCGCTCATCTCTCCGGCTGGAAGTTCAGCTGGGGCATCCTCCTTGCTAGTCTCCGTCTCCAACCCCTTCTCTTTTTCTCCCTCACCCTTATCTTCCCCACCCTCACCCAACGTCTGCCTCTTAATCCCCCTCCTAGCCTGCTTGATCAAATCCCCAAAACTCCCTCCATACCGATTCGCCCACGCTTTCCCATCAAACTCTTTATCCTTGATCTCCGCGCCGGCAGCTTGCGCTCTAGCCATGGGTCCCTGCCCCGCTCCTCCTCCTATTGTCATACCAAAACCACCGATCCTCGAACCTCCTCCGCCGGGATTTCCTACTGTGCGTTCCCATTCGTCTAGATCCCGCAACAACTCGGACCGCTTTTTAGGTCGCGAGGAATCGCAGTTGGCGTTCCAGAGGGTGATCCATTCCTTGTGTCGCTTTTCGAGAAGTTGGCGAGAACCGTGCGTGGAGAGACCGAGTTCGGAGAGTTTCTTGCGCAGGGCGGTGTCGCGGAGCATGGAGTAGGCTAGGGCTGGGAGGCGTTCGGGTGGTTTTTGGGGTTGGGTTTGACTGGTGTTTTGTTGGCCCAGGCGGGTGTTGAAGGATGGTTGTTGTGGTGTTTGCGCTTGTCGTTTGGCTGCTGCTGCTGCTGCTGCCTCGGGAGAACCGGGACAGGAGGTGTCAATGTGGCGGTCGACTTGCTGTTCTTTCATGCGGGTGAGGCAGATGGGACAGGCTACTAGGCCGTCGTCTGGTAGGGGGCGTTAGTGGTGGCGATGGAAGGGGGAGAAGAAGAGGACAGGAGGAAAACGAACCGGGTGGTTGGTCAACGTAATCTGGATCGGCCGAGGGCGTCGTGTCTTCCTCTTCTTGTAGTATGGCTGCTGTTAACTCGGCGGATTTGGTCTTTGTTGATCTGGTCGACCTTCTAGGCCTCTTGGTTTCTTGGTCCTCCTCTTTGGCGCCATCCATTTCAGTCGCCTTTCGTTTTGTTGGTGAACTGGGGCCCGACTGATTTGTTGGTGGTACTTCAACTGTCGGTGGTGCCTTGGCGAACTCTAGAAGAGCTTTACGGGAACCCTTAAACGCGTCTACGGCTTCGCGCAAAGCCCAGTTGCCTCTGAGTTTGGATTCCTGGTCGGTTGCTCGACATAATGGGCATTTGCTGTCGGCGGACAGGCATCTTCGGATGCATAATGAGCAAAAGGTGTGGAAGCAGGAAGTGATCATGGGAGCGTCGTAAAAGTCCTTGCATACGTGACAGCGGAAGGCCTGTTCGACGGGCATCAGGCATGCGAGGGGAGTGCCCAGCCAGTCGGTCGAGTCGGAGACGTTGATGGCTTCATCGCGGAAGACTTCCATGGTGGTCGCCTTCAATCGCTGAGCACGGTATAAGGTAGAAGCGATGGCAGAGCAGAGCTGATGTTGAAATAATCGGTATTCAAGTGGTTTGTAAGTGGTGTTGATGGCTGCCTTCTGCCTGGAGGCAAATGTAGGTAAAGACAGGAAGATGCGAGACGCGATGGCTGCAAGTTGAATGCGCTGCTCGCGACTTTCTTTGAGTGGGAGAATTTAAGTCAATGAGAGGAGGCCCTGCTATTACACTGTAATTACATCTTCATGCCCAGTTCTTGGACGGAGATGGAAGAGTGACCAGTGTTTCTACACTCGCAATTGCTTCAAATAGGATTAACTCGCTATCCTAAACAGTTTATCAAAATTTAACCTAATGATTTAAGGCATTCGCATTGTCACCTTTGATCTTGCATCTCTTTGTGATCATCCCTCACAGACCTTTGATCTCGATGACGGTATTGATCTTTCAGACGATACTGTAATGACAGGGCCTGCACGTGAATTGGCGACGGGAAGGCGTGCAGCGGGTGCTCTGGGACTTTCCAAGCGCTCTGGGGACTTTCAACAGTGCCCCACCTCAACTCCCCAGCCCAGACCATTCCTCTTTGGGCATCAATCAAAACAAAGACCAAAGCGGATTGGTGGAGCCCATGACCTCGACAACAACTTGCTCCGGCAACCAAGGCAACACAGCAACTCCATCTCCAATCCCTCGCATTTCACTTGCAGTGCTTTGACTCTTGTCAATTCCCGTCATCCCTCCAACAACCACCACCACCACCACATCGCCAACCTCGTCGACCACCACCTTCCTTTCCTTGATCAATTATACCAATGCTTTGAATATTCTTGTTGCGATTCCTTTTTTCTCAATCATTGCTTTGGAGTTTTTAGCTTTCCGCATCGCCCTTCCCTTTCCGAAACCGGTTTGTTGACTTTTGGCGGCAAAGTAAACAAACACCAAAATGGCGATGCGCAAGGCACCACGTCTGCCCGTCGGGTCGGCAGCATGGGTTGCAGAAGAGCGCGCATCTGCGCTCAAGGTCGCAGAGGAGGAAGTCGAAGAGTTCTCGTATGCAGCGCGCAATGAGATGGATTGGCTGAATGAGCACATGGACGACATCTTCTCGGGCGAGAACCAAATGTGCGTGTCTTTTGCGCGCGACGACGACGACGACGACGACGACGACGACGACGACGCTTATTGTCTTGTCTAGCTGACCAAGAAACAGGAACATCACCGAGATCTTCAAAACACCAGGCCGACAACGAGGCAAGACGCCGCGAACCATTCGCAAAGCGCCCAATACCGAAGTCCGAGTGGTAAGCATCCAGACAGCAGCAGCGCCTTTATGCGACGAGCGACAAAGATTGATTTTGATGTGTTCTAACCCACAGCAGCCCTTGGCCAGCATCTTCTCGGCTACCCCCCAAGGAACACCAAATCCCTTCGTCCTCGCCCCGCCCGCGAACAACTCGTCATGGACACCCAAGATCAGACCCGATACGCCAGAAGCCGATGTCGAAGCTGATGACGAAGCCGATGTTCCCAAGAATCCCACGACTCCCTCGACGCGCCGTGTGAGCCCCCGAAAATCAGCTGCCGCCTCAGCTGCAAAGTCGCCAAGCCCAGTCAAGAGCGTCGTCGCGCCATCACGACAACCGAGGCCAGTCAAGCCGAACAACAACGACACGCATATGCGACCACCCGCGAGTCCAGCAAAGCCAGTCGCTGTCACCCCGTCCAAAGTCAGAAGCCCCATCAAACATCTCAACGGCTCCCCTCTACCCATTCTTTCCAAGTCGCCTACTCCCGTCAAGGCCACCGACTCTGGATACTATGGCAGTCAGAATCTGGATATCATGGATGTGGACGAGGTCGAGAAGGTTGTTGATGCCGATGTCGATATGGGAGAACCAGCACACGAGCCGACGGTGGAACCTACTCAGCAGTCAACACAGGAGCTATCACAACGACCATCGCAGGAGCCCACACAGGAGCAGACAGATCATGTAATACGGCTATCACAGGAGCGTAGCCAGGAACCGACGCAGGAGGAACCAGAGCAGGAGATCGAGTCACAGGATCTTGGACTTGAACCAGCCCCCATTGAACCGGAGCAGCACGCCAGTTCCGTACCACAGGAGACAGTCGAACTACCGGAAGAGACACAGCCTTCAGAAGAACCTGTCCAGCCTACCGTTAAATACCCCCGACTACCCTCGCCCGAGCTTGATGTTGCTAGGTCTAGTAGCCCAGTCCATATGCTCATCCCGTCGCCCACCAGGTCTATCCATGCGCCTTCCCCGAAGAAGCCTGCCTCGCCGGTTAAAGCCTCATCCCCCCTAAAGCTCGCATCGCCAGAAAACCATCTTTCCCCTGCGAAAAGACTTTCCCGGATCAAGATGGCCTCCCCTCAGAAGGCTCCTTCACCAGAAAAAGTTTCCTTCCCTGAGAACACTGTGGAGCTCGAAAAGGAGGAATCGCCTGTGGATAGGGATTCTCCAGAAAAAGCGGCTTCTCCGACAAAGATCGCGCCTCCTCTTGTTCTTTCGCCCAAGAAGAAATCACCGGAGAAGGCGTCAGTCATCCAGCAACAACCCAAGACTCCGGCGCCCTTTGTACACCATTCCCAGCCCGAAGAGGATAGTGCGGACAACCAAGCGGGCGACAACGTGGACGACGACGCCAACTCATCCATGGAAGCCTCTAGCCCTATTAGCCCGGTTAAGCGTCTGAGCAGTCTGAACTTTGCATCACTTCCCGCACGCGAGCCGATGACCTCTAAGAAGAGTCTCGGCAATAGGGTGTCGAGGACTAGCCATGTCGACGTAACGCGAACATCATTCTACCATCGCCAAACCGGAGGAAAGAGTCTTGGCCACACGACCAGACAGGATTTCAACGATGACGACGATGAGATGGATGTTGATGACGATCACACTCAGGAACCTAGGACTGCTAAATCGTACACTCAGCGATTGCAGGATCAGATCAGCATGTTGGGCAAAGGACAGTCAATAGGACCGAGACCCTCAAAATCGATAGCTCACCTCTTGCCGGCACAACAACCCGCATCGACTTCACAGGCACCAACGACACAGCCCGTTCCGGAGCCCACCAAATCCTCACCCAAGAAGCCACCTGTGGTTACCCCAAGGGCATTTCCCACACCTGGAGCATTCCCGATGGACGACGATGATGACTGGATTGGACCTCCCAGCAAGGGAGCAGATATGTCCACCCCCATGGTGTGGAACGCGCGCAAAGACACACGGCTAAGTCAGCCAATGGAAGGAATAAACCTATTCGCAAGGGAGGCATCCCCGACCCTTGGAGAATCCTTCATGGAGAACAGGCACGACTCACCAAGTAAAGCGCCCGTCATCCAGGAGCCACCCGTCACTTCTTCAGCACATACCAAATTGGCTTCTGTTCCAATGCTACCGAACTTGAACGAGCTTTCCGTGCCACATACCGCCAGTCCCAAGAAGGAGGCATCTGCATCTACTTCCAACCTCCACAAAATGCCATCGAACGAACCTGCTTCGCCCTTCAAGTCTCCCTCCAAGTCATTGCGCGAGAACACGTTGGAGAGGGTGAAGAACAAGTTTTCATCCCTTATGAAATCTTCCAAGGGACTCCTCCCCACCAGTGGCCCTTCCAATGCGGAAGCGAAATTGACCGCACTGTTCACCACCCCTTCGACTGCTCGACTGGAAGAGAACCACAGTTTATCCGAAGCTTCCTTCAAGACAGCCGATAATGTCGTCTATCCTGATCTATCTCACCATGCACATGCCGAGGCCCCCGTAGCCGCCACCCCCATCCGACCCGTGCGAAAGACTCGAGCATTGAGCGAGAGGGAAAGGAAGGAGGCAGAGGAAAGGGAGAAGGAAAAGAAGAAGGAAGAGAAGGAGGCCAAGCAATATGCCAAGCAGAACGAGAAGTTTGAGAAGATGCGCGAGAAGGAAGCGGAAAAGGCCCGCATCTTCCAACAAGAGCAAGAGAAACAGGTGGAGATGGAGAGACGTGCTGCTGAACAGAGGGAGCAGGAACAACAAAAGAAGGAACAGGAAAAGATTACCAAGGCACGACCACAGTCCAAGCCGTTGTTCGAGACACCCGGACCCTCAAAATCGGCACCTAAGAGCCCCAAGAAAGCTACTCGGACTAGTCTTCGCAGAGGAGCCAAGCAGGGTGATGCCGAAGAGGAGGTCGATGTTGATATGGCAGACGTTACAATATCCACGAAGCCACCTCAGTCGATTACCAGACCCCCATCAGCTCAAGCTTCCCGTGGCACAGGTATCAAGAGACCTGTCAGACCCACAAAGGAGGCCTTGACGAGGGCCAAGCCCGCCCCGACTCGCATCCGCGTCAACACCACCAGCTCCCAACAAGGGGCATTCCACACTTCCACCAACAGTGTTCTCAGCACCACCAGCCAAGAGAGCCTAGGTCAGTCGCACGGAAGGCAGCAACTCGTGAGCAAGGCCAGCACGTCTTCGCTCACCAAGAAGCCTTCCCTTCAGAGTCTTAAGGGGTCTTATTCTTCGACTGTCGGGCGACCCAAAGCCTTGGAGCTAGCGGCCAAGCAGAAGGAGCAAGAGGAGCGCGAGATCCAGCGCAGACGTGATCAGAAAGAGGCAAACGAGCGGAAGAGGGCTGAGATGAAGGAGGAAGAGCAGCGCAAGCAAGCTGCGGCAGCTAAGAAGGCCGCGATTGAGCAAGCTAAGCGCACCCGTGCGCCGCCACCGCCGCCGAGGTCCCAGCCTAATGGTCCTCCGGATCACTTGGCGGAGAGCAGGCAGCCTAGCAGGCCTAATTCTCGTCTGGGGTCGACTCTGCATGATAGTCGGCCGGTTAATGCTGTTTTGGGGAAGGCGGCTTCGAAGCGTCCCCTGACGCAAATGCAGCAGGTGCAAGAGGCACATCAGGATTCGAAGCGGATACGTGTGTCGGAGGACTTTGATGCGGATATTGAGATGGCTGAAGGTAGCACCCAGCAGCAGAGAAGCATCAGGGGTGCGCCAGTCCGGCCTTCTGCTGTTCGTCCTTCAGGGGTTAGACCTTCAGCACCCGCTAGACAACCCTCAGTTGGGTTCAAGAAGGATATGTCAACAACCACCACAAGCAAATCCATTTTCGCCAGCAACTACAACAACGTCCCGCACGCTCCGCCCCCTCCATCACGGACAGTCGACCTCTTCAAGAAGACAACTGTAAACCAGATCAAGACTGGCCACGCCCTCGACACCGCCCAATTCCAAAAGGGCAACCACATCCCCTTTGCCAACGGCGCCGGTCCTTCTTCCACCACTCAAGCCGGATCATCCCGTCACCCACTCCAAACCCCCGCTCGCCCGGGTGCCACTGCCGCCAGCCGCGCCCTACCCCTCCCATCCGCCAGCAAACATCAACCATCCCGCACCTCCCCCCGCCTCGCCGCCATCGCCGCCGGCGACTCCATCGAGCTTCCTGAGATCCAAACCGATGACGAAGACGGCGTCGACACGCCCCGCCCGTCCACATCCAACCCTAACCTCCGCTCCTCCCTAAACGGGGGTAACTGGACAGATAGTCCGTACCTTAAGGCGCAGCTGCTGGCGCAAGAACAGCTCGATCCGATGGTCATCTTTGGACCCCCGGCTCCGTTGAATATGGAGGAGGTGTTTAGCAAGGATAAGAGTCGACATCATCGGTTCAGAGCCAGGACGAGTTCTGCGAATTGGGAGGGGCAGGATCGGTTGACGGAGGAGGAGGTTTGTAGGGATCGGGAGGCGAGGGAGAGGATGAGGAACGAGGGGGGTGGAGTTGGGGTTGGGAGGACTTTGGGATAACTTTTGCCTGGGCTTGTATGTGTGAGAGAGAGAGAGAGTAAGATGGGTTGTTTGGTTGTTTGCACAGCATTATCTCAGGTGTTTCGATCAGGTTATATCCCAGCAAGGGATTATTGTATGTCCCAAGAGAATGGACTGCGGTAAAGGGAGGAAGGGTACATCATCTTTTTTTACGCTGAGATTACCTTAGGCTGGTTCTCACCCTGTTCATTACGGAGGGTTGGTTAACGGCTCTTTGCATAGATGTTAGGATTAGGGATTCTTATCGTGGTATCCATGAGGGTCATTGGGTTTTTTCTTACCAGGTTCAGGAAAAACGGGAGTTTAGCTTATGACTATGGTTAGAGCATGTTCAATGAACGTCTTACACATTCGCATGGATTCCATAACTTGTTTCTACTTTGATACAACCAACCAACCAACCAACCAACCAATGTCACATTACTACAAGGCTACAAGCAAGATACTCTAGGAAATAATCACGTTGGACTTAATCCCTTTTTACCAAGGTCCACACTACCCACACACACATCATCTTGCTGGACACTTCCATCCCCTCTATCCAAGCCCCTTCCAATTTCATGTTCAATATGGAGGGTTCAATAACGGCTCTTTGCATACATGTTAGAACTGGGATAGAAATATGTATCATGCAGTGAGTGGTGTTCATGAACAAAAGATCAAGCTCATTACACTTTACCAGGATAGGTTCAAGGAAAAACTGGAGAAGAGTTTAGCTTACGGTTAGAGCATGGTCAATGAACCTCTTACACCTTCAACTCACATGGGAGTTCATGGCCAGACATTGATCGGAAAGAACAACCAACCAAACAATGTCATTACTATCTCCTCTCCGGGTATCATGCATTCATGGCTGTCAAGGTGATTAGTGGCCTTTTTTTTTATGAAATATATTTTTATTAAATTCTTTTTTTCCGCAGTTTTTTGTAGTTTCTTACCAGGACAGGTTCAGGCAAAGACTAGAGAGGAGTTTAGCTAGCTCATGGTTACCTCTGGAGAATGTTTAGAGTATGAGCAATGAAAGCTCTCTTATCGCATTCAATTCCCGTGGAGTCGTGCCATGACCGGCCTCAACTTTCCATACAATCAACCAAAACAAAACTACGTCATTACCAGGTATGTAAGCTAGGTAGGAAAACAATCACATCCAACGAAAACAAAGAAACTTCTCAACCCCTTTTCACTAACACCCACCACCAACCTCCTCCTCCTTCCCTTTCCCATCCACCACCCTTTTTTCCAATTTCCGACCCCCTCTCCCTCCCCTCCGCACTCACTCATTCACGTAAGCGGCGGCGCCCCCGGATCCTCCATACACTGATCAACCCTCATCAACTGCTTCCCACTCGCCTTCGCAAGTCTAATAAACTCCTCCAAATACCCCACCGTGCTCTCATAAAGATAATGCATAACCACCAGATTCCCTCCCGCTTTCAAATCCCTTTTAAACGCTTCCAGCTGTTTCTCTGGCGTTGAACTTTCAGCCCACAGCCAGTCCTCGACGTCGATACTCCACCCCACGATATGTGCGTTGGCATTGTTAAGGTTTGCTACCAGCCGCTGACGCATCCTAGCACCTTCTGTCCCGAAGGGTGGTCTAAAATATGGACTGATTTTAGAAGAGGGGAAGGTTTGCGCCATGGAGCCAATGTCATTGGTATATTCCCAATCCATTTCTGCGGTAGAAGAGAGACCTTCCATTTTGGGATGGGTATAGCTATGCAGAGCGATCTGATGGCCCTTTGAAGCCATGTCGCGGTATATCTTTGAGAGGTTGGTTGTGGGGTCGAGGAGAGGTAAACCGACGGTGAAAAAAGTTACGGGGATTTGAGCCGCAGAAACGATGGACATTACGCGCGCTGCTAGGGCGGGGTCGCCGTCGTCGATTGCGAAGGCGAAGGAGTTGGGGCGGGTGCATGCGAATACGAGTTTGCCGGAGGGGAGTTTGGTGGATTTTTTACTGAGGAGGGAATGGAAGAAATAATTTCGAGCTTGGAGATTATTGTGGATTCCGAAGGACTGTAAAAGCCGCGCAGGTTAAAGCCGATGGAGCGCGTGAGGTTGATGTTGAAGTGGGATATGGGAATATAAATGTCTGAGCCGCCATTGAACGAGTAGCGCGCGGCTTCGAGGGAGTCCCACGTTTCCGGGTACGGTTTGATACTGTCGTCGCACTTGGAATTATGTTGTTGCAGCGCAATGGAAAACTTGTTGCTCCCGCTGTAGGCAACGTGCAGGTAAGCGGTGGACCAGGGCGTCAGGTCAAAGCATTTGGCTGCCAGCTGCGTGTTCCACCCGAGGTCAGAATCGTTGGTACGGATGGTGATGGCGTTCTTGCCAAAGGTGACGGTCATGCCGTCGTCGCCGCCGTGCCACTGGCCGAGACTATTGGTTTCGGTGTTCCCAAAAGTGTCGATGACGAACGGCTTGGCGGTCGAGGTGGAGGAAGGGGCAGCAGGGACAGTAGTAGGGGACGCACCGGTGTTGGAAGAAGGAGGGGCGGGCAGGGCAGGAGGGATGTATTCGGATGCGGTGCTGCCGCAGTAGAAAGACATGGGGCCCAAGATCACGGCGGCGTTGAAGGACGAAAAGTAGATAATATCTAGCTTTGTCGTGTCCAAGCCGGTGAAGACGGAAAAGGGGAACCAGTAGAGCCGTTCAGTGCCGTCGAATGTCCATTTAAGCTGGGCGGTCGTCATGGAGATGGTCTTGCGGCCGGTGCTGGAGCCGCAGGTGGCGAAATAGGACATTTGCACGGCGAAGGTGGTGCCGCGGGCGGCGCGGATGCGGAACGAGATGCCGCCGTATTTGTTGTTAGTGTTCAGACAGCCGAACTGGCTGTAGAAGTACGACTGTTGGTTCTTGGGGGTCAGCAGCACGCGGTTGGAACTGACTACGATGGAGGACATGGTGCCGTCATCGCTCGAGGCTTGGTTCATGGCGTTGTACCCCAAAAAGGTCAGGCGGGATTGAGACGCCCAGTCGTCGATCAGGAGGTTCGAACAGGCAGTAGCTGAAGGAATCGCGGATGTGGACCGGGTGGCCGTTGTGATTACGGAGCGGGTGGTGGTTATGACGGAACGAGTGGAAGTGGCTAACATTCATTAGTTATGATCGTCAAGGAGAGATAGGGGTGTAAATACGTGTAGTAACCGGGGCACTTGTGGTAGTTGGAACAGCCACAGCACCGCAAGTCAACTTGATGTTGCCGATGGACCAGATAGAGTTGGTCTGAGAGAACTCGGACCAGACGAGTCCAACGATAGCATCGTAGTTGGGGTTGTTGTCGAAACCCAATAACGGCAAGTCGATAGTCTGCTGGCTTCCTGTCAAGCTGCGGATGATATTGTAGGAGCTCGTGTAAGTGCCTGTGTCACTGGCGTTACAACTCGCAGATGTCTGAAGTTCGAGAGCAACCGATCCTCCAGCTGGTCCCTGAAGGGTGAACTGGATTCCGCCATAGCCGGTGGTGATGGCTTGTTGGCATGAGAAAGACTCGTAAAAGTACGATCCGCCATCTTTGGGAATGAACTGGACCTTGCCCGCAGCGGCAGCGATAGATGACATAGATCCATCGTCTGTTTGTGTGTTAGTTGCATTTTTTTGTTCTGTATGTGAGTGACTGACCTCCGTTTGGCCAATTCAGATTGTTCGTTCCCTCAACCCATTTGGCAAAGTCGTCGATGATGAGGTCGGACGTGCAGGCAGCAGCGCTGACCGTGGTGACGGCCAACAGACCAGCCACCACGGTTGCGAGACGATGACCAAGCAACATGGTAATCAATTCTCCGAAAACCGGTGCTAGATGGGGACACAGAAGTTTAGTCTGGCGACACAGGGCATGACTTGCGTGTAGTGAGTTATATGTGTTCTCGGATCTGATGGCCGAAAAACATGACGATTACTTGCCAGGGGTAACCAACCAACGAGTATGCAGGTATAGATTAAACAAACATCAACCGGCTCCGACTGGGGCGCGTGTAACTTGAGTTGCCATCGCTTCCGTGATCGTGGTATGAGATATCGCTTAAGAGAAAAATACCCATATGGGATAGTGATGAAGATTACGCAGCTCGGGGCCAACACCCGAGGTTGGGTAAATCGGAGTGCGGAGTGTATGGAGGGATAAAATTCCACGATGCAGTGTGCCGACTTGGCCGTTGCCGCCTGTGGTTGATGTGGTACTACTTCCCATGGTTAACCAGGAATTGGCAAGCTCGTGTATGCTATGTAACAAGAGTAGATGAGCTGAAAGCTCTCTGTCGTGTGGACCTGCTTGTCTCAACTTGAGACCTGGATGCTGTGTTCGTTGCTGATACCGATAGCGCAGTGGAATAGGACATATTCGACCCGAATCTCAAGCCACTCGGCCTGAAAAGCGCATTGGATCCGGAACGCGTTTTCTAGCTCGGCCGGTCGTTGATGAGACCGTAGAGAAGAGTGGTGAAGGATGAGGTCCGATACAAGGCCCGGTGAGCGGAAAGATACATGAACCACCCGAATGGAACGGCATTCTGGAAATGTGTGAGGGAATCCGAGTTGAGATGTTTAGCCTCCAGAAACGTAAAGATCTAGTATATCGGACGGAAAGAGGGTAGCATCTAATCCATATTCTGCGCGGTCGAGAGCAGAACGGAAGAGTGGTGAGGCGAGAAGAGGGCATTTTCATCTATTAAAGTGGGGAAATTTCTCGGCAGTCATCTTCAAGGACGCTGGCGAGGTCGATATTGAGATGATTTTGGATTGCACATCCGATTTGCCAAGAAGCTGGGGTAGCTTTGCGGTGTTGGGGGCTGGCGGCAGATCAGGTACCAGGGAGGAGTGAGCCTCTCCTGAATGTAACATTGTTTACTTGTAGGAGTAAGGCCCTACTCGTGAAGGAGGTCGAAGAGAAGAGCCGCAAAGAAAAACAGTGATGGTTTCTCAAAGAGCTGTGTCGGACTTGACCAGTGACCTTTTCAATGGTCCATACCATACTGGTGGCAGAAACGCCGTCCTCTATAAGATGGTAGTTAACGTTACCTCTTGCCGGTCTGGGCCACTGACACCATAGCAGACCGGAACATTCAGCCGAGATGGCTAATGGTGAACCGTCCATCTGTCGCCATTGGAACAATCCATTTTCTGGAAGCATGTTCCAACGGCGTCACCGTATCCTGCGAATCGGCACTCAGGTCAACAGACGGTAGATGTTTCTCGGTTGACTTGGCTTGGCGATACACGCCGGAGCGAACGTTCGTCAGCTCACCGGAGGTCGGTAGATATCATGGTTCTATTTTCTTGGTGAATCTAATTTGCGTTGTTAAGACCGGCAACAGTGAAAACCCAAGTTGTTTAATCAAGTCAAGTAACAAGATCGAACCAGGCCCGAAGTTTTTCCGCTATGCAAAATATCCTGGATATTTGCGCCTATGTTGGAGGCCGAAGCACGACGCCGGGTTTAAAGATAGGGCGCGATTCAGAGTAGTATTGGGGGGAAGGCCAGAGCATGTCGAGTGATGGAGGGGGTATCTCGAAAAGATTGAGCTTGCTCATACGCCAACACGCCAGTCGAGAGTGGGGCGGTCATTGTTTACTTTGTTCAGGGGAAAGATGAAAGAGGAGACGTCCAAAATGAGTCTTGGGTGTTATCACTGACCCTACGTGATGGGATGTTTTGGCATAAGCGGATAAGAGAACGGCAAGCACAGACCGCCGGACGTCAGCGGGCGGAGGATGCGGAGCCCCGAAGATTAACGTCGCTTCAGGGCCGCGGCACCGGCTGACCTCACTGTTTCCAGCTTCCATCTTGCATCTTCCGCCGCCGTCAGCAGTCCACCTTTTGTTTCCGAACACCGTGATCCCGTCTCGCTTGCGCCGATACATGTACCGTACTCCACGCCGGACACCGATACCTTAGCACCCCGCTATTTGTCCACTAGCTTACAGCGACACGCACCACCATTGCTTTGTCTCATCCCATCTTCAACTTGTCGTCACAGCATCTGCGCCGTAACATTACCGTCACCAACAATTAACACTACCGCGTATCGATACACCAACCGGAAGTTCCTCTACAGCTGATTCATTATACCCAGCACTTCTTCATGCAGTCCGCCGACAATGCGCCCCCTAACGACCCTCTCGCGTCGCTGTCCATGGCCAACCCCACCATGAAGCCCCTACCCTCCAAGCAACGGGGACAACCGCTTATTCTCGACTCCCGTCCTCTCTCCCAACCCGAAGCCCAGCCGACCACCCCTATTCGCGAACGACGAACGAACCCGTCGGCTGCCTCCCTCTTCAGGTCAACACTTACACCACCGGGATCCCGCTCCGGGTCACCAGCACCCATGGGTTCCCCAGCCCGCAGCCTGACCGGCTCCGTCTTTGGTAGCGGAGGATTTAAGCAATCTCTCCTCGACACCGCGGCCGCCGAGAACCCCGGGGATCCTCTCAACCTCATCCTCAAGAGCTTCGTCCCTCACATCGCCATCCACGACTCGGAAGATGTTGAACATTTGGTTAAAGAGAAGGGCTTCAAAGGAGGTCTGTTCGAGCTGCTCCGTCCGTTCGGAGAGCGCGTTCAGGGGAGGGTTACCATCAGGGATAGCAACGGGGCAGCACGAACATGGGATGACTTCTCAGTCCGCTTCACAAAGTTCGGGGAAGCCATCGAAGATCCAGATACGCTACCAGATCCACGATCACTAAGGGGACCTCCGCCTAACGGACAACCACCGGGACAATACAGCATGCCGAGGAAGAAGACGAGCTTGGTTCAGCAGGTGGAACAAGTGGTTGAGAAGCATTTGGGCTTTGCAGAGGAGGCAAGCATGGGGCCAGCAACACCTACGACGCCCACCAGGCAAGGTCTCGACACCGACGCTACGTCACCATATTATGCCCTTTACCTCCGACGACTACTCTCCGGCATTCCCATGGCGTCACACGAAACATTCTCCCACCCGGTAGCATGCGTAATAGCCATCAGCTCCCGACACCCAGCGCCCATCGAAGCCCTCAGGCAACTCTACAGCGAAACCACACCGGCGGAGCAAAGGATACCACCATGGGTTGACGGCGATTTCCTGCGCTACTACGTGCTAGTACACGACGAAGAGCGCAGCGACATCACCAAGTCCATGCAACTCTTCGACCAAATGAAGCGCCACTTCGGGCTACACTGCCACTTGCTCCGCATCCGCTCCTCCCAATCCGCCGAGACCGACGACGATAGCATCCCCCTGCCCCGATCAGACTGGATGTCTGCTTCCGAAGAGCTCGCCGACATCGAACGGTCCGAGCAACTCCAAGACTCGTTCGACGACGACCCGCACCTCTTCAACCGCTACATCTTCGAATCCGACGCCACCGCCATCCGCACTTTCATCCGCGAAATGGTCATCCAGAGCATAATACCGACCATGGAGCGCAACGTTTCGCTCTGGAACGACCAAGTCGCCTCCCGCCGCCGGGGCATCTCCGGGCGCTTCATGTCTTTATCAAAACGCTTTACAATGTTCGGCTCCAGCTCCTCCTCCTCATCCACCTCCCGCAACTCCTCCAGTAGTAATTCATCCAACGGCTTCGAAACCCTAGGTTACTACCGCCCCGACACCCCCGAAGCCATCATGCGCCGCCTGGCCGACTTCGCATTCATGCTTCGTGACTGGAAGCTCGCCATGTCCACCTACGACTTACTGCGAACAGATTTCCAAAACGACAAAGCATGGAAATACCACGCTTCAGCAAACGAGATGGCCGCCTTGTCTCTGCTTATCATGCCGCAGAATATGTCTTCAAAAAACAGAGTCGAGATCATCAACCCCATGGTCGAACAGGCTCTGTATTCTTACCACACGCGCTGCTCTTCGCTGTACGGGGCCGTTCGGTCTACCCTTTTGTCGCTGGAACTCTTGAGGTTAAGAGGCGGGACAGGGATAGACGAGTCCGTCCGGTGGGGCACCCGTCTCTTGGAGATGCGGCTGTTCGGTCCCATTGGCGACGCCTTGCTTAGGGAGCGGTTGGCTGTTTGTTATGCTTCCAAGCGCGGAACGGGGTCTCAGCTCTGGGGAAGCAGGAGGCGGAAATCGGCGATGTGGAGCGTTTTGGCTGCGCAGGCGTGGGTGAGCATGGGCAAGTATCTTCAAGCCCAGAAATGTCTGGCGGATGCGAGGAGGATGTACTCTTTGCTGCCGAGCGAGTGGGGTGTGCAAGGGTTTAATGGGGCGAGCGAGCTTTTGGCGGGACTGAATGAGGCTGTGAGAGAAGGGTTGAGGGTGACGAGGGAGTATGCTGAGGCGCTGGAGGCTGAGGGGGGACATTCTCATTCTCAGGGCGGTGGAAATAATGAGGGAGAGGGAATGGGGTTGGGATTGCAGTTTGATGAAAGCAGTAACCTTACTATCCGACCCAAGCCTGACGCATCAGCTACAGGCACCAGCACAGGGACACAGGAAGTGCTAGTGGACGTGGACGTGGAACAAGACGGGTTTAACGGACAGTCTGCCTCTTCGCAATCACAAGAATCACAAGGGCCGCCACAAATACCCACACCCACCGCATCTTCATCATCGGCACACTCACCGGAAATAACCCGGGACTCCGAACCCACCCCACAACAATCAGGAGGCTTCGAAGACGCTACTCCCAGCAGTGGTCCCAGCAGCGGAAACAGCCCCACCCGCCCACGAAAAGCAAGTATGGCCGTTCGAACCTCGAAGGCATTATCGGCTGCGGATCTAGAACAAGCTGGTCTAGGTCCAGGGCCGCTGTCACCGTTGATGCCGGCTAGGTTGGCTAGTGGGAGCGGGAGTGTGAGTGGAAGGGGGGATGAAAGCAAGAGTAGTAGTAGTAGTAGAGATGGGAAGGATGGTAGCGGGTTTCATTAATGGGGCATGATATGGGATGAAGAGGCTGAGGGAAGGAGGGGAAGGTTTGAGAGGGGGTGGAATGGTTTCAATATAGATGGGAGATGGGGAACCGGGGAACCGGGAGGAACCCTAGATGGCAACAGGCGAGCTCTGTTAGCAAAAAGTATATGAATAGTAATGATGAACGGAATAAACTGGAATTGTTTGGTGGACGAACCGGTTGGTGAAGAGTAATGAATGGTAGGTATATTCATGAATGATCACGAGGTAGTTGTTTGATTGGCATCTTATCCCGCCCGTACACACTATGATCTTGGTTGTACATAACGTACTTACCCCTGCCATTTACCCCTGATACCGACTCCATATACTTGGTACTTCTAACTGGGAGGTGTGGGGGGAACCTATAAAAGCCCCGCACGCACTAACAAATTGATATTGTACGGCCTTTCCTGCTTACGCAACCTACGTAAATAATTGTTACCACTAACATTTTAAATTTCGTTCTGTTAGTACCCTTGCGCTTCTTTCCATTTACACCTCCATTTGCACTTCCATTTGCACTTCCATTTGCACCTCCATCTTGAAAAACTTTTAACCGCAACCACTTTCAATACTTTGGGAAGATCACGGTACGACCTAAAGACCAGCAATTACACAGGCCACAACCCAGGATCCAGCCTTGCACACTCTACGGAAGGGCAAAGGCAAAGCCGCCGCGACAGGGCCGCGGCTGCCTCTCCGGACACTAACTAGTGCTTGACAAACTCACTCAGCCTGAGCCGCAGCAGCATCCGGCTGCTCCCCAAACGCATCATCCGGATTATCCCCAACACAGTGATGGCACCAGAAATGATTCCCCGGGTCGTGCGCCTTCTTCACGCTTAGCAACTGCTCGTACGCCTTGTCGCCCCAGTACCTCGCCGTCCAGTTGTGCATCACATACGAGCTCTCGGAGAAGTAGCTGTTGGGCCCCAGCTTGTACACCGTGTCCTGCGACTGCTGCGTCGTCAAGGTGCGCGCATTCCACAGCATGAGCGCCGAGCGGAAGCCCGGCGAGATGGCCGTGTCGTTAGGCTGCGCGCTCCCCAGGTTGCCCGTCAGCGACGTGTAGAGGTAGTGGAAGCCGCAGCGATAGCCCGATGGGTCCGGCGACGTCTTGTCGGGATTCTCCAGCGTCTCGACGCAGATGTCCAGCACGTCCATCATGGTCGAGGTGAAGTTTGTCTCCAGGGCCTGCCGCGAGACAAGGACCGAGTTCTGAGAGCCCGTGGCCGCGTCCGAGGGCGTGTGGTGCTGCGCCGCCGGCAGCGGGTTCACGGGCACGAGCGTAAACTTGTTGGCGGGCATGGAGAGCAGGTAATCATAGGCTGACTTGTAGTTGTCCTCCTGCACGGTCTCCGTCGTCTGCAGCACGTCCTTGAGGCCGTCGCGGAACCGAATGTAGTCCCGCTCTGCCTGACCGCCGGCGTAAAAGTACTCAAATTTGAACTCCCAAGTGACGGAACAGAGGTCACGCGTCTTGTTGTACTGGGAGGTGTCGATAAAGAAGCCGGGCTGCGTGCTGACCTTTTGGTTGAGGCTCAGCTGCCATGCGGTGAAGCGAGCCCACATGCCGCGTAGCCACTGGTAGCCAAACTTGCGCGAGTCCGGGCAAAAGGTGCCGGTCTGGGACATGTAGACGCGGCTGAGGCCTCCGTCGGGCACGGCGTGGGCGCGGATGGTCATGGAGAGAACGACGCCCCAAACGCTGCCGCCGCCGCCGCGCATGGCCCAGAAGAGCTGCGGGTTGCGGCTGCGACTGGCGATCTTCTTGTGGACGACGGGCTGGCCGGAGATGTTGCGGCCGACCTGCAGAACTTCAATCTCAAGCACGTTATCGACGCCGAGGCCCATGGACGGCGCAAGGATCCCGTGGCCGCCACCGAGATGGAAGCCGACCATGCCGACAGTGGAGCACCAGCCCGATACAATGACGCGGGAGTAGTCTTTCGAGAAGGCGTGCATCTCGGCGAAGGTGGAGCCGGCGCCGAAGCGGAATGCGCCAGCAGGGGCCAGGGTCGAATTCTCACGCCAGGTAGGCACAAAGGTCTTGTCCTTGAGCAGGATTGTGCGGATGAGGATGCCGCCAGTCGGGCACGAGTTGCGGCTGTTGTACTCGTGGCCGGTGCCGGCAGTGGCGATACACAGGCGGTGCCGCGCGGCAAAGTCGAGGGCGGCGATGACATGGCGCTCGTTGAGCGGGAAGACAACGATGAAGGGGTTCCAGTTGCGGTACTCGTTCTGGTGCACCGCCGCCTTGCACATGTCGGACGCGTTGTTCCACACGGCAGGGCGGTCGGCCGGGTTGAAACATGGGCGCTGCATCTCGGCGATGTCCTGGTAATAGTATAGCGCCCTGAGGCCCTGGGGCGCGTTACCGAGACCGTAGAAGGACTGGTTATCAACGGAGGCCATTGGTACCGGCGCCGGCTGCGGGTCCGGGTAGCTGCGCCACCGGACGCCGAGCCGGGGCACCGTTGGGTCCAGCGCCTGTTCCAGCTTGCGGATGGCCGTCTTGGTGGGCCAGCAGCCGGAGTCTTCGGGCGTGCACCAGTCATGGTGGTACAGCAAGGGCAGGGCATCGACGGATGCTGCCGCTTCCACCGACTCGGCCGGGTCTGCGCACGAGCCGGCGCCGCAGAAGTCGTTCTCGGGGCTGCACGAGTAGCGACAGTGGGCGCTGCACGGGTTGCACCGGCCCATGGCCCATTTCGAATTTTGCGTATTTTCCTCGTTGTCTACTGCCGCTCCGCAGTCGAGCACGGCGTACGAGTACACCGGCTGGTACTGGAACTGGAAGCGACAGGTGGTGATGGTGCCGCTGGCGCTGGCAAGGCGCACCAGGCTGGGGTCCTCATCCGAGTGCGAGACTGAGTAGCGCTGCACGGCGCGGCTGGGGTAGTTTGGCCACCGCAGCGATGCTTGGCCGTCGGCAGTGAAGTTCCATTGTGCAAGGCCCTTTGCAGTAGTTGCTAGATACTTGCAGTGCGCGCCACGAGCCTAGCAGCGCGGGGTGTGCTCCGACAATGCCAGGCTGGAAGTGGCTTACAAGGCTGGAGTTGGACTCGGACTCGGAATCGGACTCGGGCTCAATCTTGGTCTCGGCCTTGGGCTTAGACGCCGAGATAGCATCCGGAGAAAAGGAACAGCCTGCCGCCGACGCCTTACAGCGGAACATGAGAAAGTTGCCGCACCCTTTTGTGTCCATGGCGGCGTAGAAGCTCGCCGGCGCCGGCTCCCCGGTGTGGTTGCAAGCCAGAAAGGCCGCCTCGAGCCCGCTAATATCCGGCAACCGCTGCACCAGGCAGTCCTCCAGATGGTCGCCACCGCATCGCAGGACCAGCTCCTTGGGGCCGCGCCGCTCGTAGGTGCACGTCTGGGGGTATGGACTGTCGGTGGTGACGTTCAGGACCTTGTCAGTGAAGGTCTGCGCGAACTCGAACTTGCCGGACCCGCCCTGCTCAGCGCCAAACGAGCGCCAGGTGCCCTCCCAGGGGGAGACGAATTCCAGCAGCGGGAAGCTTGTAGTTCCATCATTGCTGTTACTGCTGCTGTCGCTCTGATTCTCCCGCGGCGCGTTGTTCGGGTCCAGCATCACGGTGCTATCCAGCTGGGCCGGCGGGCATGTGTCCCAGTCGTTACCGCACTCAAAGCACTGGTCAATGCAGTCGCCCGACATGCGCGGCACGCTCGCCACGTCGGTGCCTGTCCAGCCCACCGTTGCCAGATATGCGCACTGCACGCAGCGGGTGCTAATGAGCGGCTCCACGTCGTCCAGCCTCACATTTCCCAGCAGCCGGTCGCGCAGCGCCGGGTTTTGGTTGAACTCGTTGGTGATTACAAAGGCGGTGCGGAAATAGTCCTCCTGCGACAGCCGGAACGCGGTGCCGTCAGCGCCGGGGATTACTGCGCAGGTGCCGTGCTTCATCCACTCGGACAGGATGAAGCATTCCATCGTGTTGTTGAACCTTGCGTTTGTCGGCCAGAAGTAGTTGAGCAGGCCGCCAAAGGTCGTGAGGATTGTCTCGTCGAACTCCTCGCCGTGCAGGCAGCCGTAGGGCTGGTTTCTGGAGCCAGTGCCCTCGGCCGATCCAGGCCACAGACCGTGCAGCGACCATTTGGCCGAGCCCGGGGCGAAGTTGTTGTTCTGCAGCGCCAGCGTGTAGGCGTCGACGGGCACCAGCCCGGCCGGCTGGTTGCCCGAATTGCATAGTGAGTACGGCGGCGGCTTCTGCTGCAGCGCGCCGTGCCTGTCCAGGTCGGTGCAGCCGCGATTCCACTTGAGGTTGCACGTATCGGCGTGGAAGTTGAGCGCGTTGAATTGCCACAACGGGACCGGGTTAGAGGAGCAGGCGTCTGACCTGCCGGAACACCGGGCGGTCGCTAGGCAGACCAGAGCCAGCACCACCAGCGCAAGTTGGGCGTGCCAGGCCATGTCACAGAGGGCAGAGTTCTGGGCTTGGAAACAAAGAGTTCAATTCAGCTGATAAGCTACTTTGGTCTTGAAGACCTTGTTGATCCTTTCAACCTTCAAACAGAGGCTGGGTTTCAAGGCTTTGTTATGCCTAAGAGATTGGCCCACCCCGAGTCCTCAACCATTTGGAACTCGGGGGTCACAACAGGGAAGGATAGGGCTCGAGAAGCTGGTGAGCAGCTCAATCTTCATGGAAGTGTCTGCAAACCTAGACCATGACGGCCCCGGAGCTCCGGAGACAAATCCGGCAAACTATCGCGAGTCCGAATCCACTTGAGGTTGCTTGAAGGAGTTGTGGATTCTTCATACTATCAAAATGTGTGTCACGTCATTGAAGCATCAATTTTCTGAAGCTCCGGGAGCGAGTTGTGGATTCTTCATACTATCAACATATTTGTAACGTCATTGAAGCATCAACTTTCTGCAGCTCTGAGCACCATAACAGCTTCAATCAAGAGAGTCTTTGCTAGCAGATAGGCACAACAAGCGGCAAACCAACCAAGATATCGTTCGGATAAGCGGAAAGTGACGATGCCAACGGGGTATAATAACCATGAGGGGTAGAAATGAAAGACTAAAGTCAAAGGAGACTTTGGACTTCGGATTCAAACTCCGGGCTCCACGACAAACGTACGTGACTAAACGAAGTACTCTTAGAATAAGCAGAGAATAACAATTCCAACGGAGCAAACGGATCCGCCATGTATCGACCATATGGAGTGGAAATAAAAGAAATCAAAAAAAGACTTTGAACTTCGGATTCGAGTTCCGAATCCATGACTGACGTGCGTAACTAACCAAAAGACCGTTCGAATGAGTAGAAATTGACGATTCCAACGGGGCATATTGACCATATGGAGTAGAAATGAAAGACTGAAGTTAAACGAGACTTTAGACTTGTGTTTATGACACCTATCGTAGATGTAGGTAGATATGCGTAATTGCACAAAGAAGAAAGCGAACAGTCGTAAGCTGTGCGAAGAGGACTGGCCTTTAAATAGTGTCCCAGCCGCGCGAGTCTGGGAGGACTTGGCCAATCAGACTGCAGCCTGCACAGGCATGTGAATGGTACATGGTGGTGACAAAGACCATGGCCGCGATCACGGACGTCAGTCACAGAGGTCTAACGCTGTGACATGTGTACATTACCTCCTTATGCCGTTCCAGGATGCATGTGGTCTAGGAGGTACCTTTTCTTTCTGCTCACAAAGGTGCTACATGTCATGAGATAACATAAATAGGACGCTCCAGACCAGTTGACAACGAACGACAAAAATACCAAACAGACGATATAAAACCGAACCAAACCTTTTACTTCACTTGTACAATATACGGCCACGTGTGATCCTTACTTCCATCATGAACACCGAAAGCCTCCCAGACTACCTGACCATCCCAGGGAAAACGATCCCTAGCTTTCACTGCCGCGTTGGGAAAAAACACAATGATCGCCAGCCTCAGCTAGCCAACACCTACGGGTACCCTGTGCCTGGCGTGCAGGCACCTACTCCCACGTCGGTCATGGCCCTTGACTACTTCGCGAGGTATGAAGCCAGGCAATAATGATACTTGGATTTGTGCAAGATTTTACTGCAGTTCTGATCTTGATTTCTACTTAGTGACCAGACCTGGGGGAATATCCTGGCCCATGGAGACTTTGATTACATCGTTATCGGTTCGGGCTTTACTGCTCTCGCATTCATTCAGAAGGCACTCGAGCTCGACCCGTGTGCCAAAATTCTTTGCTTGGAGCGTGGAGGTAAGTACCTCTACCTGTACTTTTCTATTGCTTTCCCCTTGAACCGTTATGTAGTAAGTGCCGTCGTCTCATGCATGCTTTAATTTGTTTACAGGCTTTTGGCTTCCTTCCCACTTCCAGAACCTGCCAATTCCTTTCAAAATGGTTATGGGCGGACCTTCCGAGACATTCCCCTGGACCCTCTCGCGCAAGACCTTTGAGACTGAGGAGCTCAAGTTCTGCCACGGGTCTTGCCCATTTTTCGGTGGCCGATCGACATTCTGGTCCGCCTGGAGTCCGAGGCCGAGTCTAGACCTCATGCGCGACTTTCCCGAGTCCATGAAAGAGACTGCTTCACACGAGCAATTCTGGAAAGAGGCCAAGGAACTCTTGAATGTCACACCGGCAGCTCAGATCGACGATGGCGTCTTTGGAAGCCTGCAGACTGCCATTGATCGCATTCTCAAGCGCTCAGTTTGTAAGATTCCCACTGCCGACTATGCCGAGTCGGCCCCCCTTGCTGTCGGACGACGCAGCCCGACTTCTCGTCTACGATTCAACAAGTTTTCTGTCCCCGGGCCTCTTCTCGGCATCTTGGAACGACAGAGGCAGCTGGCCAAAATCAATCAGGGAGCGCCTTTGGAAATCATGGTTGACTGTGTGGCGACAAGCATGGCTAAAGGCGACGACGATGAATTTGTCCGTGTTATCGACACCAGCAAGGGCACTTTGTCGTGGACTGGCAACAAGACCAGGATCATCCTCTGCACCGGAGCCATTCCCAACGCCACCCTGTTGCTGAACTCTTTCGAGAGCTGCCGTGACACCGTCGGCAAGAGGCTTACCGGCCACTTCGCGACACATATCTCAGCAAGATGCCCCGTGAAGAACATCAAGGGCTGGAAGAAGGAAGACACGCTCAAGATGGCTGCTGCCTACGTGGCTGGCAGGGATCCCAAGAGCGGCCTACAGTATCACGTCTCGGTAACGGCGCTGAATCCCCAACCCGAAAGACGATGAAGAGGACGCGGCTCGCGAGTGTCCAGACTATGCTGCTGCGGCGACGCTTGATCAACTTAGCGGTTCTGAGGACTACGTTGTGTTTGGTACGTACATGAAGAAGCCGCCCGCCCTTTGCAGCTATTTAGGAGAGGATTAGAAAGCTAACCTAGCACACTTTACTGTTTTAGTTTGCTCGGCTCTTGGCGAGATCAGCGAGAAGAACCCCAAGAATCATGTCACTCTCAACAAAGGCACCGACCCGACTTGCAACGTCACGCTGCAATACACCTTGACCGACGAGGATTATTCCTGCTGGGACGTGATGGACATGGCAACCTACGATACCATCAAAGAAATGGCGGGCGGCGATGAGCATGAGTCGAACATCGAATGGTGGGATGAGACAAGTCATGGCTGGATCAAGACGAAACCAGCCGTCGACACCATTCGAATCCCTGGTGTCGTTCACGAATCAAGCACTTGCTTTATGGGACCCAAGGAAATTGGTGGTTCCGTGGATGAGCTTTATCGTCCTCACGGGATTGAGAATGTTCACGTCACTGGATCTGCCCTTTTCCCAACTGCGGGTAGTTGGAATCCCACCATGACCATGTGTGGATATGCTCAAGACTTGGCTCGCAAGGTGCATGAATTGAAGCTCAGGCCAAATTGTGAGGCATCAAATTAAATCTTCCTGTCAGATAACAGCAATGGTCTACTGGGTTTCATATTGTTCGCGCCAGAAGCTGGATGTCTTGCAGAATGTCTTGCAGGATACCTAAGGTACCTACCTCTACCCTTCATCAGCGATTCAAACCTTCCTGCCCTGCTCTTGCCGACATGTACATGTAGGTACCTTACCTACCTAGCGTCATGATTGATGATGACGGTGGTAAGGTAGGTAGGTAGTGAATTGAAGCGCTTTGCGCGCCGAATAAAGAGGCGCGTACCATATGTCGCCCCTGGAGGGTAGAGGTAAAATTTGATCGCTTCGAAGACTGAAGACTGGAGAATCCGAAGAATTCCCAGTAGCGCGTGGGCGGCTTTTCTTGACAGAGCATGCTTTTTTTATTTTAAGAACTTGCACCACCTATCGTGCACTGCATGCACTGCAGGACTGGACTTTCTTTGCCGTGTCCATCGTTGATCCAGATTCATTGCCGTGTTTGCATGCTTTTGGTTTATATACCTACCTCTACTCTGTGGCTAGCTTGAGCGTATCTGCTAGGTAGGTACCGTAGGTACCAATGGTAAACGAGTGTATAGGTAGAGGTATCGTAGCTTTTTGTTACCACTAGGGAACGAAGGTCCTGAGCGAAGCGACGTAGATGACTGGAGGTACTCGAGAAATGGTGGTGTTGTCCTGGACTGGAGGCAGCGAATGTTATACGGTTCAATGACGATCAATGGATTGAATTTGTAAAAATGCCAGGCTGGAGATTCGTAGGTGAACTTTCAAGGGTGTGGTGGACGGCAACTTGGAGGTGAGGTTGGAAATAAGAGACTATGGTATGCAGTAACACTATGGAAGAATAAAAGCTTGTCGGTCAGATATTATTCCAAGGCTATGATATGTTGACCGTCGGTTCCAGTTCCTAATCTGGAATACTAATGGGTATTGTTAGTTGGTGTGGCTGGGGTTGGCTCCTTGTGACGCTCTCCAGTAGTTAGGTTGGCCTCCCTAGTCTCCTATGATGTACCACCCCTTTCCTCATTAAGGATAAGCACATCAACGGACTACCACGAACCACCTGGTCATAACAATAAAGCATGTATTGCCATCACAGTAGACACCAAAGCAACGTACAAGGTACACAGGTAGGTAGGTAGGTAGGTGGGTACACAAGATATGTAATTATCTGTTCGGTACCGCTACAATCGCATCGTATCGTATCACTGTCTTGTCTTATCTTGTCTTCCGTCTCTAGTCTGCCCGTCTGTCTTTCTCTACCAACTGCCAACTGCCAACTGCCAGGTGTCGTCGTTATCCACTTGATCAACTCATCAATAAGGTAAGCTAAGCACCTGTTTTGTTTGTTCAATCCTACTTCATCATCAGATATCCTATGACTGACTGACCAGAAAGACTCCAAGCCTGCCAACCATCCATCAAATGGTGGCTGGCGGCTCGCTACCGGAGACGAAACAGAACGAATTCGTGAACATCATGTTTTTACCTGTGAGAGCTTACGAGGGAGCCTTTTCGTATCCGACAAAAAGACATAAAATCCATAAATCATGCATGTTTTTCTTCTTCTTCTTCTTCTTCTTCTTCTTCTTCTTCTTCTTCTTCCTCCCTCTTCCATCTCCCCTGTCTGATTTGGATGAACCTCGGACTAACGGACCGTATTGTAATGTAAAATCGAAACCTCACTGGGAGGCGACAAGACCACGGACTCCTTCCCCCGGATTTCTATCTCTGATGATCTCTTCCTTTTTCCGTGCTCCTCCCATGGCAGTGACAGTGACGTCTTGAGACATGTCTCTTCCCCAATTTTCTTTTCCTTGCGATGCGGTTTGAAAAGGAATGTACAAAAAAGCAAGGGACTGCTCAGTCGATCCAGTAGCCGTCGTGAAAGGGTGCTCTGCTCCGATGCTGTTCTGCATTCGACGCGAAAAAAAGCGGTGTGTGTGTAAACAAAATTACAATAAGTTCCGAGTTAGTATGGTTGTGATAAGATAATATGATGAATGATGTGTGCGCACTATCACGTTGTTCATGATGTTGTGAATAATGCGCGCTGCCCAGTCGCTCAGGTGAATGCATGCTGATGGCAAGAAGAAAAAACTGATTGAAAGCAAATCAAACCTCAGGTTGGCCAACGTTCCAAACGCGCGTGAACCTGGGAATAGGATAGCAGAGACAAGAACCGCCGCGTCCAGCTGTCACCGCCGTGCTTTTGCTAACGGGCCAGCCAGACAGCCAACCACCCCTTAACGCCGAGTCATGCAGGAAGAGAGACTTGGTAATATTCTGAACGCTGTTGCGAGAGAGAGAGAGAGAGAGATGGAGGAAGGAAGAAAATGCGTGAGCGAAAAAGGTCTTTCATCATAGAATACCAGAGTCTTTAAGAGCGTTGTTGAGAATGGTTTCCTTGACGGCGGCAAACACGAGACGGATATTGGAAGTATCGGTGGCTTGTGTTAAGCTGTGACGAATGTTAGCATAACCGCTCATGAATCAGGACGATACAGATGACATACTGAGGATACAGGTTAAGGTGAGCCCTGTTAACCTGGTTAAAGCGCCATAGTAGGTACTTGGCAGCCTTGTTGACGTCGTTACCACCAGAATAATCCGGAAAGTAGTTCCCTAGAGGTGACCGCCCCAATTTCTGCTTGAAGATGTCAACCTTGTTGAGAAACAGGATGATACTCGTCCTCATGAACCAGCGCGAATTGACGACCGAATCAAAGAGCAGCAGACTTTCCATCATGCGGTTCTGTTACAAGTTAGCACCATGTCTGTACCAGGGGTGACGTGGTGGACATACCTGACTGCTCTCCTCGAGCAGTACTTGGTCGTACTCGCTCAAGGCAACACAGAAGATGATGGATGTGACGTTCTCGAAGCAGTGAATCCACTTCTTGCGTTCGCTACGTTGCCCACCCACATCAAACATGCTAGATCATTGTGTGAGCTCAGGCAGGGCACGAGTGTAACAGATCTTTATGAGGCACTTACTGGATACTGAGCCTGCCCATCTTGAATCGCGTTTCGTAGATACCCGTGGTCTTTGTTCTGGCGCGAAGTACATCCATCTCATTCGGTCGATAATCTTCAGCAACAATCCTCATGACCTCCATGAAGAAACTGTAACAAGTCAGCGTACGTGAATTCTTTGGGAAAATGAATGGACACGCACTATTCTGCCGAGTCCATAAGGTAGAACTCTGTTTGCCGCTCCATGAGTAGGTCTTTTGCTGGATCGTTCCATATTGCCTGGATAGCTGTGCCAACTTTGGGATCAATGGCTTGTCCTGGTGGACATCCCTCCATGTTGTAATCTTGCAAGAATTCGACATAGGGCCGTAGCGATGGATCTGTTGGCTGAATATCGAACTGGTGCATAGCATTCACCACCGCCTTTGCGCATTCCAACAGATTCTTGTAGACTGTAGGTCGGTAGTTTGTGAGCTCCTCGTCTGAATAGCCCTTGAGATGTATGATCTTCATCTGCTTCACAATGGTCGATTTACCGCTCTCGCCGGAGCCTGTACGCGCACGCATGTTAGTACAGATAGAAAAACGAAGGGAAAAAAGAGCAAAGGGAATACCGACCGAGAAGTAGAATCTTGCATTCTTTCCGTAGTTTCTTGGAGTCCTCTTCTAGGTCGCGATCGATTTTCTGACTTCTCTTCTTCTGCTCCGTCTCCTCATCACTCGTGCTCATGCACGCGCCCATCTTGATCATGAATCCCTTCCGACTAATGTGGCTAGATGAGGCAGTCGACGATGGTCCGGAACTTGGACTTGGCGGATAAGTGGATGGTCGTCTGGTCACAGGTTTATTCTAGAAAACCATGAAGACGATTTTTTTCTGGCGAGTATTAATGTGATTTGCAGTTCAGCTTCGTCGCTCTGGCAACCTTTCCTAGGCCTTGAATCTCGTCGACCAGGGGCAGATTTCGTCGTCGTCCCTCAATCGCCCGTAGCTGGAATCACCGAGGATGGGCGACGAGAATAACGGAGGGTTTTGGGTGACTTGGTCGACGGTCGCAATTGATGGGCGATGTTGAATGGTGAGTTTGGCGACTTGATTTTGATGGGAAGCTTTCCAGGTCGGAACAGCAGGGACCACGGGTGGTTGGGTTTGGTTTGTGACGTCTTGAGTGGATGCGGCGCGAATCGTGAATCGTTGCCCGTCGCCTCTCTGGTTGGCAGCCTCTTTTTTCGGTGGCAGTCGTCGAATTCAACCGTCGGTTGGCGTACACGTGCGTTTGTTGGTCGACGGTTCGCAAGGGTCGCCGACAAAGAAAAAGGCACCGAAAATGATTGAAGGGCGAGATGGGTTGTTGTTTGGTTGGTGTCGGAATGATTGACGGGAGGGAAGTAAGAGGTAAGGTAAAGGTGAAAGGCAGGCAGGCAATGCCTTTTGTTAATCTTGCGGGAGGGAGATGGGGCCCAGGATGCCCAGGTTCGAGACAAAAAACCGGGGGTTGCCTTTTGGGTGCTGGGGTCACTGTATCCCGAGTGTTCCAGGCTGCCCGGCCAGTGTGAAATCGTCCAGGTTCGTTCGTGGTGTCCAGTGCGAGAACGAGGCCCCAGGTACCTTTTTGACGCCTTCTGGTTGACGTGCAGTGCAGTGCTTGAATGTGTGGGAGTCCCCGCGCGGGTACAGACGAAGCAGGTGGATGCAGAATGGATTGATTGAATCTTCAGATTGCAGACACGTTTGGTTGGCAGAGCAGAATTGGACAGCAACTGAACAACAAACTCGAAGTGGAAAATTGTGAGATGATGCAGCGAAAATGGAGGAGAGGGGAAACACTGGACTGCAAGCTGAGACAGACAAGGCAGTTACTGAGAGCGACAGACAACACTGGATTGGGAAGGCTCAGTTGGTTGGAACTGCGGAAGGCTCATTTGGTTGGAACTGCGGAAGGCTCGAAGAGGCCAAGAGCTACTGGGCCAATGGGAAGCATTGCTTGGTGCTCCACCCGGGTGTTGAACAACGGATCCACTCTTTACTCGGGTCTAAACTGCGGAAAGCCAAGCCTCGCTCCTGGCAGTGACTAGGTATGTACCCGACCTGACCAATGTGTCCTCCTAGTGAGAATTGCACTAGCATTTCGGGAGCTTAAAATGCCATTCTGCACAAGGCTAATTAACTGAATGAAACAGCACTGTTTGGGACCTTTGTCCAAATCCTAGCTCTGTTGGGAAAGTAGAGAGTAAACGGCAGCTTCTTATTGGACGTAATTCAGCAAGGTGCCGCAAAGACACAGTGGGGGGAAGCTGCCTAGCGAAGATTATGCTAGTACTAATGCGGTAATCTTGTCAACTGGTGCTCGCCTCCTCGTTGGATGAAACCTTTCTGAAGAGGGGAAAGGCGCCAATGTCTGGAAGGAGCCGCTAAAGTGGACGTTCAGCGACCGAGGAGCAGCGCAAGGGCCACATCTTCGGGTGTCAGCTCCACCAGTTATAAAAGCCACCAGTCCCGTCTTCGCTCCTCATGGCCTTCCGGGGTCTTTCGCTTTTTGCTACGCCGATCTCACTCCACTGCTATTAATCCTTAGCGCGAACCATGACACTGACAAGCGACGACTGGTGGTCCCTGACAACGACAGCGACAATTATTCAACTGCGACCCGACGATAGTTCAGATTCCTGATCGATACCCGAATGCTTGGGTCACGCAAGAGTGCCCGTCTACTATAGTCCTGCCGGATCATAGGTTGTGGGCTGTGGGTTGGGGTCCGTTTGGGGGTCCTTTCAGCTCTGCCACGAGGCTACATGGAAGATGGCTCGAGGTAAAGGGGTGTCTATCTCTCGCAAATGCGCCGGGTTATCATGAACTTTTGCCCCTTACGCCGCACTTGTCAGAGAACAGACAGCCAGGCGAGCCTTGTCCCTTGACAAGCCCAAGTTCAGACCCGTCAAGAGCTGTGTTGGCATTGTCAACACATCGATCGTGACGACATTCGTGTCTCAACTCACTTTTCTACAAAGGCATAGCAGATGGATACAAGGATCAAAAGAGAAGCGGTGTTTATCACATGGCTACTTTTATTCTCTTGGCGGCTGACAGTTTGCGGGCAAAGCAATGATTGTCAACGGTTGTCAAACTTTGTGAAAAATCTGCGTTTAGTGCCCGATCAGAGGCCAAAATTGGATGACACCAAGACCTTGTGCAGCTCGTCACGAAGCCGATGGGCAACATCCGTCATCCACTTTCCGGACAGCCCCCAGTTCCCTTCCTTTTCTCCTCCAAGTGCCCGAACCACCATTTCCGAACCTCGTCGGTCGTCAACTCATATCAGTCATCGCTTACTACAATGTTCTTTTCTGAGACCTTTCACCCTTCAACCGAGTCAAGATTTCCGTGTTTACACCAGTCATGAAATGTCGTCAAAGCTGTCCAAGCCGTCAAAGCTCCCCTGATGTCCATTGAGATGATCTGAGATGGCTCGTGCACTCCGCTCCTGAAAGGGAACGTTTGGCTGGGCAGCCCAGGAAAGTGGATCCTTTCGAGATTACTAAACTCCTCTTTTCCTTCCCAGGAGCTCTTCCGTACTCCGCGGATTTCCTCCTCAATCCTCACCTCGACTCCTCGTCGGTGCGGACGGACGGCTACCACTACTTTGGCGGGTATACCCACCTTGCTCATTTCCACTGTCTGGGGAATCCCCTGATTGCCTCTCACATCTTCTCCAGATTCATTTCGCCCGCTTCGGTGGCTTCACATTTTTCAGCACTTTCTACCACCTTCACACGTGTGTGCGGCGTCAAGGCGTCCCGAGTACGGGTCAACGTCGCATTTCAACCTTTTTATCTTTTACAAAACAGGAAACATTCGGATTCGGTAACCTCGAGCTATTCTCTTCTCTTCCGTCACTTCCTCTCTTTGGGCAAAAGGCCGTTGGTTTTACAAGCGTAAAGCAACATAGTACTCGGTCACCCAAAAAGTCACTGTCACACTGACCTGCAATTACAGTGACTTTTACAGCACTGGCCTTCTCACTTCACGTGTTTCCAAATGTTTAAGACATGTTCTTCAAGACACAAAGGGGGCACATGATGAGACCAAACACTGGCTCCTCAGCATCTTAAACACCCCTCTTGCCCATCTCTTTATGCAGACAAGAATAGTACCAACGATGTTACCGGACATTGAACTTCGGAGTTCATCATGGCCATCATTTTCTAGACAGAATCTCCATCCATCGAGACAAATACACCCACTACCCATCATACCCATCACATCCAGAAACTTGACATCCATCTCAATTCATCACAACCAATCACTCATGGGAACCCTAGATTCATCATCCAAGTCTCCCAGATCCCCGACCCCAGGACCCCCGACCCAGCTCAGATATCACCACGTGTTTCCGAGGAACCCATTTCCCGTTTTCCGTCATTTGGTGTGTAAGAGCTAGGACAACCTGGGTATTAACAACAGGGGGTCACTATGTTGATGAATGAGCCAGGGGCCTAGGATGGAACCCTAGTGGGTAGCTCTCACCGTCCTCTACCAGGTACATAACTCTTCAGCCAGTACGTTCCCTTGACTGGCGACGGGAACCTTTTGGGATGTCACAAAGCTGAATCCCGAGCTTGACAAGGCGAGTGTGATATCATCGCAGAGATCCCGGATTGTATAATGCCATTGTTAACGTCCAGGTGCTTTTCCCCGGCGTTTACCACGTTATGGTACTGACTGGAGGCGGCTTATCAATCTATATCTGCAACAAACATGACCCTTTGTGGAAAGTGGTCTGGACTTCTCACCAACTGTCGGTTTTACCAAGTTGGCAAAGAACGTGGGAACCCATTTTTAGCGGTTCAGTTTTAAGATATGCTGCTGCTCTGCGTCTACAGTATCTACACTACTTTCAAACATATGAACAATCATGCGTTATCCGTACATCTGTCACAGTACATCATACACTCCATCAACAACACAATACAAAGCAGCTCGGTAGACACGCTAGACTGGATTCGAGACTGATCAGTGGTCACGCTACAGTGTATAGATGAAATCGGAAAAATCGGTCACTTGTCAATTTTCGGCTTGTGGTTCCCGACATCTCTGGTTCTGGTTCTGGTTCCTTGCATCTTGCATCTGCCCCCTGAGTCTCTTCACCAACTCAGGGAAGGCGAGGCATCAAGACCCTGCTTGCTTCGCTTGGCCTGTCTAACTGCATTCAGACTATCCGAGGAGATTAACTGCACAGGTACATATCCTTCCGCTCTTCCGCGCCCTGCCAGGCAAAATGCGACTCGCTTCCAGACCACCGGAGAGGAGACTCTCAACAGTTTCAAGTCATTGATAGACTTGGTCGTTTTCTTTCAGATATTGGTTGAAACGGATTCAAGATCTCCCTGATAATTCTTCAACAGCTGTTCGGCATCAAAAAGGATCCTTCCCAGCCAGGACTTACAAAAGTTCACCACACACCGTACGGCAGTCCAGATCGTCTTTCCTCCCTGCAATTGGTTGGATAGGATGTGACTGCTGTACGTTCGGATTGTTTTCCGATGGCGTTTGTGGTCACACACACACGCGGCACACGAACCACACAGACGCGAGCAACATTGAACGGTTCTGGACGGCTCACGGTTGACGGTTGGCGCCACTCAGCCCTTTCTCTCGCTTTCTCTTCCGAACGGTTCGATTCCGTCCTGTTTTTGTGGAATGCATGGTCATTGCTGGGTGTACGAAACTGGCTAAAACCCTTGGTCTCTGTTTAGACACCACCCTATCGATGGCCACGTAGGCGATAGCTAACAGGACTACTAACATTAACAGGACTGGCCTTTTACTGACGTTCGAATCTGGAATTCACGGTTTCCAAATAAGGAGTATCTCACAACCAAACACTGTCTTCACTGTTAACACGGTACTGTCTGCAGCAGTCAACGTCCGTAAATCTTGGTTAAGCAGCACTTCTCTTCCCCAAGTCTAGTCCAGGACTTGAAAGTCAACAAAGGGTCAAGACCAAGAAGAAGCTAGCCTTCGCTTGGATACGCTTAAGCTGACCGACATCGTCATTGTTCCCACACCGGTTATTGTTCGCTGGAATGGTCACTTCTTGATTACGTCTGGGGAAAGACAGAATAGGAAAGAGGTGGATGTTGATGATGAGTGATCAGTAATCTTGTCCCGACTGCTTGGTAGTGGACATGGATGGATATCTCACTGCTTTGAATGTTTTCCCTAGCCTCAGACTGCTTACGCCCGGAATCCGATACAACAGCCACCCCCCCTAGACGATGACTGGATTATGAGCGAAGTATTGAAAAGGGTGACACAATCTGCATTTGTCCGTAATCCTTCGCCAGACGCCAACTAACGGGTACAAAATACAATAAGATCTGAGTGGATTCGAGAATAATCACATTCAAGCATATCGGACACTCATCTTTGGCAACTCAACAGATTACAAAAAGCACAGTAATCGGCACTCGTTCGGTCACTCACATACCTACCTACTCACCCAGATACTACGAAGCTTCAATCTCCTAACAGAACATTTCTCCGCGATACTCACAGTTTTTCGCTAACCCATGACCCAGGATCCGTCAGTGGACCGAGCTACCAAGCTATCGAGCCAAACCGAGCCAACTACACACGGTTAAGCTACCTAACCACCAACAGACCAACTGTCGAGTCTAAACACTTTGCCAAACGCACAATGACTCGCCTACCACTACTAATCGAGCTCTTACTCCGACACCAACGAATCTTACCTGGTACCCAGGTTGCCAGGGCCAAAAAGTGTCTGATGATCGTAGATCGTTATCGAGACTTGTCACCACTATGACATTGAGACACTAAGACACCAAATGACTGAGGGTACACTGTATTGGTTATTACCGACTTCAAGTTTACGTATACCTAAAGATGCCCAGACAAAGGTCAAGGAAGGGTTGGAAAGTGGAAACATAAATACTGCCTCTAGGTATATGTCTCAGGCAACAGCATCACAGCTATACTCATCACATATACACAAGCCTCACGGTCAGGATTTCAAGGGTCTGATTAGGCTTCGGCTTCCAATGGTTCACAAAACTAAGCTTCAACGGTCAAACATATAAACCACCCATCGGGCCAACAACTGTCAACATGGGAACAAGCACCCGAAAGCCTCACCTCCGGAAGGGAAAAAAATCGTACGGGGCAGCAAAAAGCGTACAACATCAAAGATTCTGCGGAAGCCTACTCTAGGATAAGGCCACTGCTCGCTCCAGTCCGTTCTCCAAAAGAAGCAAAGCTCTCAACCTCTACGATGATCTCTCATACTTACCTAGGTATACAGCAGGACACTTTTGCTGAGTCCGAGTCGGAGCAAAGACCAAAAAAAATAAAACAATGCGGTTATAACCTCCGCACTCCTACCTAGTGAGTAACAAGTCTTGTCATGGTCTATTTATACACTACACTAACACGATTTGCTCAGAGTACTTACGACCAACTCTTCCCTAGTTACAAGTCAAGTTCCAAGACTCAAAAGCAGCGAGTAAGTCAGCCAGGACCTAGGAGCCATGATTTAAACCTACCTTACTTTACTTTACTTGATATACATACCGGTATCAGTACTACCTACCTCTAGTCTTGGACTTACATGCCTCTACGCATGGATCCCGAGTGTTTTAAAGCGTGTCACCGGAGCAATCCAGACCAGATTCCAGACGACTCTTCAGAATTAATTACCTTGAGTAAACTATTACCTCTGTAACTATGGACTACCTATCTGAGCGTATCCATGGCTGGCTGGTGTACCAGGGGAAGACAAAGATTACAAAAGTTGACACTACCACTATGTGGGATGGGATAAATAACTCAATGCAGTATCCAATGGGACAAGTGGGACAGTCCTGTGAGGTGAATAAGGCAGCCAAGCGAGGTGAGTGAGTGAGAAGAGTACACATGGACTCACTACCTGTTCAATTTGGGGGATATTTATCCTATCACGTAGCCTTTTATTCTGACAGCTTTACAGGAATCACCTCTAGCAAGAGCAAAGCTTCAGTAAGAGACTCGGGGCGTGGGAGTTGATTGTAGTAAAGGTATGTTTTATGTATAGTATTGTTCATTAACTCTTCCCTTTAGTCCCATCCATAATCTATCTTCTGAATATCCTCCGGCGTTCCTTTCCTTCCCTTTAACCCTCCGGCTTCCGAGCCAGCACCCGCCCTCACTCGCTCGTGTCAACCCCATCAGCACCAGCGCAAACACAAGCAAAAGCAACAAAGCACGCTGGTTTATTGTTGATACCGGTATCGATTCTATCATCATGACTACTAGTCCGTGCTCTTCGCTGGTTGATCTGTTTGCTTTTAAGCGTTCCTCTTTTATGTCCATGTGTCCATAACAACCCAACCGGGCAAGCAGCAACTCCCACTTTATCATTCATGTGGTTCATGCTTCGCGCTATGTACCAGAGCTTCCTCCCGTCCTCCCGTCCTCATTCCTCCTTCCTCTTCCTCGACCACACTTAACCAAGACTTAAGCAAGAGTTAAGCAAGATACCCAAGCTCATCATCCTCCAACCGCTCCAGGTACTCCTTATCGAGCAAGATTTCGATGCACTTCTTGATGTCGCCAATCTTAGGCATAAATCGGGCCCTAATCTGATTAATAGTCTCTGAAACCAGCTGTTGGTGCTTCATCTTCTTGCGGGCCTTCATAATACGGACGATGGCGGACTATTTCATTCCAATGTTAGCATCCTGTTCAACATATTTACTGTGAAAAAGGGAGTGACATACCTGCAACAACAACTTGCGATCCTCCTCAATCGTCTTGTTCGTCTCCACCTCCTCCTGCTTCGTCTCGCTCTTCATGCCCACGTTCAGGTTAATCCGATACTTCTTGTTCTTGAAGTCGTAATTGAGCGAAAGCGTCGATCCTGGGCCAGGCTTTCCGCCCTCGCCACCCTCAACGGTAAGCAACTTGGCCTTGACCAAGATGCCCAAGGCGCCATCTACTACGTCCGCGTTGAGCTTGGTGATTTCCAGAATATCCTCGTACGTGTGCTTGTCCTGCTCGTTGAAGAGCAGCAGGATGGCCATCTGGTAGGCCGACACTGTCAAGATATACGGCATCTTGGCACCCTTCATATAGTTGGCCTTGATGTCGCCCTTGCACAGCTGCCAAAGCCACGTGAGCTTGCGGCCCTCGTGCTTGTTCTTGTAGAAGCGGGCGAACCGTTCGATGTCGGCCTGGATCTCAGAAGGCGCAGTAAAGGGGGTGCTCGGAGCGGTGAGCGGCCAGAAGCCGGTTCCGAGGATGGCGTATGACGAGTCAAGCGGCTTCTCTTCCAAATTAAGAGATGCGACGTGTTCCTTGAAGCCTGTGTTCAGGTCCTTGCTGATCTGCATGTCCTGGAACATGCGCTGCAACTTGTTCGTGTACTCGAAGCCGCATGCTTCCTTGAGCTTGGAGATCATGGACGTCTCGGCGTCGTCCGAGTTGGAGTTGCTGTGTACGAGGCGGCGTGCCAGCATACGTGAGTAGAACTTCTGGAACACATCCTTGTCCTGAATGTACTTGAACACGGTCATAATCTGTGTCAAAGTGTTCTCGAGCTCCACCTCCTCCACGCCGGTGCTGCTCTTGCGGAGAAGCACATCGGTGTACTTGGCAAGCAATTCCGGTGACTTGTTGGAGCCCGATTTGCAGACCTCGTTCCTGTTCACGAATTCCTTGCAGGCATTGTCCAAGGATCTTGTGAAATCGGGCTCTTTGTTGAAGGCGCGCTCAACCAGCCCCTGGTACTGAGTGTGAATCTCCAGCAGAGCGTCAACGTAAACCTTGGGCTCTAGCTTGTCGGCGTCTGCAGCCACCTTGGCGACAGCCGCCAAACCAGCCTTGCGAACATGAGCCTCGAACCGAGCCCTGAGAGGCTCAAGACCGTCGGGAATACGAGACAAAAGGCTATACATGCGGCGCATGTCATCCTCTCGGTTGTTATCCAACAGTACCTGGAACTCGTCACGCAAAATGTTGGAGTGTTCGGCGATGAGGGCCTGGTTACAGGCCTTCTTCAGATGGACCGCAATGTCGGGGTGGAGGTACATGCGTACGCGCTCCTCCTCCTCGGCCAGGCGAGCCTCGGCCTTCTTCATGTACTCGACCACGCTGTTCTCAGCAACAAACTGTTTGCTCTCGTTTTGGTAGAAGATCTTGGTCGCTTCCAGGAACGGCTTTTCGAAGTGATATCGGTACACTTCCAGCGTAGTCTTGCTATTGTCGCCCTCATCCATGCCGAGCGAGACGAAGCTATCGACCACCTGCTTGATCTGGGTGTACTCGATGGTTTCACCGAGGCGTTGCCTTTCCACCAGTTTGAGGACGGCGTCCATGACTTTCTTGCAGACAGCTTGGAACAACACGTCCCGCCATTGGACAAGGTGGAGGGTGTAGACGTCGTAGATGTTCTTCTTTCCTTCGTCCATCTCGCGCTTAACCCAGTGTCGGTTTAGGTACTTGAAGAGATGGTGGATGTACTTGGCCGCGTTGGTGTAGCGTTGCCATTCGCGAATGTAGAAGGCCAACAAGGCCTCGTCCTTGTGAGCCTCGGCTTCGGAGACCAGGCCCTGGAGATGGTCGGTTAAGTAATTCGCCAGCTTCTTGTAGAGGTCCTCGCCAAGCAGATGCGCTGGTACATGTTAGTCCTATTGCACACCTGTTACGTCAAACGCAGTGAAGACAACATACCGCCCCTCTGAGCCCCGATTCCTGGAAGGTGACTACTCTGACTGCTCATACCGCCGCTAGCCTTCTGAGATGTGCAGAAGTTGTGAACCGCCCTATGCCGTAGTTAGTTCCATGTTGAAAGGTATATAGAGAGAGATACGGCATCGGTCGCACTAACGTGTAGATTCCCATGTACTACAAAAGGCGAGTGTTAGCGAGGGTCAAGGTAGACGATGGCCGGGGAAGAAACATACACTAGTCATGTCGAGACCTTCTTGGAGGTTGGTCATGATCTTGTTGATGCTGGACTGCAAGTATGGCCAACTGATGGCAAAGGGTCAGTACGAAGCTTGAGGGGCAGAGGAAGCTGGGGGGGCATCAAGAAGATGGAAACATACGTGCTGTCGATACCATCACTGCCAGAAGCCTGCTGCCCGTACATCCCCATCATCATGGTTGCCGGAGCCATGTCGGTGTGTTTATTTTGTGTGTCGTTTGAAGAGAGCGATAGTTCGCCGGGAATCGAAGAAAGAATACGATATTGGCGGTCCAACTATTGACGTCGCAAATAATATGGTTGGGCAAGCGACGGACCAGGGGCGTAATCCGTCAGAGAACCAAAGTTGACCTGGTCGTGTCAGGTCGCGTGTGTTCTGTCCAGAAGCTGTCGGGGGGCAAGGACGAGTTTGATCTGGAAATCGTTCTTTTATGGTTGGTTGAAAGCGCGTTGGTCGCGACCGGTGACGAAGGATGAATGGACTGAGTGGCAGCCGGAGGAGTAGACCCTCGTCGAGTCCCGAGCGATGGGGCGCGCAACGGTCTGGAAGGTTGGATGGGTCACCGGTGCGTCGGTGGATTTGTTGCTGGGAGAAAGATGATGGACGGGTGAATGGGGGGCGGGGACCGTGAGCAGAGCAGGCGGGTTAATCGGATACTGTAAATACACGCTCCAACGTGGTCGGGTGAAGGAAGGATCGGAGAGTGTGAGGTCGCAGCCTCGTTGGTGGTTCAGTTGTTGGTGGCGGGTGGTGTTGTTCGGGTTTCTGTTCTGGTAATGAAATGGAAGAGTGAAGTTTCCAGTTCCAGGTTGCCCCCGAAGCTGCTGCCGTGGTCGATGATAGAGCGATGCCGTCGTTGACAGTTTTCAGGCTGCAGCGTGGCAGGCATCGATTGACACACTGACAGCAGACACCAGGCGGGCAGGCTCAGGCTGCGCTAGGCTCCAGAGCAGTGTCCCCCGCCAGTGGACCACCGCGAACCGCAAAAATTGTGGGGAAACCACAAAGTGGCGGGGAAACGATGCGGGACGGGCAACAAACCATCTACATCCCGTCACTAACATTGGGGACTAACAGATTTGGTGCTGGTACTTGGAGAATAAATGTTAAGATGCCATGGTCCTCTACTTGTAAAAGGAACAGTGTAATGGAAAGTATGTGACTATCTGAATGGCATACACGGTATATATACAACTGAACTGAAAACAGTCCTTCACAGATTTAGAGAACGGCAAAGAAGGCCAGTGTCAATGGAGCTGCTAGTAAGCCGTTCACAACCAAGTTACCGTTGGTGGTAGTGTCCATGACACCATTTACGCTCAGCATTTGATTAACTTCCATGTACATTTCCGCGGCAGGCAAGATGATCTTCTCAATAAACATTTTCCTGTCCCTACCCCTTTTTTTGTTCTCCTGTAAATCCATGATCGAGTAATAAACCTTAGCAACTCTGTTTCTCACATTGGTATTCCTGTTTCAATATCACTTCCAGCAAATGATAACTGATTAAAAGAGTAATTGGTATCGCTCCATGCTAGTATGCTAATTCAAAAATCCTACCAAAAAAAAAGAGACAGAGATGTGCTTAGGTCTCGACCAACCATAAAAATCCGCGAATATGCCAACCATGCGTGTTGAGATGTTCGTCGTTTTTCACCTCCCCAGATTTTTGCTCCATCACGATTTCCTTCTGGGGTTCACATCCCACGACCACCGTCATCACCTCCCCCTCTGATTTTCCAAATCATCTCCGCCTCCCAGCTTCACCACCAACCTAAACACATTGACCGTAAAGTTGGTCAACCAGCCAATCAACCCGACCAGCTGAAACCCGGCCAGCGCCTGGCTATAATGGTCCGTAAAGCGGTCTTGGCTGTTATGATAGACCAGCACTTCGAACGCCAACGCCGTGCTGGCCGCCTTGAACACGATGAAGAAGACATCCATCAACACCAACCCGCTCTTTTGCGTAACTGGCCTTAGTCCGAGAGGTCGACCGGTGTATTCGTCCCAGAGCATGTAGCCGATGTACGGAATCGCTATGGTGTCGACCACAATCGCCACTATCGCTTGGGTCCGTTCTGATGACCCGCGCGAGATCTGTTTTATTAGGGAAATCTCTTTTAGGGAAACGTCTTGGTCGATGCCGTGCTCGGAGCTAAAGCTGGGGCTTGAATGCAATGCTCGCAAGCTGTTGAGGATCTGGTTCTGTAGCTCTTGCTGACTGGAGCGCCGTTGGCCTTCGAGCTGGAAGATGCGAATGGCGAGGGCAAGGGCGCAGATAGAGGTGACCAGGACTAACGACCGGAAGAGCAAGGGGATCAAGGGGTGCCGGAGGACGTGCTGCCATAGCCGCTTGTACAAAGCTGCCCTCCTCCCCCCACGACGGTGGTTGGCATCGTCAGTTACGGGCAGATTGACGGGTGAATTAAAGTTCGGTTGTAGCTTCTCGAGTGTTTGGTAGTCGACGACTTCCGAATGCTCATTTGGCATGTGACCCCATTGTGATGAATGGATAAAGTCGGACCAAGGCGAGTTGGACGTGTAGTGCGCATGTCGGTGGAGAATGACGGGTTCGTCGGTCCGGAGGTGGTCCCATTTCCGGCCTCGCTCGGTGCCGTCCCCGCGTTTTAGAATCCGCCGTAACTTGATCTTGGAATCCTTCCTCCGCTCCAGCCCGTCCGGTTCGTACACAAATCCATCCTTTGATACCCTTCGTGGTTCGGTAGGTGTGCTGTTGTGTTGTGCCGGTACTGTACGTGGGGGTGGTCGGTTCAAGATTCCCCCCTGGCCGGGCAGCGGCTGTCCATATCTCTCTTCATAAGAATCGATCCATGCTAGACGACTCGAGTTAGAATTCGGCACAACAGATGACCCCCATTTTTGCCTAATTTTCTATGGGAAAGATGGGATTTGGGAGTTATTATCGGAGGATCATACGAGGCAAGGTCCTTGGCTTGGGACGCAAGGGCGGAAGAGCTAATGTATCAACATCGTTGTTCTCAGGAGAAGGAGTGGATTCGTTCGAGCGTGGAGGAGACGGGTCCGCGGCCGTCATGCTGGCACTAGACACCACTTTGTTTCTGTTGTTTGCCGAGCCGACGGCGCTTATGGCGGCTTGAAACAAGTCTTTAGTGTTTGACGTTGTAATCGGTAGCTCGGGATGTGCAGTCGAGGTCACTCCGGATCGGCCGTAGAGGTGTTGGTCACAAAACAGGAAGTGGAGTGGGTCGGGTCACTGCACTACAAGCAGGGCGGACACTCAGGTGATCGGAGTGGTCGGGGAGCGGCAGCAGCAGTAACAGCCGCGCATCAGAGGATTGGCGAAAAAGATGGATATTCGGCTCGAATGACCAGAGGATCGATTATTATCAGCTATTGGAGAGCAACGGAGACTCTAACAGGCGATGAGGAGCTGGAGGACGATGTGTTGGCGTTGGATGAAGGCGGCAGTGCCAGTGACAGTGCATAGCGGTGTGGTTTAGCGATTGATGTTAGGTATTTTTGAGTGATCAATCTCCTGGGGGTTCTCTAGAGGCGTCGGCTACGCGTCGGCATTCGGACAAGTCCCGTCGTTGGCGATTCTAGGTCCTCGTGGGTTGGGTGTTTGTCGCGGCGTCAACCTCGATTGTGATGTGATCACGCAGAGAGGTGAGAGGTCCCGTCCTTATCGGTCCCAACGGGATGGGAAAAGGGCACAGAAAGAGAAAAGCACGGATGAAGTGAAGAAATGGAAAGACCGAAAAAGGTGGAAATGGCTGGGGAATCGTCGTCTCTTTACAGGTTTGTTAAGCTGATCCAATCTCCCTGCCTCCCAGGGGCTGCCCTTGTCCCTGGTCTGGCGGCTGCTGAAGGTGACGGGGTGACGCCCCGGTGCCGATGGTAGCGATAAGCACGAGCCCAGTGCCTTAACGGGGCCTTAACGCTCCTAACAACCACCGACCGGCCTGGACTGGCTTGGTTTTGTGGGCATCTGTTAGTGCGAGTGTTAGTGCAAGTCCTGCAGGCAGCGGCTATTCCCTGCTGCCCCACTAGCGAACCGCTCAGGAACAGAAATGACGACACTGGTTCAGGGGACAAAAGCTGGGGTTCCCATTCAGGTTTCCCGGTTATCAATCAATGTCTTAACACGTGCCTGCCGAGGGGGAAGTGTCGTGCAGCAGCAGGGCATCCATCTGGAAATCCCCTCATGCATGAAATATCAAGGTGACCTTGGCTTCGCTAGCTTATCTTGGAGAAGCTTTAGCCAAGGGTGGTGGTTACCTGGAGCTGATTTTCAACGTTTTCTTATGACACTCGACCAAGAGACTGGGATCCGTCTTGGACAGGGACATTGCGATACACATGACAGGAGTGTTACTCAAACAAGACTTTGTTGCTGGAAGCTTATTCAAGTGAAGCTTCATTTTAAGATGCAGCCCGCGTTTGGAACTGACAAAACAGGAAACCAAACAACAAAACAATGTCAATGCTTCGATAAGGTTATTGGGCTGAATCACGTTCCTGACACTTTGGACGGCCCGTCCTCTCGCTGTCGGGCCGGTGAGTTCTAGGCCCATCCCGCCTTCCCAACTGGAATCTCGTCCCAATCTGGAGCGGTACCCAACTGCCGGCGCAGGAGTGCCCGGCGGCCTGGAATTCTGCCTGCCGGGCCTCCATTGCGTCACTGTTTCTTTCCCGCGCTAGCTTCAACAAACCGTCCAACGAAAAATCATAGCTTCAAAATCCAGTGTAACCCAATCCAGGAACATGACGATAAGGACTTTTGTTGTTGCAGGCCGCCAACTTCTTTTCACCAACAATCTCACCAGCCAACCTCTCCGGTAGTCCGTCATCTTTGCTTTCGCAGTTTCACCATTAGCGCCCTCGATCTTTTCTTCTTGTTGGGACCAGGCAGTCACTTCTTTACACCCATCGATATCCCAGCCATTGGATCCCAGTTCACAGTCAGCTCTGCTGTTCAATTTGCCTTCGAAGCTGCTGCGCCCGGAAAGAGAGGCCTCACGATCCCAAACGCTTGCGACGCGGTGGCGATAGAATCACGGTCCCAAGACCACAAAACCCGCCGTTTTTGTGCATATTCCGAACCCGAAACAGAACCATCACCAACTCCGATAACTCAAACACCGCACCTCTCACATCTCACCACCACCTCGCGCGCCGTAACGCGCAACCACCCTCTTCAAAATGCGCCTCTACCTCCTCCCAATTTCCACCCGGCGCACCCTCCTCTACTGCCAAAAGCTCCAACCGCCATCTGCCTCGGCGGCCTCTGCCATAACCGGCTCTTCTCCGTCTACTCCAACATCAACAAAACAAAAACAATCATGGGGCGACTACATCCAGACCAAAGCAGCCCTAACCTGGGCGTCCTGGGAGAAGAAGGAATCCGGCTGGCAAAAGTCCGTCGTCGGTTACGGCAACCACCTGCTCAGGAAGCTTCCCTACGAAGAATGGGCGTTAAAGAGCGTGCCACCCTTGACCAAGGCGCGACAACGACAGCTTGAAGCGTTCGTGCAGGAACAGGCGCAGGAGCAGGGAGGGTTTGAGAAGGAATCATCAGCGGAAGCGGAGAAGGGAGGCAAGAGGGGGAAAGTTCTGGATGTGGGCAAGGTAGAGGTGGTGTACCCCGGTGGACTGATTACCGCGGAACGAGTGCCGAGGATATTGCACAAGTTGGCGACGGAGAGGGAGGGGCATCATAAGAAGTGGTTCTGGTATTGTTTGGCGGGGATGCCGGTTACTATTCCTATTGGCATCTTACCGTTGTGAGCTCCCCCTTGTCCCCCCCTTTCACACCCCAAACAAACAGTTACTAACCTCTTCTTACAAAACAGAGTCCCAAACCTCCCCTTCTTCTACCTCTGCTACCGCGCCTGGTCCCACCACCGCGCCCTCTCCGGCGGCAAACACCTCTCCTACCTGCTCCAACACCCCTCGCGCCTGCTATCCTACACGCCCTCGCCCATCCTCGACGAAGTATACTCCACCCAGCGCTTCCCGCTCCCGTTCACTCCCGAGCCGACCACGGGCCCCGAAGCCGAGACAGTTAAGCACCCGGATCCGGCCAAGGTCGTCGAGGCGATGAACGGCAAAAACACCAGCAGCACGACGGAAAAGACTGTGGGTGGGGTGAATTTGGGTCACGTCCTAGAAGAAGGCGAAGTGGAAAATGGCGAAGTCATGTTGCTGAGCCAGGAGAACGCGAAGAAGATGGTCAAGTTGCTGGACGTGCCTGAACTTGAGGTGGAGTTGGAACGGGCAATTTGGCAGGTTGAGACGGCGGTGGAGAAGAAGAATAGGGAGATTGGGGCGGCGGTGAAGGTGAGTGCGCCGACGGTGGACGAGAGCAAGAAGGAGAAAGCGCAGTGATGTTGAAAGATCATGAATGATATGGGGCAAGATGTTATATGATTATGTATGATGCGAGATGGAAGACGATGGAGTATACCATTTGTATGACTATAGAACTAAGAAGGGTGATGGCAGCACTGTCAGCAAAGCAAGCGAGCAAGCAGGAGTTCCTATAGAGGTTTAAGAGGTCAAAGATGATCATGAAAAAGTACAAAAGATTTGATACCACTCCATTTATCCCATCCTCGTCAATTCGAGGCTTTAAAATGCCATCCATCAATGTACAGGGTAAACAACACAATATATGCCATTAACCTCACCATATAGACTAGCATCTAGCATCGAAGTAGTCTTGAGAACAAATAATACCACCTACAAGCATGCGACATATTCCATGAATTCCAACGACCCACCACTTCAAATCATTCCATCGTCCCATCAGATCGAAAGCTTTATGGTGAACTTGACCGAAGTGACCAAAACAATCGATGATGATGATGATGATGATGATAATGATAATGCGCAAACCAAAGAAATGCCAAATCCTCATTTAACCTCGGCCCAAGTATCCACTCTTCTTCTGCTCTTCCCTTCCTGTGGTGTACTTCCGTCGCTGACAGTAGTGTAGTCACCACACCGCACCACACCACACGACGACAATCGCTGGGATCCGATGATGGATGGAAGTTCGCGCGGGTGCTAACGGGTGTGTAGTTGCAAAGCAAAGCGAACGAACGAACGAACGAACGACCTTCATCTTTCCATGATTTGATCTTATCGGTAGGTCTCAGTAGGTTTCCGCCCAATGATCCACTTCTTCTTCCTTGTAGTCTTCTTCCTTGTATTCTTCGTATCCCTGAGGTTTGGATGATCATGATGAGAAAAAAGCATCTTTCGGCATAATTGTAGTATTTCTTTTCTTCGTCTTTTTCTTCTTGAGTCATCGGATGATGATGACGATGATGATGACGTTGATGATCAGGTTCGTCAAGAGCATCGAAACGAGCGCGTGCGATTGAGAGCCAACCCGGTAGTGCTCGTGCTGGTGCTGGTGCTGGTGCTGATGGTGGTGGTTGTCTTGCTCTCGATGATCTCCGTATCCTCTCTTGTCGGTCTCGCGCCCTCTGCGCCGCGGGACTGGACGCCGCCCGGGCATGATACCGCCTTCGTGTGCTGCCTAGGACTGAGTCACTTGCAGGTCGATCGTCCTCGTCCTTCGGCGGTTCAGATTGCTCTTCTGAGTTATATGGTCGGGCGTCGCATTCGTCCAACCGATCCATCACATCCGACCTGCGCGTTTCCAGGTCACCTCGTTTATTTCTCGTCAGGTCGCGTCCGGGTGCTGGTGTTGTGCGACAAATACTACCGGAACCGGAACCGGAATCGGAACCGGGATCGGAATGCTCTGCTGCCGTACCAGCCCTCCTCATCTTGTCTAGTTGATGTGCTAACCAGGCCCATTCGAGGATGAGGAGATGGACATATGCCTCTTTGGCCTTTTCTCGAAGCAACTTCAAGCGCAGAGAAGGCTCCTTGCGCCCGTATTGTGCGAGAAGAAACTCTGGTTTCATGGACGAAGTAAAGAGAGGGCTTGACCGAGATGCTTGCTGCCGGGCGGCACGTCTCCGACGGTGTCGTGCATTCCCGCCTAGTGACGCCCAACGCTGTGCCCTTGGGTTCCAGGCTTTCAGTCGGAACGGCAATTGGATGGAAGAATATGATGTGTTCTTGGTGTTTCCCGGCAAGAGACGGCCGGCGTGGTCAAAGCAGCGACGGGGTTGGATATGACCTTTAATGTCATAGTAGAACCCTCCGCCTTTGTTGAGTGGTGAAGACATTGCGAGTTGTCGTTTGGGGGAGTGTGCCTCCATTGTTCGGCTGTGGTATGGGATTGGGCCGTTTGATGAGATTTGTGGGAGGAGAGAGAGGGGAAGACAATTAGGTTGAGGCCCAAAACCGAAAATGAACCAGGTTGGCTGAATTAACATCCTTTTAGTCTCCCTCTTAATCAGCTGGCAGATGCAGGAAATAGTAGTGTGACGTTGGTTTCGACCGCCTTCGTGTGCAGGCGATGTAGTGTTGACAGTTGGCAGCTGGTGCCTTTGCTGGCGATGACATGTTTTCCACATATTCTCGCAAAAGTGCATTGGATCATGGTCTTATAAGTCACGCTGCCTTCTTTACCATCCAAGACTGAAGATTGGTGGCTGATTTCTCGAGCTTTTGGCAAAGGAAAATGCTGGAATCTTTGAGGTGTGCAGCTGGTAGACTTTGTAAGGATGCTTATTGTTAAGGTAATTGGTAACGTAAGCGGGTGAGATGAAACATTCCGGAACATGTGAGTAGTAGGTATGCACGGGAAATTAGATTGATGAAAGAAGACGGAAGGTGTTGGTCAACGCGGTTCGCAACGGAGATATGCGGACCTCCGAGGTAGGGTGAAAGAGGTAGTGAGGAAGGAACGATCAGAGACATGTATTCGGAAAATTTTGCTCGTTTCAGATCTCAATGACCAATGTCCAGTCGCACCGGATCATGGTTGTTTGGGAAGGAGCTTCCTTGGGGAGACATGGTGCCTGAGAGTGAGTGAAATGGAAGCTTCAACCAAGGTAGGGCAAAATCGAGGGCAACATCCCACAAAGATCATGCCAAAAGTCCCGGTAGCATCACAAGTTTTCCCAACACCATCACAAATGGGCGTCTTAAACTTCGAGTGTCGTCCGAAACTGAAACCTTCTGGTACTGCTCCACGCCATTGCGCTGGTGTTGGCGATGATCATGGCAACTTGCTGAGACTGGCCATCATCGGCTTGGTCACTCCTGTCCTGTCGAACATCCCGATTCTAATGCGAATAACCATGAAGGTATATCTCCCGTCGTTCTCTTTCACTTTCTGATTCTCTAATCTTCTCGCTCTGACACCCGGTATCCCAATCTGCTTCGACTGTGGCTCTTGCATTCGAGTGTCTTCGCTACATCCCCTCCCACATTGGTCCCGAGACGTCACACAGCCATGGCCGAGTCCAAAGTGGGACAACCATCTTCCTCCTCCAATGCCGGAAGAGAAGGCCGTTTGAACTCCGATCGCCCAACAGCTATCTTCACCTTCTCTGACCCCGTTCAATCAAGGCCACGGCCCATGCCGACCTCTTCCTCCCAAGAGCCACCACCAAAAGAGGAAATCCGGACGCTCTTCAACGGGCACATCAAACTCCGTGGTCGTAATGACAATCTGCCTCAGTAATCCGCTCTTCCTTTCTACTCTTTCACCCTATTCCATTCCACAACCAGCCAGCTAACATATCCTGTACCTCCTCCCAGAAAATGGTGGGCCGCCTCGACAGCTATCCCCCTTATTGTCGCCACCATTGGTCCGCTCTCCCACGTTTTGTCGATCGCCTCCCTAGTTACCACATGGAAAGTGACTCTTCCCAACTCCGGCATTCTTCCTGATGGCAAAGACGACAACGGGATCGGCATCCCGGATCCAAAGTGGGAGATCAATTCCAACATCGTTTCGCTGATTTGTGGGTTTGCGGGAAATTTCTTTCTGTTGCTGAATTTCACAGGGAGGGTGAGGTACGTTGTTGCTATACCTGCGGCAGTGGGTGCTTGGATGTTTAGTTCGGGGATCGTGAGCTGTCCCTTTTCTTGAGATCAGTGAGAAGAGAGGGGAAGCGGCTGACAAATAGGAACAGTTAGTTGCGATCCTGTTGGCGATGCAGATCCACTCGCCGCCGATTTGGCCAGAGGTTTACTCCCAGGGGTATTATCATGCCATCTTCTCGGCATTCTTCTACGCCTTGGGAGCGGTGCTGTTGGCGATCAACATGCTCGGATATCTGAGGGGGTATTACCCGCAGCAGTTCGCTCTCGACGACGACCAAAGAACTCTGATCTTGCAGACCATGCTTTTCTTCGTGTGGTTGGCGGGCGGAGGCGCGGTGTTTGCCTGGTTGGAAAACTGGCCTGGGGGCTTCTGTGATGGATTATATTATTGTGATGTTGTAAGTCCTTTCCAGCCTTCTCCCATGAGCCTCGACCATTTTGTTGGATCTCCTCGCTTTTTTTTCCCTCACCTCAAACCCGTACCGGTAGCTTTGGACAAGACATTCTTCTCAGGCGCATTTTTGATCTATATGATCACCACACATGGCTTAACCTGGACATACGAGGTCGAGCTGCGACCGAACTTGAGGGAATACATTCAGGGGTCATGCATGACCGTTGGGTATCGTTGACCACCCGGAATTTCTGTTTTTCCCTCTTTTGGTTGCCTTTCACCCTTATTAGATGAAGCAAACGAACAGTCCCTCTGGGCCCTGTTCCGTCAAAGGCTGACTTTGAAAAGACAATACTAACCATCGGTTTCGGCGACTTCGCACCCGCCACAACGGCCGGCAGGGCATTCCTCGTGCCATTCCAAACCTTTGGTCTTCTCTTTCTCGGTCTTGTCATCTCCAGCATCACCCGCTTCGTTGCCAACATCTCAGCTGACAAGGTTATCAAGCGGCATCAAGAGCACTCAAGACAGTCAACGGTGGGCATGTCGGTGACAAATGAGAACGAGCTGAGAGAAAAGTTGGGGTTGCCACAAAAAAGGAAGGCGAGTGATGCGAGAGGAGAAAGTGAAGGGAGGAGGGCGTTTAGTGCGAGGAGGTCGTCGTTGGCGCAGTATGGTCGGTTGGAGGTTGCGGGCAGGTTGGTCACTTTTCGCCGGCATTCTCGGGCTGGGCCTGATGGTGAAAGTGAAGACCCCACAAGCGACGGGGTCACTCAAGGCAGAGAGGGAGATGGACAAACGCAGAATGAGACAAAAGAAGAGCAGGCTAGGCAGAAGATGCTCAAGTTCGACTTTGGGAATGAAAAGGGGAAGAGGCCCGAATCAGCTGCTGTGGGTGATGGCGGAAAGAAAAGGTCCGAACAAGACAAGAGAAAAGAAAGAAGACAGAAGCTATTGCTTTTGAAGGAGGACAAGGATCGGTTTGATGCCATGAGGCAGATCCAAGGCGAGACAAAACGGTGGAAGCAGTGAGTTCACCAGCTCCCGTATCCGTCCCCTTAGGCTCAGTGGTTGACATGTTTGACAGATACTGGGCCCTCGCTATGGCCTTGTTGGCTTTCTCCGTTCTTTGGGGATTTGGTGCTGCCGTCTTCATGTTCACCGAAGCGCGAATCTCCAACCTGTCGTATTTCGACTCAATGTACTTTTGCTGGGTGTGGCTGCTTACCATTGGGTTTGTTCCTTTTTCTGTCTCTCCTTAACTGATCAAAGACTGATGGCTGAATAGGTACGGCGACATAACTCCCAAGTCGAACATCGGCAAGCCGTTCTTCATCGTCTGGTCTCTCATTGCTGTACCGATCATTACCGTCCTCTTCCAAGAGATGTCTTCCACTGTCGTCAGTGCCGTCAACCGTGGAGCCTTCAAGATAGCTGACTGGACCATCATGCCCACCTCAAAACGTGGAGTGCTGGACAAGTACATCCAGAAACACCCCTGGGCGAAGAGATTCATTGGTAAAAAGCCAGACGGGGAAGAGTCTGCAGTTCAAGCTGACGCCAATACCGAACAACCAAAAGACCTAGCCAGGTCACCCGAGGGTACTGGTGAGCAGGACGATGACCTCCCAAACCTCCTGTATCAAACCATCAAGTCTATAGCGCATGACCTTCGCTTTTCTCCCCGCAAGCGATACTCGTATGAAGAATGGGAGCTCTTCACGAGGCTGATTCAGTTTACCCAAACAGAAGAGGAGGTCGAACACGACGGACCGATGGCATGGGACTGGCTGAGTGAAGACTCTCCTCTGCTGGCGGATATCACTGAAGCGGAGTGGGTATTGGATCGCTTGTGCGAGTCACTTGACAGGTATACCCGTTCCAGTTCCCGTCAAGAGCCACTCCCACGGGAAGATCATGATGGACAGATTGAGGGCACAAGTCCAGAACCAGATCCTTTGCGTAGTGAGAGAGAGCCGGGGCCGCTTGATGACATAGAGGAGGAGGACGGTGAAAGAGGAAGGAGAAACCGGGAAGTCTCACAAAACTAATCCAGCTTACCGAGATGTCAGAAGCTACTCATGTTTCGGGTTGTTGTTGTTGTTGTTTCTGTTAGGAGAGATGATGTAAACAAAGACAGTTATCAGTCCTGCCATCTTTCCCCTGCTTGACTATTTGAAATCCGGGCCCCTGCATTCCCAAGTTGTGGCGTGAACTCAAAGGGCATTCAAAGAGGATTGTGTAACGGAGGCTGCAAGATCTCCCTGATAGCGTTGGGTGGACGAACGGTTGGATGCATCGAAAGTGATATTACAATGCTGACATGCGGAAAGGAAGCAGGCGAGACGGGAACTACTTTATGATATAGTGAGATAGGTACGCGAAGGTGGTGATGCCGGTGATGTCGTCAAAGTCAACAGGCCAAGTGGATCAATAGCGGGTTGCGACGTTGTTATCATAAAGCATTAGGCTGACATGGCCGAGAGAGTCATAAACGGATATGCCAAAAGTAGGGGTCTCCGATACAGGCAGGGGCGCGGTTACGTGCCTGATTAGCTCAGCCAAGCGCGGGTCAGGACAAATCTTGGCGTGAAACGAATCGAGCGTGGTCTGTTTCTTGGCTTTGATAGAATTCCAAGTCCAAGCTTCCACTTCACGTCCTCTCTTTCCTCTTTTTTAGCAAGTAGTCTAATCAACACCACCACACCCACGATAAACGACGACAAGAGACAGCCGCTCTTTCGCCCCTACAAGACTGACTGGCCTTCGATTACAAGAAGACCAGTCGACTTTTCCCCCACGCCTTTTGAATGCGGCCAGTGTTGTTTGCCCGTCACAGAGTGCCACCACGCCTTCTGCGCATCCCAACTTCAGCTTCAGCTTCAGCATCATCACCATCTTTGACAACCAAGACGACACCTGCTTCGACAGCACTACCTCTATTACCAACGCTGTATACTCCATCTGCCTTGTCACGCTTCCACCAATTGCGTCTCCAGTCCACGTATACGTTTCAGCAACAACAACAACAACAACAAACATCTGCTTCGCGCCGCTCGCTTCCGGTCTTTACCTGCAGTGTTCACCAACTACCCTTCCACGCCTCGATCACGCGAACGAGAAAAGACACCTCAACGGTCAGACGATTCACCTCTACCGCAACACGCGCCTTTAGCCAAACAACCGGAAACAGCTCCAGCTACGGTGACGAATCCTCCTATTCCGCAAATATGAACGGCACAAGCCCCGCGGCTCGCTCCAAGCGCAAGGAGCCTCCCCAGTACTCAGACGGCCGCCTGGCTAAGCACCACCGAACCAACGGCGATATCGACATGTCTTCTGCCGACGGAAATACCCCTACCGAAGACTTTGATGGCTCCTACGAGGAGGACGCCCGCCATGTCTTGCCCCTCGCTCCCGGCGCCGATACGGCCGAATGGCAGGCTACCATCGAGAACGTCGTCAGAAATGTTGTTTCCATCCGATTCTGCCAGACCTGCTCTTTCGATACCGACCCGGCTCTTACAAGTGAGGCCACCGGTTTCGTTGTAGATGCCGAAAGGGGGTTAGCTATACATCTTCCCCTGCTCAAACTGTTGTCTTGTGCTGACCTTTTTGTTCCTGCTAAAGTTACATCCTGACCAACCGTCACGTCGTCGGTTCCGGTCCCTTCTGGGGTTACTGCATCTTCGACAACCACGAGGAGGTCGATGCCTACCCCGTCTACCGCGATCCTGTCCACGACTTCGGTATCCTCAAGTTCGATCCCAAGGCCATCAAGTACATGCCCGTCGCCGCCTTACAGCTACGACCAGACCTCGCCCGTGTCGGCATAGAGATTCGCGTCGTGGGTAACGATGCCGGAGAGAAGCTCAGTATCTTGTCTGGTGTCATCAGTAGATTGGATCGCAATGCTCCCGAGTACGGAGACGGCTATAGCGATTTCAACACATGCTACTACCAGGCCAGCGCCGCTGCCAGCGGTGGTTCTTCAGGCTCTCCTGTCGTCAACAAGGATGGTTTCGCCGTGGCCCTGCAGGCTGGTGGCAGAGCTGATGGTGCCTCGACCGACTACTTCCTTCCTCTTGACAGGCCACTTCGGGCGCTCAAGTGTCTCCAGGAGGGCAAGCCCATCACCCGTGGTGATATTCAGTGCCAGTTTGTGCTGAAGCCCTTCGACGAGTGTCGCAGACTGGGTCTCACCCCCGAGTGGGAGGCTCAGGTCCGCAAGGCTTTCCCCAAGGAGACCAACATGCTGGTTGCCGAGATCATTCTCCCCGAGGGCCCCTCGCATAAGAAGCTTGAGGAGGGTGATGTTTTGATCAAAGTCAACGGCAAGCTCCTTACCCAGTTCATCCCTCTCGAGGATATTCTCGACTCGAGCGTCGGCCAGACGGTCAAGCTTATGCTTCTCCGCGGCGGCGAGGAGGTCGAGGTTGAGATCGAGGTTGGCGACTTGCACCAGATCACCCCTGACCGCTTCGTGTCTGTGTCTGGTGGTAGCTTCCATAACCTCTCCTACCAGCAAGCCCGCCTTTACGGTGTCGCTTGCAAGGGTGTCTACGTCTGTGAGGCTGGTGGATCTTTCCGCTTCGACAACAACGAGAACGGCTGGATCATCCAATCCATCGACCAGAAGGAGACTCCCGATCTGGACACTTTCATCGAGGTGATGAAGGGCATTCCTGACAAGGCTAGAGTCGTTATTACGTATAAGCATCTTCGGGACATGCATACGCTCCACACCACCGTTATCTACATTGACCGGCACTGGGCTAAGAAGATGAAGCTGGCGGTAAGAAACGACAAGACCGGTTTGTGGGACTTCTCTGATCTCGGTGATGCCCTTCCTGCCGTCGCTCCTGAAACCAGGAAAGCTTCTTTCATCCAACTTGAGAACACTTCTCATCCGGCCGTCGCCGATCTCGTCAAGAGTTTCGTCCACGTCAGCGTCACCATGCCCGTTAAACTAGATGGTTTCCCTAAGAACAGGAAATGGGGCATGGGTTTGGTTATTGACGCGGAGAAGGGTTTGGTGATCATTTCTCGGGCCATTGTTCCCTACGACCTGTGCGACATTACTATCACCATCGCCGACTCCATCGTCGTCGAGGGTAAGGTTGTTTTCCTGCACCCGCTCCAGAACTACGCCGTCATCCAGTACGACCCCAAGCTTGTCGACGCACCCGTTCGTTCGGCCAAGCTGTCTAGCGAGATGATCAGCCAAGGCGCGTCCACCTACTTTATTGGTTACAACCGCATTGGCCGCATTGTTCACACTGCCACCACCGTCACCGAGATGTTCGCCGTCACCATTCCCGCCAACTCCGGAGCGCCCAGATATCGCGCTGTCAACGTTGACGCCATCACGGTCGACACCAACCTCTCGGGCCAGTGCGGCAGCGGCGTGCTCGTCGCCCAAGACGGCACCGTCCAGGCCCTCTGGCTCACCTACCTCGGTGAGCGTAACCCCAGCAGCCACCGCGACGAGGAGTATCACCTCGGTCTGGCCACGCCCACCTTGCTCCCCGTCATCTCGCAACTCCAGCAGGGCATCACCCCCAAGCTGCGCCTGTTGAGCTGCGAGTTCCGCGCCATCCAGATGTCCCAGGCTCGTATTATGGGCGTATCCGAGGAGTGGATCCAGAAGGTCTCCCTCGCCAACACGGCCCACCACCAGCTCTTCCTCGTGACCAAGCGCACCTACGAGCGCAACGAACCCGAAGGCGACACCCTCAAGGAAGGTGACATCCTCCTCACCCTCAACAACCAGCTCATCACCAAGATTTCCGAGCTCGACATCATGTACAGCCACGACTACCTCGACGCCGTCCTCGTCCGCAACACCAAGGAGCTGCACCTCAAGCTGCCTACCGTCGCGGCTGATGACGCCGAGACCGACCATGCCATCTCCTTCTGCGGCGCTATCCTTCACAGGCCCCATCTCGCTGTCAGGCAGCAGATCAGCAAGCTTTTTAGTGAAGTGTATGTGAGCGCCAGGACTAGAGGTAGCCCCGCGTATCAGTATGGTCTGGCGCCGACGAATTTCGTCACGCACGTTAATGGCAAGCGCACCCCTGATCTCAAGAGCTTCTTGGCGGCGGTGGTGGATATTCCTGATAACACTTGTAAGTTTTTTTCTGTCCTTCCCTTTCCCCTTTATCCATGTTTACTAACACCGAATGATAGACTTCCGCCTAAAATGCATGACCTTCGACTCCGTCCCCTGGGTCGTCACCATGAAGAAGAACGAGCATTACTTCCCCACCACGGAGCTGATCAAGGACCCCTCCGAGCCTTTGACAGGTTGGAGGAGAATCACTTACGAAGGCGGCAAGAAGATCGAAGGCGAAGGACACGAGGGTGTCGGCGTCGCTGCGCTGGGCGAGGATGGTGGTGAGGGCGGCATGGATGTTGATGGGTGTTGTTAGGTACAATTTGGTGAGGCATGTTGGGTGAATGTTGGAAAAGGGAAGGGGAAGGGGAAAGGGGAGAGGAATGGGGAGGTGACAGAAGGAGAGGAAAACAGGGAGGGGAAGGTAGAAGAAGGAGAGGTAACCGAAGGAAAGAGGAAGAAGGTAGAAGAAGGAAAGAGAACGGAAAACCGAAGAAAAGACTGGCATGTATACCAACCTGTGAGTGTTTGTAGCTGTCATATTTGTTGGCGGCGATAAAGGGTTCAGGGGGTGAAATAAAAAGAAATAAAAAGAGGAGAAATGAATGATGAAGGCTAAAGAACAGGACAAAACAGAAATGGGAAAGGAAACGAAAGACGGATCATGAAAAGAAGGGAACGACGGGAAGTGGATGCTGAGCTAAAGTCTAGAGCGGGTATTTTTTTACGTGAAATGTCTGCATACAGTGACTAGTGGGAGGGCTTAAAGACGTCAGCTCAAGGTCACGAAAAGGGCGATTAGGTTGGGCAGGCATGGTCAGAGTCAGGGTGTTTGGTTCCATCCAGGTCGTGGTTATGGTTATGGTTATGGTCAAGGTTTGAAATCTGGTCATCACAGCCATGACACAACGCAAATTTCACAGCGCACATTATTGCTTGACGATAGTACAAGTTTGTGTGAAACCAAAAAAAAAAAAAAAAAAAAAAGGGAGCTACAAGAAAGAATGAAGAACAGAATGTTGAAAAGTGAAAAAATCGCAGAACCAGAAATGAAGAAACTTGAACACAACATGCAGCTTGTTAGATAGGGAGTAAGCGAGGGGGATGGGGGGTGTAAGCCGGCAATACTTGGACTCTGGTGGTAACACACTGGCTGGTGATCGTTGTAATCCCTATCTCTACCATACAGCAAGCGTACAAAGTAAATCCCCCCCCGCCCGGGGTTAATCTGCTATGCTATGGGGAGCAATATTCTGTATGGCTGTCAGTGATGGAACGGTAAGTAACTTAGAGGTACTTTTCAGGCTTCCTTCCTATTTCGAAGACCCAAAGGCAAACTACCAAAAAAGGAAAAGACGGGACACGGACAGACAGACAGACAGACAGACAGACAGACAGACAGACGGACGGACAGACGGTTATAGAGGAAGGTGGTAAAAACCTTACACATATACGGACCAGACGGACACCGTTTAGGGGTTACGATATGATAGCATCCCCTCACATCACATCACATCATATTACACTGGCCGTTTTTTTATATCTTTTTTATCATGCCCCCGGTGTCGATCTGAATGTTGTCATTCATTACATTACTTTCTCGGCTAATCTGGACTACCAAAGGTACCTACTAGGCGTAAATATAAGATCAAGTCAGATAAATTGGTTAGCTGGGGAGGCAACTACATATGTATGTAGCTGCGCGATGTCGGAGATCCTGTCAATATTCCGTTGTCATGGCGTACCGGCCGGTTGATGGTGCAAATATAGCACCAGAGGGAGTTTTGATTGCTAGTACGGCAGAAGAGAAAATGATACAGGTACCTATGTTTGGTGGATGATGGATGGGCGACTTGATAGACATCTTCATCGTATACCGATCGAGGTATATGGGCACGCAAGTATTTCGTCTTGATGACCGATTACCTCGAAGTGTTATCAAGTTTATTCCCTCCAACCAACATCCCAGACTGGCTATGTTCACGTCATTAAACTCTCCATTTTCCTCATTTTTCACATTTTCCTCAGCTTCCTCAGGGGATTCTATTCACCTGTTTGTGTATAATCGTGAAATATCATATGTCTATCCATCCGCGTCCTCTATAGCCATTCGTTCGTCCAATCATTCATACGTTCGCCATAACCGAAAACGAAAAGAGAAAGAGCAAGGTAGTGAGTAGAGTGTTACAACGCCCAACGTCCAACCACTGGTGGATGCATAGCTATACGTAACGTAACGTAACGTAACGTAACCTCCAATCCGGGTATCAAGAAAAAATACACAATGCTTCAGTTCCGATGCCTGTCCCGCTGAGGTTCAAGTTCTCCTCGTCTCATCCACCTCCAATTTCTCATCTCCTATCTCAGGTGAGGAATCCCAAGCCCACCAGCAAAGTGGGTAGTAGCCGAAGAAGTAAGCCAAACACCTAATCTGACCCCCTCCCCGACCAACTAGAGATATACCCCTCTCCACCCTCCTGTCCGTATCTCGGCCCATTACCACTTCCACCACCACCAACGTCGCCATCACCACCTCCATACGAATGTCCTACACCTGAACCAAGTGAGAAACTGGAAAGATATTCAACCTCGAAGTCCAGATCTTGACGACTCCGACTTTGGTTTTGGGTCTGGTTCTGGCTTCGTCCTCGTCTCCGTAATCGTAATCGGCTCCGTGAGCGACTGGCTAATCGACTGTTTAATCGATTCCGGCTGCGTAATCGGCTCCGACTCCGTGATCGATTACGGCTCTGTGATGGTCGTCGTCGTCGGCGACGCGGTTGATATTCGGAGTAATCGGATTCGTACTCGTAGACGTAGTCTGATCCTTCGTAGTGAATTTTTTGATCATGTTCATCTTCATCTTCATCTTCGGATGATGATGATGATGATGATGATGATGATGATTCGGGCTCGGGATCGGGTCCGGATTGATCTTCGTCGTCGGCATCTTCCTCGTCGATGTCACTTAGTCCAGGTGTTGATCCATCAATGCCTGGTTTTTGCTGGCGTTGTTGTCTATGTTTGAGGTCGTGCTTTTCGTCCTCCTCGTCTAAAAGGTTGGCTTCGGGTTTATTGTCATCGTCGTCCACGGCAAACTCAGACAAAAACCACGCTGCAGACCCCGAAATCAACACCACAACCGCTCCCATAATCAGACTCAAGACCGTCTCGCCAATCTGACTAAACAGTCCAAGTCTAAGAAGAGCCTCCCAGATCATAGCCGTAACAACAGTCCGACTCATGACTTTCTTCGCCCTTTCCCCATACTGCACCCAAAACACCTGCACCTCAATCTCAACTCTCATCTTCCACTCCCTCCAACTCCCCTTTTTCACCCCCTGACTCCAAAAATCCTCAGCCCACTCCTCGCTCGACATCCGACCACTCGTACCCAAACCAGTTTTTCTCTTGTTAAAGCGGTTGTAACGGGCACCGCCATACAGTCACGTCCCACCACCGGTTCCATCTCCCGCCGTCATAAAAGCGGCACCGCCACCGTTCCTGACCCTCTCTTTCCACCTCGCGAACTCCATCACGTTAAGCTCGTGCGCCTCCCTGGCTTGAGCCCACTTTTGCATGACTGTCTTGTCCTCCTCCATCCACGCCAAGTACTCCAACAGTTCCTTATCGCCCATCTGGGTGACCCAATTGGCACCCTTTTGCTCGTTCTTGAGCTTGCGAGCGGCAAAATGATCAACGACGCGCGCGTTGAAGACGTTGAACTGGTGGATGTAGATCTTGAACTGTTCAGCGTACGACGCCCACTGCGCGGAGGTCATCTGACTAGGGGTCGCCAGCGCGGCTGGTGGGCTGGGTGCTTTGGGTGGTGTGGGGAAGTTGATGTTCTTCGGTTTAATCTTTTCGCGCTCGAAGGGCGGGAGCTTAGCCGACGCCCTGGATTCGAAGGGAAGGTTGGATTTGAGGTCCGCCGAGAAAGAGTTGAGGCCGGTGCCGGGGTTGACGAGTTTGTCGACGTCGAAGTTGCCGAAAATGGGGCGAAGGTCACTGTCCTCTGAACCAGCGTTGGCAACAGGGATGGTAGGTCGGTGTGAGGCGTTGGCGGCGCTGCTGCTGCGGCGGGAGCTAGTGCCGTTGGACGTCTTGACGCCATTGTTGAGGTTGCCGGAGCGCCATTCAGGTTTGGAAGGCTCCAGGTTGACATTGCGCGCGCCCCCGTTCATGTTGATGATTGTGGGAATGCCATGAGCGGGAGTCGGGGGCGGGGCGGCAGGAGGAACAGCGTGTGCCGGGGTTGGTGGCGGGGGAGGATCGTCAATATCCATAGCCATAGGGCTAGGCGCTCCATTGATACCACTTTCATCGACACCAGCTGCCGAGTTGGACCTGCTCTTTCCATCGCTGCTGCTGGTCTCTTCTTCATCAACCAGGCCAGCAGTGCCCGCAGTCATCTTTACCGGCCTGGGCTTCCGGATTGGTCGCACATTTCTCGTAGGCGAAGTCGATGATTTCTTCGCCGTCGGGGGCGGGACAAAGGTATGCGGACCGAATTCTGCTTGCCATTGGCCGGCATCAAAGGCACTTGGCTTCTTACCTGCATCATTTGCTTCGCTAGGCGGACGAGTTGCGCCGCTGACTGATTCGTTGGAAGACGTATAGGTGTTTTTGAGGGGCGATTGGCGGCCTCGAGGGACCGAGCGTGCTCGTTGCTTTGCGCGCGAAAAGGCGTCAGCTCCGGGAATGGTGGTCGATCCACCGGCGTTAAACTGAAATCCTGCACCAACCTGTTCCTGGTCCACGAAGCTGGCGCTGATATTATGAACGCCACTCCGGGTAAAGTCGGCTGTCGCCTGGGGCTTCTGGGTGTATCCATCGTCGTCGGGGACGGTGAAACTATTGGGGTAAACGTTGTTAGTCGCTCGCTGCTTTTGGACCCTGTTGTGTACGTTGGTCTTCCTGGGCGAGAGAGGGTTGTCGGTCGGCTTTATGATATGCTGTCTCCGTGAATGCATCTTACGCCTTCCCAGGAGAAGCTGCAGCTGGTCGTGCATATCCTTTTCAAAAGAAGATATGTCCCCGGAGGTCGACTGATCTCCACTCGGAGGTTTCCTGCCATGCGACTCCCGGTTATTTGCCGTATCTTCATGAGCTCTTCCGCGGTAACTTCCCGCGCCGGCATGACTGAAGACATGGGGCGGTCGAATCTTGCTGGGTTGACCGAAAGAGGAGGTTGACTTGAAGTATTCATCTGGTTTAAAGAAAGGAGAAGGAGCGTACACTTTGGGGCCATCCTGCGCTGATTCTGAATGTCCGGGTTGAGCTGTGTAAACGTTAGCCGCTGCGTCTTACGAAACGGACAGAGCTGACATACCATTCGGGTTGCTCCTCATAGACGAGCTGGACGCACGCGGCGTCGGGTTGGCTGCTGTATTGGGTGCTGACCTGGGTTCAGCTTCCTGGGCATAATATCGCGCGCTGGCTCGCGGCTCAGCTTTCGAGGTTCCAGAGGATGTGGTCCCGCCGTTGGCCGCCTTCCCGAAGCTGTTGGACTCACCGACACTAGCGCTGCGTTGTCGCGACGGGCGCGGATGGGGCACCTCTTCCTCGGATTCCTGGTTGGGCCGAGAGGGATCCTTCATGGACTTTGCTCTGTTGACGTTGGCTCCTTCGAAGGGGTTGAACTTTTCGCCGATGTGGGAAGCATAGGGGGTCCGTTGTCTTCTGTCCAAGTATGTCTCGCTAAACTTCTCGCTCAAAGGGTCAACCGGGGTGGGAGTCGATTGTGGCCGTGATTTCCTGATGTTAGCGGCAGTATCCTCAAACATGCTGTTCGTAGCCGTGTGGTGGGCGCTGGAAGTGTAGTTATGTCTCGACACTGATGGTTCATCGCCCACTGGGGAATCCGGTGAATAGCCAGGCCGTCTAGTGGTACCAAAAGCAGCATCTGCACGACGAGCCTGCCCTGCGGTCCGTGGCGGTACTGGAGGCGGCTCCCTCCTGGCACTTTCTGTGCGTTCGGGCCGTTCCGTTCGTGCTGACGACGCATAACCCGACGACTTGGGGGTTGACGAAGATGCCTGGCCTGTCTTGGTGCTTGATCGCATAGCATCCCACGCGCGCAAGTTGTCGGCAGCAGATGCCGTCTTTGGTGGGACTGGGCGCGAAGATGAAGAGGAAGAGGATGGTGTCCCCCAAGCGGAATAGCGTGCGTGTGCCGACGGACCTGGATCGGCACGAGACGGCATATGAGGGGTTCGTCGCGAAGGAGGAGCGCCATATCTGTCAGCCATTTCGGCCGAGACGTTGGAGTACGGGTTGCCGCGGTGGCCAGAAGCGCCTGGATACCTGCTCGTGGTAGAAGTCGGTCCTCGTTTGCGGTAGGCATCGTACTTGGCCTTCATAGACGGGTCGGTAAGGACCTCATGAGCGGCTTGGATGTGGATGAACCGATCCTTGGCCTCCTCCTCTTTTCCTGGGTTGCGATCCGGGTGGTATTTGAGGGCCAGCTTCTTGAACTGCTTCTTCACCTCAGCCGCGTCCGCTGTTGAAGACAGCTCGAGGTCCGCATAGTAGTCGCGGTCGTAATCCAGCTTAACTACCATCTTGACGGTATTGTGATGTTAAGCGAAGGTACAGAAAATCCTTGCATGCCACGGCGTAGGGTGGTTTATCGTGTCGTATATGTCGTAAAGACTGGCTATTCAGAGCGATGAAACCAACAGCAGAGAGAGGTGATCCAAAAATCGATGGAAAGCGGGGGAAGGTTGGTCGGTTGCGGAGCGAACAAGGGTGGCCTATAGTCGTTTGGAATGTTTTCTTTGCTAACGAAAGGCAATGTCTGGGTGGTGTTGGACAAGTTGATGGCGTTTCTCTGGCGCAGGGAGAGAAGGGGGGTCTGCAGGTAGCGTGTTCGCCTATGGGGAGTGTCGGGCACGAATGACTTGTCGGGTGAGTGAAATCTCGGCGCGATCAACGAGCGAATGTGCTGTCGAGTTTGTTGTCTGGAAGAGAAGAAGAACTTGTTAGGCTGACGGGTGGTTCCAGGCTGTGCAAGTGGTCGAAGTTCAGGGCTGCGTCACTGGCCAGGGCTTGGATGGGCTGGTCAGGATGCGGGGCAGGCAGCAGGGCAGCTGGAGGCAGAGCAGGGCGTGTTTACCTACCAGTAAGCAAGTCTCCCGTCTTCCCGTTTGTCGAAGTGGAAGCGTGACGGATGCAGCTGCAGTGTAGAAGGATGTGTTGACAGACGCAAGAACAAGACGCGACCGTTCTTTGTGTTGACTCGTATTGGTGTGATGGTCCTTTTTGGTTGTCAAGACAGCCAGAGTTGCTGGTGGTCAAGTTGTTGCTTCTGGAAAGAAACAAAACTTGGAAGTGTGATTGACTTTGTTTTAGCCGCTGGCTGGTAACGCCCGGGAACCGGCAGTCCGATAAGCTTCGTGATAAGCACGCGGGTCTCAACCTCAACTGAACCGAGTCTGGTTCTGGTAAGAACAAGAGATGATGAATGGTATTCAGCAGACGAATGCCCGGATATGGTAGTCAAATTACTAAACATAAGACAACATGGAAGTTACGGGAGTGATTTGGAGACAGCCAACCGCAAACACCGACAGTAAACACAAGGACGTGCCGATTGCAATTCCCCTCTCTAACAGCTTGCAGATGTTGACTAACAGACAGCCAGTAGGGCTGCAGTGCAGTGCAGTGCAGTGCTGTAACCCCGACCGCTTCTGAAGTTTCACAGCCGACTTCAGATATTGTATCCAAATTGAAAGGGGAAACACAACACCGCGGTGCTTTATCGTCAAGGGAAGCACTTGATCTTGTGATCTTGATGCCAATTTGATTGTTTCCAGCTGGTGGTGATCATAACAAACGAGTGGAGCTTTTCCCCGCCAGTTGGCAAGGGCAGCTAACTTTTGGATTACCTCAGCAGGGCCCTGTGCCTGAGGAGAAAAGACCAGCAGACAGGCTCAGGTGGGTCATCCCCGAGTTCTCCCCAACCTCGAAGCGATGGAACCTTTTGCCCTATGACGTCGATATCGACATTTTGGTTGTCTCGGGATTCATTTTCCTATCAAGTGCATTATTTATCTGTATATGCGGTACCATGGCATTGAAAAACACGGAAGGAACGATGTCGCGATGGCTCCGTACATCCGTGCAAAGAACCAAGACGTGTTTGTTTACTTTTAGCGTCTTCAACCGCATTCGAACGCGGTTTCGGTGTGGAGGAGGGATTCCGTTCTTGGTCACAATGTTGGTCGGGTGGCAATACTTGGACGGCCTCCATCTCTCCAAGGTCTCTTCACCACACCAACCACCGTGATGACCATGGCCGGACCTGCTTTAGTCAGGGGAAAACCTCAAAATTACCCACACCTCGAGAACATCTTTACTACCATCACGTTGATCCCCCGTATTTGGGGTGCTCCGGGTCATCAGCCTCTGACCCTCCATTGCCCTCTGGGTGGTCACGCTTTCACCTCAGGCTCTCAGTGGCTTAGCCTCAACTGACAGCCACCTGTGACCGCCATGTTGTCTCGTGGTTTTGTGCTTCTCGATGTGGCTGACCATCAGCCATGCCGAGGCTTCTGGCAACTTAACCTCAGATCATCGGCAGATCTATTTGAACCTACCTTAGAAATGGTATAGGTAAGGAGGAAAGGAATCACTTACAAAGGTTAGTCCATCCACCAATCAAGATTGTATCTTGGCACCATATCTAACCCTTGCCTTAGCCAACCCCGATCATTTCTACTTACTTAACCCTCATCGCTGACATGCCTTTGAAGTCCAGTCATTCGTCGAGGATCTTCCTCACTCAGTCTAAAGCAGTGCCAAAACCAGTGATGCGGTCTTAACTCATGTTCCTAACCGTGGCTGTGTGTTCTGGTCTTTGGATTGAACGCAACAATAGGCCCGCTCAGCTTATATTTCTCGGACATACGTGGAAAACCGCAGGGCCGCGAACAACACAAACGAGTTCAAAACCAACAGTGACGCTCTCTACGAGAACACTTAACCTACCTGGGCAGATACGAACGACGCCGGTGCCAGTGGCAGGGCTTCGGTACATCTTGAAAACCTGCGGCTTGCCAAATCTACGGTTGGCCATACTTCCATCAAACGCATCCGTGGTGATGACCGGTCCGTGACTCCGCGGGACCTAACCTCCACACTCTCGACGGGAGGAGGCAATTACGAATCCACCTGCATCTGAATCTGCAGGCTCTCGGGCTTACTCTGTCGTGATGCTCCCGTTGGCTGCGCAAGTTGACGGAGCTGGTCGATCCAAGACGATATGGTGTTTGTCGTTTGGCGATTGAAATGTATGAAGCCGTCTCCGCCATGTTCTCAAGGGTGAAGAGATGACTGCTGTCCGATATGGGGAGAGGGAGGTGGTCGCTATCGCTATCGTTTCAGGTGGGTCTTGATTTGTGACTGACAGGCTTTGTGTTTGGAGGAATGAAATATTGGTTGGAACATAATCGTACCCGGTGATGTTGGCCGTTGTCCTTGTCGCTAATGGTGACAATGATGAAAAAAAACCTGAAGTTCCGAGAGTTGAGATGGGCAGAGTCCAATCGATGGGGCTTTGGCATTCAGTCTGAAGTCCGCCTCTTTCTTTCTCTCTAGTACTACTCCGAAGTCATTACACTCTAGGTACTTCTGGCTCCTTCTTTTTCCCTTAACTCCTTCCTAATCTTCTTTCTTCCATCGTCCCTTCTCAAAATTGGAGTGTCTTCAACTCTTATAGCTCCGGTCCACGCATATTTAGCCTGTTGATGTAACCCTACTCAAGGGACAATGTAAACACCAAGAACATGAAGAGTAGAACGACCGAGCAAGTCTTGTACCCCCTGAGAGCTGAGACCGCCTGGGCGCCTTGTTTCCGCCGAACACTCCAAGATAACACCTATCAACACTGCCCTGCATCACCATCACCATCACATCACACCGAGACTAGGCCAACATGAAATATCTCAGATTCAACCTAACAATTTAGCAGCAAGCATGGAAAGTCAAGGTTGATAAAGGAAATATAAAAGAAAGGTATTCCAGGGACAGTAAACAAGTTAAAATTGGGATCAAATGCTGGCCATACACAACCGTCGACTAATGTCACTAATTCCGGTTTACATGTACACAACCCTGATGAGTTCCATATGCTGGTTCACTCGTCAGGATCTAGGGTAATACAACTTAAAACCTCACTAAACCGCAAGCCTCAAAGTTCACGCTGTCAAGCAGCCCTTAGAATCCGAACAACCAGCTTCCATTAGACCTAGGTATACAAGGCCAATGTTAACGTTCAACAAGCACATACGGCCATAGATAGTGGGAAACTCGGGATCCCGTCCGCTCTCCCATAGATAAGCCACTAATCGTCTTCTTATCTATGGGAGCGGGAAGGACAGGAAACGGGTCTTTTAATCACGTGGCAAGGTCAAAAAACTGAACCACCAGCTCCCATATCCATATCGTTCGGACGGAGGCATTGCGGTGAGCCCCAGACATAGCTGAGGGTAATATACACTCGCTCTGTCGCCTCCGAAGCTGGGACAATCGTGTTCGTGAAGCAGTTAATTAGACGGAATCCCGGAACGCTTTTGAACGCAAGTGCCCACTCGCTTTCGATATAATTGGTGTGTGTAGATGTATATAGTTTAAGGCATTCCTTGATTAAGCTGTAATCGATATTTTGCGCAGGAAATTATCTACCCAAAACAATGTTGTAGCTGTAGGAAAATATATCTCCACCCTCCACGTCGTTTCTAGGGCTGGGTTTAGTCGGAAGGATGAGATGAGCGCTGATGTGACTGATAGTATCGAAGCCTCCTCCTTCAATTATCCCTTCTTCTATATCAGTGGAGGTAAAATCCCTAGCCAGGTTATTGGATCGGTCTATATGAAGAGCTATTGTATTAAAGGTTATACGTCCGGGAAATCTTTTAGCTATGAGGTAATTGTCGAGCATGCAAGCCTCCGATACCAATGCAGTTCTTATTCTGAGGACGTCTTTAAACGAACAGATTTCCAAGCTTCGAGCGGAGGCCTCGACGAATGCACAGAGCGAGCAGGTTTTGGGGTGCTGCAGGGTGATCTTCCAAAACCTCCGCCGGGTCAAAGGTTTTGGTTTGACGCTGAAGATTTCTTCAAAGTCCAGTTGATTGCACTCTTGACATAAAAGACCTCCGCCGGGTAGGTAGACATGGGATCTCTTGCTCATCATGGAATACGCTGTAGGGTTGAAATTTGCCGAAATGACAGTCGGCGGATTTACTTCTTGGTCTTCTGACTTGCAATGAGACAGGGGGAAAGAGTTGAGACTGCTTTTTTTTTTTTTTGAGTTCGGAAGCTCGATATCGTTGCATGTGTGGTGTCAAAGAGGAGAGTCCATCGATCACTTGTTGATTGAAAGGAGAGAAAGGGCAAGATTAGCCAGAAGGTTTATGATATGCGGTGCAGCCTGTGGCCTGGCAGTGCTCACCTATTCACGGGCGAACATGCCTAGGTAGGTATTGGCCAGCCATCACATACATGACAGCAGGTACAGCACCGAAGGTTAAACACCAATATATACTCAGCAAGTAATCATCATCATCCCTGGTAGTTCTATAACCCGCTTAATGCTTTATACTTTCGGTCCCCTCATGAACATCTCCCACGCGGTCATGACCTTGTCGAGTCCTGCTTCATCAAGCAAGTCCTGGAGAATGACTCTCCTCCCCGTCTGCTGCGGATCTTCAGCCGGGACGTATCGAGACTCGTCATCTTCGCCGCTCTCCGCGGCAAAGTACACCATTGCACCTTGATCTGCCCCAACCCTGTATGGGTCCCAGGGAGATCCGCCGTTCACAAACGAGATAATATCTCTCGCGAATTTATCCCGACTTCTGCTGACCGGGTCCCAAATGTTCTCTGTAGTTCAGCAACGCGAACGCGATGTCCAGAATGTGCGTGGCATGGCCTTTCCAAGGGCCATCCCATGGGTTTGGAACGTTGAACCGGTAAAGGAAAGCTTCTGCGCCAGGCTTCTGGGACCATGCCCTCGCAAAAGCCCGAGCACCAAGTGCAAAGCAGATGTCAGTCGCCAGATCCAAGACAGCCTTGGTCGACTCGGTCGTGTTGGCCGTGGCGCTCTGGTCCAGCCCATACGCTGAAGTAATAGCCGGTGTAAGCTTGGGATCGATGGGATCCAGAGCCTCTGCGAGATAGGTTGCTAGCGTGTGAGGCAACACATCGCTTCGAGCTGCGACACGGGGTGCATATGCACTGCCCTAGGGGGGGCTGTCAGTATTGGACTTTGTCGGGTTTATTTATCTTGGGAGTTGCAAACACCTACATCCATCTGGCAGTCGCCCACCAAGATTCTTTTGCACCACTGCATTCCAGGAAACAGGTCCGCTGCCCGGCCTGGGTCCGCCAGTGCAGCATAAGTTGTGGCGGCAGCAATCTTCTCGCCGTCAATGAGTGGCCCCATAGGCATCTTGCGCCCGATCTTCTCCCTGATGTCCTCTGGCGAGGCCTTCAGTAGGACGTCTACATCACCGTTGCAGCCCAGCAACTGGATAGCAGTTGCAAATGACCTTTCACCCATCGCCATAGGTTTGGCCTTGACGATGGATGAGCCGCTCATGGCAATCAGCTGGCTGAACAGCGGTTGGGTCCCGTGCAGATGGAAAGTCCCAGATGCTGATGGCCCCTTTTGTGTTAGTTTTGGAAATGGGTTTCAAGGGGGCAGTAATAGGTATGCGCACCTGCTCCAGAGCTCTCTCCAATGTACGTTACGCGTTCAGGGTCCCCGTGAAAACCGGCAATATGATGCTTGATCCATAGGAGGCCAAGCCTTTGGTCATCCAAGCCGTTGTTGGGCTTGTATCCAGCCTCTGCCATTGCTGACGAGTGGAGAAAGCCGGCGACTCCCAGTCGGTAGCTTGAACATGTCAGTTATAGTCCGCAGTCCTTCAGGGCGGGTACGTACTTGATTCCGACCGCGATCATGGGCTGGCCCATTTGCACGCTTGTTTGAACAATGTGTCCTAAATCATATTGTGGATAGGAGCTGCTTCCAGTAGCAAAGGCTCCGCCGTGTACCAGCGCCAGGACGGGCCATGCCGGGCCGTCAGTCTTGATATCGGGTATAGCAATGTTGACCGTCAAACACTCCGTGTCTGACTGCGTCAATGCTGACGCCGGTAGTGAGTGTTGGATTAGCTTCTGTTCCCATTCGCACCCATTGGTAGGGCTGATGGGAACCGGGCTACGCCATGTTAGTCTTGACCCCTAGGTATCAAGTCACGGGCCGAACCCCTTACCCAAGACAAGTTGCATCAAACACGCCTTCTTGGACGCGTGGATGGTCAGATGGGTAGGATTTCAAGAGCTCTCCGCGGGCGAATCTATCCCGAAGAACCGCATACTGTACACCTAGGAACTGAGCGGCACCGTCAACTTTTCGGATGCCGCGAATAGGTCCGATCGTTGGGTGATTTAGGATGGACGGCTGCTCCAAGGAGGTCATGATGGCGTGTGTATCTGCAAATGAGCGTCTATAGAGACGAGTTGGAGGGGCACAAAGGTTGGAAGGGCAAACTCATCTCCTTTTAGGAACTTGGTTTCCAACAACCGCTCTCGTGGCTAGTTACGGTCACCATGACCATGGGACCAGAGATGTCAGCTGGCGGAGCATTTTAGCCAGTGCCCGCCTTAACTCCGCCCCGCTTCATATGCGGGTGTTGATCACCGAAGAAGGTTCACCCACCACCTTACAGAGTGGACGGCATTGACTGAGCATCTTGGAATGGAAACTACCGTAGAAAACATTACCATATCTATATCCATACTTGAGCTGGCTGTTGCCTTGCACCTCCTTAGGCCTCCAGTCAGTTCCACCATAGCAATAAGCGGTTTCACACCCAACAATCCACAATCTCTCGTTTTCATCATGGCGTCCAACCAGACAGAGACCAATGATCTCATCAGCCCGTCCTCTATAGGGCACTTTGGCATCCGCACGACACCTGACAAGTTCGAAGCCATGGTCAACTGGCATCTCAACTTCTTTGGAGCCCGCGCCGTGCTTCGGAACAAGAATGCCGTCTTCATCGCCTGGGACGACGAGCACCATCGCATGGTCATCGTCTCGGATCCGTCTCACGAGCAGATTCCCAACCGGGCCACTGCCGCCACCGTCTACCACCTTGCCTTTACGCTCAACAGCCTGGCGGACCTGGCTACCAGCTACGAGCAGAAGAAGGCCCGCGGAATCCTCCCCCACTGGCCCGTCAACCACGGCATGAGCACCAGCATGTACTACACCGACCCCGATGGCAACGAGTTTGAGATGCAGGTCAACAACTTTGATACGGCCGAAGAGGCTCTCGCCTTTATGGTCACGCCCGAGTATGCCGAGAACCCCATCGGCGTGGATATCGACATTGAAGACTGGCTCAAGCGCGTCCGCAGTGGCGAGGACGAGGCTATCTTGAAGAAGCGGCCTGTGATCGGCCAGAGATTGTCAAGATACGAGAACTCGATTTACTTTCAGAAGCCCCCGGCGAGCACAGCTTGATGACATGGACCCCCTGGAAGGGCGTTGTTGTTGTGGTAAAGGCTGGAGGTGGTATGGGATTGTAGGAGCAGTGGGATCAATGAGAAGTTGCGTGAGGAAGAAGTGAAAATGTATGTATCTTATCCAGATGTACTATGTAGGGGGCACACAGGCACCTGTACCGTAGAGGTAGACAAACAGATGAAGAGTGGCCCCGGAGCTGTCACTGCCGTGTCCAAGCTGTTCAGTTGTTTCTTTGCCCTAATGCATGCAATTCCAAGGTGCTTCTTTTTTTCCCATCATTGTCTTGGCGTTTTGACATCCATGCCGACAACCGAATGGAAGACACAGCCACTGCCCGCTGAGTAAGCAGCTTTTTGAGGTTCGTTGAGGAGAATGTGCGGCATTTCCACTTCCCCACCTCGTCTTCAACGAAGAGCGTTGGACGGACATGGAGATAACCTAACTAACCGAACGGGATTCCATGCCCCAGATCAATCTCTAGAACTACCCCACACTTTTCGTTCAGCCTGTTAGCGCTCCCTATGGTAGTGTCGATCATCATCATGCTGTTCAGCGCACCATCAAGAAGCCTCGTGACCTTGCTGTCTCGTGGGGTGGGGTAAAAGCCGATTTAGGAAGCGCTTTTCCGGCACAGGCGATCAAAGTGTACTCTCAAGAAACCCCTGCAGCATGTAGATCTTCCGATGGGCCCCCATGAGTAGATGTTGTCCGCTCTAAGCCCGAGCCTCATAAGCGACGAGACGAGTTGCGAGTCTGGGGAACTGAGACGGAGCCGCCGGCCGCCCAACAAGCAAGCAATGGAGATGCGGAAGCCTGGGGGACAACTGTTGTCTTATATCCTGGGATTACCCGGTTCCGCCGGGGCTGCTGGGTAGAGTCTAGACACCCTCATACTACCTCTCCCACGGTACCAGCTACCCACTTCGTTTGTACCACCATACCTGTCCCGCTCACTTCATCATGTCTTCACAGTCCAACAAGATCGCCATTGTGGGTGGCGGGCCATCTGGCCTTGCTCTGGCGGCGCTGTTGGAGAAGAAGGGCGGTTTCGACTACGTCGTCTACGAGAGCAGCGCCGAGCATGTCCCTCCCCGTGGAGGCTGCCTCGACCTCCATCCCGGGAGCGGACAGCGGGCCATGCGCGAGGCCGGAGTTTTTGACGAGTTCAAAAAGTATGCGAGGTACGGCGACGCAACCATTCACCGTCTGTTCGACCACAAGGGCAACAGCCTCTTTGACTTTGGCGAAGGCCGTGATGCCCCAGAGATTGATCGCTGGGCCATCCGCAAGGTCTTGCTGAGTGGAATCCCCAAAGGCAAGATTCACTGGAGGAAACCGGTTCAGAAGGCGGAGAGGGACGAGAGCGGCCAGATTGTTTTGACCTTTACCGACGGCTCAACTGCTTCTGGCTTCAAACTGGTCGTGGGCGCTGATGGCACTTTTAGCAAGATCCGGCATCTGGTATGTCCCCGAATTTTCCACACTGCCCGGTTTGATGAATTCCTTTTTCCTAAAATTACAGCCTCCAGGTCACGGATGCGAAGCCGGTTTACTCTGGCTTTTTCTACATCACAACCAAGATCCAGCCAGAGAACCCTTTCTATCCCAAGATGAAGGAGTTGTGCCGGATGGGCTCCATGATTGTCATGGGCAACGGCGTGCACATGTTCAACTCGCGCCAGGGCGACGGCCATTACCGTGTCGATGTCGGCATTCCCGGGCCCGAGAACTTTGCCACTAGTGGGATCGTCGACGTCGCTGACTGGGAGGCACTCAAGAAGTATCTCTTGCAGGACGACTTTTTCGGGCCGTACTCGAAGGAGATGCAGGACATCATCACCAACAGCGATGGGCCTTTCCGACCATGGATCATGTACTACTTCCCCACGGATCGGCTGAACTGGCAGCCGGTGTCTGGAGTGACGCTGATCGGAGATGCTGCTCATGTTACCACGCCCTTTGTTGGCGACGGCGTCAACTGCGCAATGCGTGATTCCTGCATATTGGCAGGCAAGCTCAAGGAGCTCGGTGTCACGGACAAGGCGGTGGCGGCCTATGAGAAGGAGATGTTTCCCTTTGCCATCGATGTCATTACGAGGAGCTTGCAGAGTCAAGTCATGTTCTTTGAGAAGGAGTCGCCCAAGACTTTCATTGAAGTCATGAGTTCGGGAAAGCCGTTGATTGGCACAACCGATCATATTTGATAGCAAATTGTAGATCAACTTTTCGATAGCATCTTGAATTGACTGATTTTACACATTTTTTATTCTCGGCCACATAGATTCACAGGTACCACCACCCTGTCTACCTCATACCCGTCTTCATAACTGCCTATATGTCTGGTTCAAAATTGCAAGCCGCCCTCATCGATACAAGTGCTGCAAGTTGTTTTGGCCTTGGGCTCCAATCCAATGAAATAACAGCTCTAGTCCAGCTCTTGGTTTCACGGAAACGATCCCATTCGCATTGGTGGTCAAGCATTTCCTTTCTTCTGGACCAACAATCTACATCTAAAATTCCTCCTTTCTGTACATACCCAGACGCTCCACCATAGGCCTATCGTTAATAGCAAACAAGTAGGCATGCCCGCTTTGCGAAGTACAAGTATGAGAAACAAGGCTCCAAGCAGGGACAGCAAACGTGTCCCGGGCCTTCCACTGCACCCTCTGCTCCTTCCCATCCGAGTTCGGCGTGATCACAGTCGTGTATCCCTCTCCTTCGTACACATGGTAAATCAACGAGACCGTCTCCCGCAAGGGCTTCGTGGTCGCCCCCGGCGCGATGCGCTCCGCCTGAGCAGACACAGTCTTGGACAGATGGTTGCCGTCCCCCAACGTGTAATCGTAGCGGGCATGTGCGGGGCTTTCCTTGTTGTTGGCGGCGTCGAGAACAGCAGCAACCTTGGACCACGGGATCTTCAGGTTGCTGTCCTCGCCCGCCGGAACGCTGGGGTAGCGCGCCTCGGCGTAGTTTTGGGCAAAGTTGAGCGGCAGGAACCGGAAGACGGGAAGATCAAGACCGTCCAGCCACACCATGGGGCCGTCTCCTTCGCTGCCGTGGTCGTGCCAGTGCCAGCTCGGCGTGAGGATGACGTCGCCACGCTCCATGGTGAGCTTCTGGCCTTGGACCGCCGTGAAGCCACGCGATCCCTCGACGATGAAACGAAGGGCAAAGGCAACGTGGCGATGTGCCGGGGCGGTTTCGCCAGGTAGGATGAGCTGGAGGCCGGCGTACAGAGTGTCGGTTGTGTAGGGGGCGCCCAAGGTGGGGTTGTTGAGCATGAGAACGCGCCGCTCGGCTTCCTCGGCGGATATGAGCTTGCCAGACTCCATGAGCAGTGGCCGGATGGTGTCGTATGGCCAAGTGGCTACGACCGCCTTGGGGTTGGGCCGGGGCGGCACCATCTTGTCCAAGACGGTCCAGAGAGGAGAGACGTTGGTTGCGGACATGTTGGCGTAGAACTGACGCTCATTGGGGCTCTGTTCCGAGGGTGAACCAGCAGCAGCATTGCTGTGCTCGACCGGGGTCTCTGTTGGTGAAAACATGATGATGATGTACGGTATGGTGTTATCGATGTTGGTGAACTTCGAGAGTGAGTATATCACAACGAAATGGTACAAGATCAAAAGGGATAACAAAACGACTTTACAAAAGGCAGGCCTGGGGATTATTACAACTCAAGGCAACCAAAACGGTAGGCATTCCCATTCGGTGAGTTATTTGGGGGTACCTACCTACTTGAGTCTCAAGGTACCTTTCATTAGCTCTAGGTCACTTGTAAAAGGTAATCATGTGTGATGATGACGATGTCTCTTCCGGCTGGCCAAGACGGTGAGGGCATACGGTGCTGCACCTTTGACACATGGTATTACGACGAACTGTTTGTTGATGGGAGCGGGGATGGATTCACTTCCTCTGTTTGGAGTGCGGTGCGGTGCGGTGGTCCTGGGGCTGTGCGGGGGAGCCGAGGCATGCGGGCAGTTAAAGGCAGTGGTCAAGCGCGCGGAGACAAGGCGGAAAGGGCGGGAATAGCTACAGACGTGCTTTCCTAAAAATGGCAGACACGACAGGCCTCAAGATGCAGTTGTAGGCCATCGCGGCAACTACCTATCTGAAACCCAGCCATCGATCGCCAAATCAATTACCCGGGCACCTTTCACTATGGGGGACATGACGAACGGCGCCTGTCTCTGCAAAGGGGTCAAGTTCACCGTCGAGGGTGTGCCAGAGAATGTGTTCATGTGTTACTGCTCCCACTGCTCCAAGAATGCCGGCAGTGTCGGACAGATTGTAAGACAGACCACACGCCCCTGCCAGTATCTTCAGCTTCTAATTTGAAACTGCCTACGGTACCTACCTCTAGTCTGCCAAATTCCCACGCAAGGATGTCCAGGTTCTGGAGGGAAGCAGCCTTTTGAGCACATGGGTGCTACAAGACAATCTGAGCGGCTTTGAAAAGCACAAGGTCTTCTGCTCCAGATGCGGCTGTACCTTGTGGACGGTTCCCATGAAGCACCGAGGCGACACTTACATCGTCCGAACATCGCTACTGGACAAAGGGTCAGCAAGCTCCGAGCCCAGATATGTTGCTGAAACACATGAACTGACATTCTTACAAACGCCAGACTAGAAAAGTTTCCCTACAAGGCCGAGTTCTTTGCAAGCAGGAAAGTGGAGGTAGTAGCGGCTCCGGAAGTGAAGAGCTTCCCTACCATGCCAGGAGCATGAATGATGATGCGCAATACCTTCATTGTATGCAAAATGTTTTACTCTGTTTCTAGCCAACTACCTACCTACAGAAAGGACATGCGGTTCTTGACACTTCCCAACTGCTCAATCCTAACCTCAACAACATCCCCATCCTTCAACCACTTGGGCTCCTTCATACCCATCGCAACTCCAGCGGGCGTACCAGTCATGATGACCGTTCCCGCCTCCAGCGTCGTTCCCTGACTGACAAACGCAACAATGTCCTCGGTGTTGAAAAGCAAGTCGCTGGTGTTGGTATCCTGGCGCAGCTCCCCGTTGACAAAAGTCTGCAGCCTCAAGCTGCCCGCATTGCCAACCACCTTAGGCGACACGAGCACCGGTCCCAGAGGCGCAAACTTGTCAAAGCCCTTGCTGAAGCACCACTGCGGCACGCCGCCAGCAAAGTTGGGGTCGCGCTGCCACTTGCGGGCCGAGACGTCGTTGGAACACACGAAGCCGGCAATGTGCCCAAGCGCCTCGCTCTTGGGAATGTCCTTGCCCGTCTTGCCCATCACGATGCACAGCTCGCCTTCGTAGTCGAGTTGGTCATCTTGGGCAAGCTTGGGGATGGGGATGTCTTCGTTGAAGCCTGCCACTGAGGTGCGGGGCTTGATGAAGATGGAGGGATATGGTGGTGGCTTGCGGCCGCCTTCCTGGACTTTTTTTTGGTACATATAGTTAGACTAGTCTCCATGGCTTTTTGGTAGAGGTAGACAATGTAATATTTACTTACTGTGCTTGATGTAGTTGAGACCCACACACTTGACAATGGGGACATCCTCGGCAGTCAAAAGGGGCAACAACTTCTTCACCTTGACAACTTGAGTGGTGGGTGCCAAGCTAAAGAGATTGCTGCCTTCCCAGACCGTGGCCTCCATAGTTCCTTGAGAGACGACTTCATCAAGGTCATGGACCGAAGAGATGATGGGCTCGCCGTATCTAGACTGACCGGCTTCGTCCTCGAACCGGACGAGGCGCTCAAAGGTAGAAACCATATTGATCACGAATCCACAGGCAATGAGATGGGTGTGATTGTTGTCTCCGAAACTGATGAGCCAGGGTGAGGGAACCTAGGCAATCGATGGCTTTATGGCTCTTTCCTTCGTGTGCGTATGCTGCTCAAGCACTTGTTGATCTGTTTAACTGAAGAATCCCACAATCTCGGTTCGCATCGATGGCTGAGCCCGCCCATGCTTGGCGGTGGTATCGATATTCCGCACTTCCGCCCAATGTCCACCACTGGGGGCGGGGTTACCCCTAGCCATCACACAGTAGAGGTATCAGCTCCACCGGCGGACCTCCGCGACCCCGTGTGCAATGTGAGTGGGAAAGATTCCAATGAATGGACCGCGCAAAGGCTGTGGTGGTGGTGGTCAGCCTAGAGGTCCCCAAAGTGCCACTGCCACGAAAACAGACTGGATCTCAGGTTTTGTGTGATAACCAGCTTACCTGTCCAAGACGATGTCGATCAATCAAACAGACTCTTGTGGATGGAGAAACACGTGTACATTGGCCTGGGTCATTCCAGATTTGGGAGGCGAAGGTTCTCAGGAGGAAACTCTAAACACAGAATTTGGAACAGAAATCCAGATTTTCTTTTTGGGAAATCATCACGTTATCTTGAACACTAGCTCATATTATGCCCTTACAAAGCAACCAAGCCTGCCGTGTGTCCAAAGGTACACTCCAGAGTCACATTTCCACCTTGTCGCTGCTTCAAGAATTGATTTGTAAACATGAGTAGATACCTAAAGTACGCTCAACACACGCATGTCCGGCAAATATTCGAGCGCATAAATTCAATCCAACCTGATAAGTAGTTTTCCGCATGTCTTCCGGCCCTCCAAATCCTATCACACACGGAAACGCTGTTAGTATACCATGTCTTTTCTCTGCTCACATCAATGACTGGGGACGGACGACCTACCCGATGCGCTTGCGCAACTTCAGCAAGTGAGTGAAAGCCGTGAATGTGGACATTCAATGCACCAGACGTGAGAAGCTCAAAAAGGTCACGAGAGTAGCTCTCAAACTCCTCGCGGGTAGCAATGTAACCGAACAGCGTCGGCCTTGCAACCTTGACACACTTCGGTGAGAGTTTGCTGCGTGGTGAGAAACGGAGTTAGCGATCAGCGATAACGGCAGCAAATCTACCGAAAAGGAATGAGTAAGGGCAGTGAACAATGCTTCGAACTTACTTTAGTGGCAAAGGAGGAATTGGGCCGCTGGAATTACCAAACCAAACAATGGTGCCCTTTCTCTTGACGACAGCAAGAGACCCCTCCCACGTATCCTTACCAACCGAGTCATAGACAACATCGACACCCTTCCCTTCCGTCAAAGACATGACTGTCGACACCCAGTCCTTGCCCTGCTCGCTTCGGTAGTCGATGACATGGTCGGCTCCGAGACTCTTGACCAGCTCAACCTTCTCGGGACCGCCAGCGGTGCCGATGACCTTTGCGCCGAGCTTCTTCAGAACCTGGGTCATCAGAAACCCAGCGCCTCCAGCAGCCGCATGCACGAGAACCCAGTCTCCCGGCTTGACCTCATATGTCTCCCGCGTCAGGGCAAGCACGGTGAGGCCGCTCATGAAGCTCGCAACGGCCGTTTCGTACGAGACCGAGTCCGGGAGCTTGACCGTCTTGGCAGCCGGCACGGCCGAGTATTCGGCATATCCGGCATTTCCCAGCCAAAGCACCCGGTCGCCTACTTGCAAGTTGTACTGCTCTGTGTTGGGGCCCAATGCGACCACTGTGCCGGCCGCCTCGCGGCCAAGAACTTCGGGCTTTGCCGAGGGGTAGAGACCGGTGCGGAAGTAGGTGTCGATGTAGTTGATGCCTGCCACTGCGTTCTTGACGAGGACCTGGCCTTCTCCTGGCTGGGCGACGGTATAGTCGGTGCGGTATTGGAGGACCTCCGGGCCGCCAACATCTTCCACTACCACGGCCTTCTGTGTTTGGGGGATGGACGACATGATTGTGAAAGTTGATGGACGAGTAAGGCTAGCAAATGGAACTGCAATTCAGAATGAGCAAACAGTGTAACAAGAAACCACAAAAGGGATGTATCTGGGTCAAAGACTTGATCAGATGCGTCGCATTTCTCCAACAACCCGGAACCTAGGCCAGGATACCTTGGTGTCCTCATCCAGAGGTAGCGGTTTGCGCCTGCGGAGATAAGGCGCTGATACCCGCGCAAAGTACTTCTTGGCTTCCCGTCTTGGGGAAACCCACTGACACCCCCTGAATATGGTAAACATTGAGTTCGGGACGAACGGTCAAACGGACCCGCCAGCGCCAATCGCACTCGTAGTATTCTCCGACCTACTCAAAGGTAATTGAGACGACCACCAACACCGGCGAGAATCGAAGAACATAACCTTTAGCCATAGCACACACTACCACTATTTCATAGTCCTGAAAGCTGGTGCGTGGCCATCAAAGCAATACACCTTCACAAGGCTTTTGCCACCTCCTTCTTGCAATTCGACTTTGAAGACACCATGAGTTCGTGCTGCCTCGGCGGTTTCAAATGGGACGGTCAGCCCCAAGGCCAGGAGGCCACGCTGAACGACCAGGGCTATTATGTGACCGGCTCCAACTCAGATGTCGCTCTCCTGGTGATCCATGACCTGTATGGGTGGACGTTCCCCAACATCAGGTTGTTGGCTGACCATTTTTCTGCGGAGGTTGGCGCGACCGTCTATGTCCCGGATTTGTGAGTTCTCCCTTTTTTTTCTTCTTTTTTTTCATGGTATCGCACTGGCATGTCGAGTCAACTAGCTAACTTCCCCATCACAAGCTTCGGCGGCGAGGTTCTCCCGGCCGACATTATCAACAACCCGGCTGAGTGGGCAAAGCTGAATCTCCCCGAGTTCATGCAGCGCAATTCTAAGGACGTTCGGAAGCCCGAGGTCAAAGCCTTCGCCGAGTTTCTCCGTTCTCGTCACCGCCGGGTTGGCGCCATCGGATACTGCTACGGCGGGTGGGCTGTCTTCCAGCTCGGTGCTGCCAGGGCCGGCGGTCAACCCCTTGTGGACTGCATCTCTGCGGCGCATCCGACGTTCTTAGAGAAGGAGGAAATACGGGGCGTTGGAGTCCCGGTCCAAATCATCGCGCCGGAGCATGATCCTCAGTTCACCGAGGAACTGAAGACGTACGCTGTTACGGAGATTCCGAAACTGGGTGTTCCCTTTGATTACCAGTTCTTCCCCGGGCTGCACCACGGATTTTCTGTGCGTGGCAACCGTGAAAATAAGGCCGAGACAAAGGGCATGGAGAGGTCGATGAGGGCTGCTGTGTGTTGGTTCAAGGAATGGTTAGCTGCTGTGTAGACCCGGACAGACAGACATGAAATCCCCTGTAACTATGTCGTCAGTGCCTAATTTTTGAAGTATTACTCTCCTTTCCATACGTTGAGTGCTTGGAGAGTTCACCGCCGTCTCGC